CGTTATATGCTCATCAAAATTAATATTGAATCTATTGTTCTGATTAGTTTTAAAAGCATGTTGAAAAGATATATATATATATATATATATATATATATATATATTACCCCGTAAATATATGGTCTCTAGTGCTAGTTGGATTTGAGACAAGACGTAAACTCTCCTTCTAGAATTCAACATTCCATTAAGAACAAAAATCACATGCATACTGGGAAGTAGGGGCTGAGATTGTTTGTGTTGCCTCATATTTGCAAATAAGTTGAATTAAATTCGTCTGGTGTGGTGTCGGAGAGAGAAAACAAATCATCAGTGAACCAAGTTTTCTTTCTCTTGCTCATCTTTATAAAAGTTTAAAAAATATATTTCCGATATTGTTTTAATTTCTAAGAGTCAATTAACTAAATAATTTTGTCGTTGAAATAAAATACCAAAATAATTTTTGTACTTACTTGATTCTCAACTAATATATCTGCAACATTTGATACTTATAAATCGCATGAATACTGTTTTTGTGCGTTGAACTTGCTATCTGATGCTTGTGCTGAATGCTAAGTGGTCTTTGATCTAGTATGCACTATAAAGAAGATGAGCATAATGGATGACTACAGAATATTTGTGTAAGTATGAAATATTCAATGTATAATGTTTAAATTTTAACTGAGTGGACATGTCACATTTGATCCATTTTCAACAAAAAAAAAGGTACTCGTTTTTTTGTCATAAAAATACCTCACTATCTAAAGCACGAAATTTATATTTTTTTAAAAAGAGTACAATGATAGGTTACCGATTACAGCACTAAAAAGAAAGGTTAGAAACGAAGTTGAATAAAAAGTGATTAAGGAACAATTATATTAAAAAAATCGAATTAGGTTAGAGTTATAGTCATTACTCATCATCATCAGCATCATCGCCACCTATCTAAAATCTAGTACTGTAAATGCACTCCATAATTTGTTTTTTTCCCCCACCAATCCCGCCGATTAAGTTTTGAGCACGACATCGATCAGATCTAATCACACTTACTCTATCAAATATCTTTAGTTCTTTAATTTATATATTTCATATGAAAAGAAGAATTGAATTAGTACGTATTATATACAATGTCATGATTTGGATTGACATCGACTACCGTGCTAACTTTTTGAACTCAATATGCCTTAAATTTATGTCCATCGGTGCATCATAATTTGGTTCACATTACAATATTTATATATTTGATTAGATGGACACTTTAAATTTTGAATGATTAATTAATAGAAGAATAACCGGCCACGTTATAGTTACATATCCTTTCTATATGTTTACGCGTAAGATATCTCTACAAAATACAAATGTATAGTTAACGTGAATATTGAGTTATTTGATTATATCATTCTCTTTTTTATCGAAATCAAATTAGAGAAGATTTTAAGATATTGTAGAAATTACTATCTGAATGTCAATTTTCAAGTTTACCACATCTCTTTCCATAAATGTATACCATTTTGAGACTTTTAGTTAGTGTGTTAGAACATAATATCATATAAGTGTGGTAAATTATTGTTTTATTTGGTATTTAAATTTAATAAAAACTATCTATATAATAAGAAAATTAACAAATATTTATATTATCAATCTAAATGATTTTCTGTTGTTATGTGAACACTACTGATTTAAGAGTCATTCTGAAAATATCACATTTTGTGGTTTTTGTTTTCTCTTAAATAAGTTATTTAAATTTTATAAACATGATCTAAATCAGTTGTTTCCTCAAATGAGTTGTGGTATGATTTTGAAAAACAAAGTTTATTTTTGATATTTTGTTGTGAACGGCCACAAAGTGAACGATATTTAAACTAAACTTTTTGAGCTAATATCATAATTTCTGTTTTCATAATTCATATAGTAATGCTAGATTCTCATAATTTTAAGTTTGGATTCAAATTCTAACACACCAGACGACTATTATATATACCTGCATTGTCTTTTTTTTTGTGATCTAGTAGCGTAAGAAAAAAATAATATCTCACGCCAGATGATCAAATGTTAATAAGTATGACCAGAAGGAAAATAAAAGTCATTATCAGAGAATTACCATCAAATTTGAATTATATACAATAATAGTCAATACATGATTATATGTGAGTGTGACTATACGATATACACATGTCCCATATATAGAAATTAATAGCACGGAATTTGTCATCAATAACTATAATGCTCAACCACAAATGTCACAGGAGGGGGGCCAAATAATACTCAGTGTCAATATTTTTTAAAGTTGAGTACGTTTGATATGACAAAAATGTGGGCATTATATTTATTTACTTATGTACCATTAACCTAAAAGTCTAATATTTCTATGAGATAAGGACAAAATTGATTAGACGTTCTACGAGGGTCTCTGTTTATTTTTGGCTTTTGATTGTTTCTATCGCTTTTGTGGACCAATTCATGTTTTCTTGAAAATTAATACTACTTTGTTAAATGTTTGAACAATCAAACTACTTTGTTATCTGGCCAAGGGAGTTAAAAGCTAAAACGTAGATGAAACTATTGTAAATTGTAACCATACAACGTGATTCACTCGATATTTGTTGTCAATACTTGAATATTTAAATTTTATAAAATAATTTTGGTCGTACATAACTCAAAAAAAGGAAGCAATTTGCTATTTTTGATGCTAGTTAATATCGATTTTTTTTAAATGTTATAATTCGTATTGCTAATTTTTCGTTGCATCAACTTGAATTTTAAGATTTATTTGGATCACACAATATGTAAAATCAAAACTGAGATTAGTGAGACGAACAGGGTAGTAGCCGTAGGCGACTCAACTGAGCTATTGGGGCATGGCGCCGACCACAAGAATAGATCAATCCCAACCAAACCAAGTGTCGAAAGGAATGTTAAAATTTAGTCATACCAAAAAAGGTATAAAAAAATAAGTCAATATCTTAAAGCAGGCCAAAGATTCTTATCTGATGAGGTGGCTATGGATAATCAATCAAAGGAAATGTGATTTCGATAGATTTTAGTTAATTGTCAATATCAGTATGAATTGTCTAAACCGATTCGTTGATGACACAATTACTAATGATCCCTCGATATGCATGCACACACTTACACGTTATAAATATACAACGAACTGGTTTACCAAATAGCAAATTGTCGTACTATTTCACATAATGTATATCATTTTTTTGGTTAAAATAATGTATATCATTTTTATATGGTCTATTCAAAATTCACATGATCCATATACTTTTTCCCCTCAAACCTTACCAAGTCATACCAACTTTTTCCTTTCTAGAATTTCTTGCAACTATATATATATCTCTCAAACAATTCACATAATTACCCTATATGAGTAAACTCTGAAATAAGAAAACACTATTATAGACGAATAAGAAACTAAGATATGTTGCCTAATGATCTGTATTAATATCGTTATTGTGTCATCATCGGAACTCAAAACCGTATAATGCATATTAGTAATAAGATATTTGAATAAGCTTTTAACAACAACAATTTCTGTTTGTTAGCTATAATTCATACATGGAACAAATGTCGATAATACAAGATAATCTCGTTGATGTAAAACCATCTTCATACATTTACACGAAGCACCATTTTTGAATTCGGATCACCCAAACAGATGTTTTATCCCACCGATCGAACTATAATTGTAATTCTATATTTACTTTTATCAAAATTAAAGTATATGTTAAGTAATATAGATATGAATTAGCTAATAAAGAACAAAAAAGCATCGAGTTGTATCATCATCCATGTGGTTTATGTAGGTCATTCACGAGACACCATTGGATCGTGACAGAAAACGAGCATTATCAATTGGCGGTTGAGTTAATAATTAACTAACACCACTTTTTTGGGATTACAACTAACACCACTTTAATTTAGCTATCTTTTGTTTTACTTAAATTAATAGAAAAATTTATAAGAAATCTTTAGTGTGGTGCAAGTAAAACTGTTATACTTTTATTTTGCATGGATTATTGTGGAACAAATGTCAGTTGAATTTTCTTAGATGACAAAAAAAAATCTGGACAAAAAACAACATATTTAATAATTGAAGGCATAATAGGATTTAGAATATTAAATTGTTTAGTTTAACAAATTTGTTGGAAAAAAGTTTGGATTCAGAAAATCATTTTTTAAAAAAACATTTCCTCATTATACATATGTTGACAAATTTTTTTTATTACATATATGCAGTTATGCACATATCTAATATTATTTTATCACTATTTTCACAATCTTATCTATATCTTTTAGGATAAATGAGAAGATATCTTGAGAAAGATATCTAAAATTATACTATTAGGCTAAAACTTTTAGCTAATACATTATTTTTGTGTGTGTATAATTAAGCTATAAAATGATCCTTAATTAGCCATGAATTCCATCTTATAGATATGCCTACACAAGTAAAAGTTGTACAATTGGTCTTTTAGAGTTGAGATCGTATTTAAAATTAATTAGGCTAAAACTTTTAGCTAATACATTACTTTTTTTGTGTCAAAAGTTATTAAATGATCCTTAATTAGCCATGGATTCCATCTCATAGATTATCTCTATAGAATCTAAATAGTTCAATACATACACACACATAGATATATCTACACAAGTAAAAGTTGTACAATTGGTCTTTGAGAGTTGAGATCGTATAAGATTAATTAGACTAAAACTTTTAGCTAATACATTACTTTTGTGTCAAAAGTTATTAAATGATCCTTAATTAGCAACGGATTTCATCTTATATATCATATCTATAATTAGTTGAATACATACGCACACATAGATATGTCTACACAAGTAAAAGTTGTACAATTGGTCTTTGAGAGTTGAGATCGTATAAGATTAATTAGGCTAAAACTTTTAGCTAATACATTACTATTTTGTGTCAAAAGTTATTAAATGATCCTTAATTAGCCATGGATTCCATCTTAAAGATCATCTCTATAAAGAGTTGAATACATACACACGCATAGATATGTCTATACAAGTGAAAGTTGTACAATTGGTCGTGAGAGTTGAGATCGTATAAGATTAATTTTAAAATGATGTCTCAGTTGAAAAACGGATCTTCACAATGCTCATGGACAAGCATTTGCATCGTGTTATTATTAATGTCAATGGCTCGTGGAGCTCTCTCTACAAATTATGGAGAAGCTCTCACAAACAGTCTTTTGTATTTCGAAGCCCAACGTTCTGGAAAATTGCCATCGAACCAAAGAGTTAATTGGAGAGGAGATTCTGCACTTAGAGACGGTTCTGATGCTCATGTAATATTGTAAACTCATTTCTTCTTTTTTTGTTTTTTACCATCAACATGAGAATAATCTTATTTAGTATAATAATTAAAATATGTGTTAATTGTAAATACAGATTGATCTCACCGGAGGCTACTATGATGCCGGAGACAACATGAAATTTGGATTTCCTTTGGCTTTCACGACGACAATGCTAGCTTGGAGCAGTATAGAGATGGCATCGCAACTTAAGGCCCATAAAGAGTACGAAAACGTCCTGACGGCTCTCAAATGGGCCACTGACTTTCTTATCAAAGCACATCCCGAGCCAAATGTTCTTTATGGACAAGTGGGAGACGGAAACTCGGACCATGCGTGCTGGATGAGACCTGAGGATATGACCACTCCGCGTCCTACATACCGCATAGATGCTCAACATCCAGGTGCTGACCTAGCAGCTGAGACAGCTGCAGCAATGGCTGCTGCTTCTATAGCCTTTACACAATCTAATCCAACCTACGCAGAAACGCTCGTTAGTCATGCAAAAGATCTATTTGAATTCGCTAAGGCTCACCATGGCGTTTACCAAAGCTCCATTCCTAACGCGGGTAGCTTCTATGCGAGTAGCGGATACGAAGATGAGTTGTTATGGGCTGCGGCTTGGCTTCATCGTGCCAATGACGAACTAGACGAAGATACATATCTTAATTTTTTAAAAGAAGCATCTAACAATGGAGGTCCTAGGACAGTTTTCTCGTGGGATGATAAGTTCTTGGGTGCACAAGTCTTGATGGCCAAGGTAGGTTATGTACATTTGTTAATAACTTATGTGACAAGAAACAAACAAAACTTACATTTTGTGCAAATGCAGCTTGTACTTGAAGGAAAAATAGAGGGCGTTGAGGATCTGGAAGAGTACAAGAGTAATGCAGAGAAATTTATTTGCAACTGTGCTCAAAAGGGATCTAAAAACGTTAAGAAAACTCCGGGAGGATTGCTTTGGTTCTTGCCGTGGAACAACCTCCAATACACCACCGCCACATCCTTCATCCTTTCTGCCTATTCTAAGTATCTTGAAGCCGCTAACGCCTCCATCGAATGTTCCAATGAAAAGCTTGAAGCTTTTGAGCTTCTCAATATCGCTCGTGCCCAGGTAGTTAAAAACCTAATAAAGTACCAACCACAAAACATTTTCCTTTAGAAACGCTATTAAATTTTCTTAGATAATCATATTACTATTTCAGAAACTTCTATCTCAAGTATAACTAGCACTGAATGACATAAATTTTTTTTTTCAATACTAAGATTAATTTTTTTTTTTTTTTTTTAATTTGTGCCCAATAATTTACACATGTTATCTTGTGTGTATATATAGGCAGACTACATACTTGGGTCAAACCCCAAGAGCATGAGCTACATGGTTGGATTCGGGACAAATTATCCTAAAAGGCCACATCATAGAGGAGCCTCTATAGTGTCGATCAACAAGGACAAAACCGTTGTGTCGTGTAATGAAGGGTTCAATGCATGGTTTAACAATCCTGCACCAAACCCTAACGTACTAACCGGAGCAATCGTGGGAGGTCCCGACGAGAACGATGCTTATGGAGATGAGAGGACTGATTTCCAGCACAGTGAGCCTGCGCCCGCCACCGCTGCTCCATTTGTTGGTGTTTTGGCAGCTCTTGCTTGATATTTCTCTCTTTTGTTATCGTATAAAAGTCATAGGTTGTTCATTTATATAATTTCAAAATATATATCTAAAAGTCTTTTTTGGATACATATACTTATAGTACTCTTAAAATGTGATTACAACCTAATAAAATCATTAACATATTGTCAAAGAGTCTGCTTCTCAAACGAACATGAAACATTATTAAATACAAAATATGATAAAGATAAGATAAAAGATTATAATCGTAGATAATGACGAGAAGTTCTTTTTTACAAGGACTGATTCTTTTGCCATTAAAGACGAGCAAACTAAACTTTGAACTTGTGATGCATCCAAAGCTGTCCTATCAAAATACAATCTCCTCAATTGAGAAGGTTGGTGGTATGGTTCTCTCTTTTAATAACCAACCCCGATTTTGATCGACATCGTATTTCGTGTGTAAACCCAAATTGTAAATTAATTTAAATGGGCCAAGTTTATATACTATAAAGTATCATTAAAACAATGGGCCAACAAGGCCTTTAATCAAAAGAGTATTAAGACAAAAACGTAACCTTCGTAACCAGATAGACACGTGGCAATTTATTGTTGATAGACAATCGCGAAGCCGCTTCTTGGAGATTCTTCACTCACTCTGGTGGTGGACTGACTCTTGAGGTAACTCTAAAACCTTTTGAACAAATTCAAATCGCTCGCGCGGCTGAGAAAAGCCGTCCTGTTTTATTTATTTCCTTTTCTTTCGCCGTCGCGTCGCCGGAAATCATCATTGTTAGTGTTCTTCTCTTTCTTTGATTCTCTGCGAGATCAAATTTAGGGTTTTAGCACCATCACTGTTGTAGCTAAGTAGCCGTTCTTAGTGAAATGCCCGACGATTGATTCACTGATGCGTGACTTTTTTTTTTTGGGAGTTTTGGGTTTGAGTTTCGATCGAATCTTCATTGTATTTCAATCATGTAACTCTGTGATTACGTAGCAGGTGTGTATGCGATTAACTATGGCGACTCTGAAGCCGTCGTCTGCTGTTTCTCCGGCGATTAGTAATCCGATTAGATTTGGATGTTCTACGCCGCAATGCTCTGTTCGTGTTCCGAAACAGCCGTCTTTCCGGCGGCGACTCGTCTCTACCACAAGTTTTGTATTGCCCAGATTTCGGCGGACGATTGGCGGCGGCGGCGGTTTGATTCGATGTGAACTTCCGGATTTTCATCTATCGGCTACGGCGACTACTGGTTGGTTTATCTTTTGTTTCATATATGCTAGATAAGCGTTTTCTGATTATGAATTTTGGAATTGCATTCAAAGTGATTGCTCAATTTGGTTGCAGTTGCAGGTGTATCGACCGAAAACTCCGTGGATCAAGTTCAGATTCCGAAAGGTGAAATGTGGAGTGTTCACAAATTTGGTGGGACATGTGTGGGAAACTCTCAGAGGATCAGGAATGTGGCAGAGGTTATAATCAATGATAACTCGGAAAGGAAACTGGTGGTTGTCTCGGCGATGTCGAAGGTGACGGATATGATGTATGACTTACTACGCAAGGCACAGTCACGAGATGACTCTTACTTATCTGCATTGGAAGCTGTCCTGGAAAAGCACCGGTTAACAGCTCGTGACCTTCTCGATGGAGAGGATCTCGCTAGTTTCTTGTCACATTTGCATAATGATATTAGTAACCTCAAAGCAATGCTCCGTGCGATATACATAGGTACATAAGTTTTGGTTTCTTTATCTCGGTGTACTTATACAGTATATGTTTACTGCTTTCCTCTAGTCTGATTTGAAAGGAAGAGAACTGACATCTTTCATTTGCAGCCGGCCATGCATCAGAGTCATTTTCAGATTTTGTTGCGGGACATGGAGAACTTTGGTCTGCTCAGATGCTATCGTATGTTGTCAGAAAGGTTTGAAAGATGCGTATGATAATTGCATTGTATGTGAAGAAAATTGAGGCTGTACACTTTATTACCTCTCTATACTTTTGACTGTAGACTGGGCTTGAGTGCAAGTGGATGGATACTAGAGACGTTCTCATTGTTAATCCTACCAGCTCTAATCAAGTCGATCCTGATTTTGGTGAATCCGAGAAGAGACTCGAAAAGTGGTTCTCCTTAAATCCGTCTAAGATAATCATTGCGACTGGGTTCATTGCTAGCACTCCACAAAACATTCCAACAACTTTGAAACGAGATGGGAGTGATTTCTCTGCGGCTATCATAGGTGCTCTTTTGAGGGCTCGGCAAGTAACAATTTGGACAGATGTTGATGGTGTATACAGTGCGGATCCTCGTAAAGGTTTGTACTAATCTCTTGCCTCTAATTCATTTTATATTAGGAAGATTTTATTATAACAGGAACTATTTCTGCAGTTAATGAGGCAGTAATACTCGAGACACTTTCTTATCAAGAGGCCTGGGAAATGGTAAATTTAGTGTTCTTGTTATCCTCAGGAGCTTCATCATGCCAAGTACAAACTTCTGATCAAAACTCTTTAACTTCATGCAGTCTTATTTTGGAGCAAATGTTTTACATCCTCGCACCATCATTCCTGTGATGCGGTATAATATTCCGATTGTGATAAGAAATATTTTCAATCTCTCTGCACCGGGAACAGTGATTTGTCAACCTCCTGAGGATGATTTCGACCTTAAACTGACAACTCCTGTCAAAGGGTTTGCAACCATTGACAATTTGGCCCTCATAAACGTTGAAGGGTAAACTAAGTTTTGTATATATCAATTGTAAATGTCAAGCTTAATTCACCGCTCTCTTAGTGACTGTCCTCTTCAATTCATTTTGACAGTACTGGAATGGCTGGTGTACCTGGTACCGCAAGTGACATTTTTGGTGCCGTAAAAGATGTTGGAGCTAATGTGATTATGATATCACAGGTGCTCTAATTTCAAACTCTACCTTAGCGGTATATATCAATTTTCGTCATCTATAAGTAGAGGCTTATATCGTTGAGAAATTCTTTGTTCAGGCTAGCAGTGAGCATTCTGTGTGCTTTGCTGTGCCTGAGAAGGAAGTAAAAGCTGTTTCCGAGGCTTTGCGATCGAGATTTAGTGAAGCTTTAAAAGCTGGGCGTCTTTCACAGGTCTCTCTCTTTGATCTCTGTTTTTCTTAAAGCTGCAGATAACACAGGTCTTCCCTATGTAATCTAATCTATAGCATATTCATTTTATAATTTTGTCTTGGCAAGTTCACTATTCTGAAAAGTAGCCTTTGTTTTTCTCAGATTGAGGTGATACCAAATTGTAGCATCTTAGCTGCCGTCGGCCAGAAAATGGCTAGTACGCCTGGAGTTAGTTGTACACTTTTCAGTGCGCTGGCGAAGGTATTTATTACACAACTGTAACCAGAAAATGGCTAGTACATCTTTTATACTATGGTTTTTTGCTAAAGTGCTCCCTTGTGGTTGCTTGTTCTTGTATCTCACTTGCAGGCTAATATTAATGTCCGTGCTATATCTCAAGGTTGTTCTGAGTACAACGTTACTGTAGTTATTAAACGTGAAGATAGCGTAAAGGCGTTGAGAGCAGTGCACTCGAGGTTTTTCTTGTCAAGAACGACATTAGCAGTGGGAATCATAGGACCAGGCTTGATTGGTGCGACATTACTTGATCAGCTGAGGGACCAGGTGAACTGCATAATGTTATTCTGTGTTTTTATTTTCTGTACCAAAAATGTTACTTTACCTTCTTTCTCGGAGTATCCGTCCTTTAAAAAGCTGACTAAGCCTTAAATTATGTTCTCCAGGCTGCTGTTCTCAAACAAGAATTTAACATTGATCTGCGTGTTTTGGGAATCACTGGTTCAAAAACTATGCTATTAAGTGACATGTAAGAATGACTTCTTCTGTACAGTTTTTTATTTTTTAACTCCGACGCGTTCTAGATTTTTTTCTGAAAGACAGATCCATTCTTGATGGTATGACTGCCTATGATGCTTTTCTCTTGAGAGATATATGTCCCGAACCCTTGATCAGAATCCATATGCAAACTAGTTTCCTGTTTCGTGAGTCTGGCCATTGCTTTCCCTTGATTGTTATCTCGCGCTTTGTTGATCGGTTAATACCATCCATTAAATGCCTTTTTTGAGTTGGAAACTAATGCTTGTACAGCTGACATTTTCTGGTCTATCCTGAGGTTGTTTTCAAACTGCGGATGATTTTTCTCTGTTTTACCATTAGATGACTTGTACTCATGCTGTTTATTGCAGTGGTATTGATTTGTCAAGATGGAAAGAACTTCTAAACGAGAAGGGAACAGAGGCCAATTTGGATAAATTCACTCAACAAGTTCATGGAAATCATTTTATCCCCAATACTGTATTGGTTGATTGTACAGCAGACTCCGCCATTGCAAGCCATTACTATGATTGGTTACGGAAGGGTATCCACGTCATTACCCCTAATAAAAAGGCTAACTCAGGTCCCCTTGATCAGGTGATATATTCTTCTCAAATACTGTATATTTCTTATGAATTTCTGGTAGAGAAACTCAATAGGAAATGTTCTGTTAAGTGTTGGGTTTTACTTGACTGATGTTTCTTTGTTTGATACTCAGTACTTGAAACTGAGAGATCTTCAAAGGAAATCCTACACTCATTACTTCTACGAAGCCACCGTTGGAGCTGGTCTCCCAATTATCAGCACTTTACGTGGTCTCCTTGAGACAGGTGACAAGATACTACGCATAGAAGGGATTTGCAGGTCGGTTAACTAACAATACCTCCACAGTTTGACTCTGAGTTCCCTGCTGGTGCTGATTCTGACGAATTCTGTTTGTTTTTTGTGTCTCTATTGTTGTTCTAGTGGAACGCTGAGTTATCTATTCAACAACTTTGTTGGAGATCGAAGTTTCAGTGATGTTGTCTCTGAAGCAAAGAAAGCTGGTTTCACTGAGCCTGATCCAAGAGATGATTTATCTGGAACTGATGTTGCAAGAAAGGTACGATTCTGTATACAACAACAGAGTATCAAATTGACACAGAAAAGTTCTGCAAGTGATGATCGTCTTTCTTATGAAACTAAAATTTTTCCCTTTTGTTTAGGTGATAATCCTCGCTCGAGAATCTGGACTTAGATTGGACCTCGGCGATCTTCCCATTAGAAGTCTCGTCCCAGAACCTCTTAAAGTAAACCATCCTTATGTATATATCTCAATAACATCAAAATCATCTGAGAAATTCACTCCATGCACCTAATGTCCTGTTCAATTTACTTTCAGGGATGCACTTCTGCTGAAGAATTCATGGAGAAACTCCCACAGTACGACGAAGACCTGGCAAAAGAGAGGCTAGAAGCTGAGAACTCTGGGGAAGTAAGATCATTCACCATAAACTTTTTTCAATCTGGTGATCGTAAACCGGCTCAAGACCGTTTCCGTTGATCAACTGTTCATCATATCAACCATGTATATGTAAACTTTTGATTCAGGTCCTGAGATATGTTGGAGTGGTGGACGCAGTAAACCAAAAGGGAACAGTGGAGCTTCGAAGATACAAGAAAGAACATCCATTTGCACAGCTGGCTGGATCAGACAACATAATAGCATTCACAACGACAAGGTACAAGGATCATCCACTTATTGTCCGAGGACCTGGAGCTGGTGCTCAAGTCACGGCCGGTGGTATATTCAGCGACATATTAAGGCTCGCATCTTATCTCGGTGCACCGTCTTAACAGGTTAAAAAAAAAATTATCCGAAAAATGATCAGTTTTGCTTATCTCCATATTAAAATTGTCAGCTACAAAATCAACGACTTTTTACTTGCTCTTTGTAGTTTTTGTGTGGTAAACATGTATAATAGCAACTAGTTTTGTTTGGATTTGATGTCTTTTTTTTTGTTCGATACAGTTTTTATTTCTGTAATATTAATTTACAAATCAACACGATTTGCTATTTAATAAAACGAGCATTGAGAATATCATAGAATCTTATCCGCACACTTTAATGTATATCATGATAGATAATGAGAAGATGGAAAACCATTCGTCGTTCAGAATATAATGTATTCAATTGTCGTTTCTTTTGACATCCCATGAAAAGCGATTAGTACCTTGAGTAGATAAGTCCACCAAGTTACCGATTTTGATTCATGTCCAAAAGATCTATCACTTTTTGTTGTTAACTGGTCTTCTAATAGAATGCAAGCATCTGAACGGGTAAAATCAATTCCTTGTTAATTGTTCCCATCAAATCGGTCATAGGTGTGCAACCATATGACCATTCACACGTATAAATGTAAAGAAATTTATGGGAAATTGAAATTTTGCGGTTTTGGCTGAAAATCAAAATTTTGCAAGAAAACATCATTTTCAGATTTGGCGAGCAAACCAGTGATTTTGCGGTTTTGGTGGGAAATAAATTTTGTACTTTTGTTGGAAAATCAAAATTTGCTGTCTTGGCGGTAAATCTAGAATTTTTGTTTTTGATAAAAAAAATTAAAATTTTACGTTTTTGGCGGGAAACTGAGATTTTGCGGTTTTGATAGAAAATCAAAATTTTCTATTTTATAAAAAATACAAAATTTTGCGATTTTGGCGGAAAACCAAAATTTAATGTTTTTTGCGAGGAAATGATATTTGCGTTTTTGACGAGAAAATATGATTTTATGGTTTTGGTGTGATATCGAAGCTTTTCATTTTTACGAGAAAATTGAGATTTTATATATTTGTCGAGAAAATGTGATTTTACAGTTTTTACAAGAAAATGAGATTTTGCAGTTTTGGTCGAAAACCAAAAATTTTATGTTTTGACTTGAAAACATGATTTGGCTAAAAGTCGCGATTATGCGTTTTAGCGATTTTGTTTTTGTTGAAAAATAATTATTTTGCCAAAAAATAATATTTTTAATGGTCATTATGAATATGTTATACTAAATGATATTTTAGTCTTTTAGGTTTTGGTCTTTGGGATGCTATATTTACATATAAATTCTACATTTTTCAGTATTTCAAATATCTAGATTTTTGAGATGTTGATTCAACATCATTATGCAAAAACAAACAGACTCTTGATCTATTTAAGAATTATTATTTTGGCTTGATCTTGTGGGCTAGTGTGTGACCTTGTGGTGAGCTAGCTCCTATTTAAGAAAATTTTCTTCTCAAAATTTTTATCCATTTAGCTCATGTGAAGTTAAGAGCCGGTTTTTAAGTGTCCTAAATAAAAACCAGCTCTTAGCATAATTATCATTTTATATTTAACTTAGTCCCAAAAAATACCTAAGAAACACTTTAAGAGCCGGTGATAATGATGGTCTTGCATGCTCACTTAGACATTTGGAATTCAAATCTAACTTTCGGTATTGTGGAAACAAAAAAAAATGCGTGCACCTTAACATGAATCCGGTTATAACATTTCACAAAGCTGTTTTTAAACTGGATTTGTCCGTTTAGTCAGTCCGAGTGGAACTGGAGTTTCATACATACATATTATGAGTTTGGCAAAACACTTCCATAGCTCATCTTATATGAAAACATGTAAAAAAATATTTTTAAATAGCCTTGGGTTGTATTTGAATCGTGTAACACTTACAAACTAAGAACGATTTGCTATTTAGTAAAAGAAGCATTATGTGATTACTAAACTTATTGCTTCTTGCTTTTATTATCTTTACTGTCTTATTATATTCCCCCTTTTCCTTGACAATATATAAAGTGAATAACGTTGATTTTTGTCTAGTCATTGAAAAACCAAACATCTTCACTTGCCGTTGTCAGAACAGTAGAAACCTTAAACCTTTTGTATAATTATGGCGGTTGCAGCCGTTGCATCCCATGCCCGTGACGCTGTAAAATCCCAAAAATATTCGCAAACATTAACTTTTCGATTCATATAACAAATATAACTAATATGTGACATATTTGGATAACATCGAACCTGCACGAGATAGACCAGAATTGTCGTCAGCTCCAACATGCCACGAGAAGTAACCAAGCAAATCTCTCTGCTTAGCGTATCTCACTTTCGTCACAATACTCTGATTATCGTCATACCCGATCCAAGTCGTCCCGGCGTAACAGTAATCTCCGACCACCGTGGAGTTATAAACCGTTGATGCTCCGTTATCCACTATGAACTTCCTTATCTGACCGTAGCCTATCGAACCGTCCGGTGATATCGCCGCTCCGGTTGTAGCCGCGTAGTAGCTATGACTGTTGGCGTTGGAGAGACGCCACGCGTAGCCATAGTATGGAAAGCCCAAGACCGCTTTCTTCGCCGGAAGTCCAGCTTGAGTCCACGACCTTATTCCGGCGTCACCGCTTGGACCTAGCATAAACCGGTTTTAATAACCAAACAAAACCACGCTTAATACTCTCGGTTTAAACCTTGGCTCATTTATTTTTAATTTTTTTAGTTTCTTTATTAGAATTGAACATAGAAACCTGTCCAAAATTTTCAATCTAAAATTATGGAAGAAACATTTTCTAATAAAATTGGTAATATCTAAAATACGGTCCATGCATCTACGTTAACTCACCATACCGTACTTAGATTATACTCTCGGTTTAATCCTTGGTTCATTTCATTTGTTTATTTTTATTTTTCTTTAGAATTGAACATATACATAAACTAATCAATATTTTCAAACTGAAATTATATCGAAGAAACATTTTTTTTAAAAAAAATTGGAAATATCTGAAATACGGTCCATGCATCTATTAAACTCACCATATCGTACTTATATTATATCGTATTCGTTCGGTTATTGTTGTACCTGCGTTTGAAGGATCATAAAGAGCGGCAGGTGGACCGGTGACTCTAGACCAACCCGGTCCATAGAAATCATAAGCCATAAGATTAACCCAATCCAAGCTGTTGGCAACGGCTTGAACCGGGTAGAGTACCGAATAATAATTGTTGGAGTAGAAAACCGCAGCCGCCAACAGCAAACGCGGTCTACCGCTACTAGTCGCCTCTGCCACAACCGCTGAACGCCATTCTCGAAGTAAAGTCCCGAAATTGCTCATTTCCGTAGCACTGCTTGGATACTCCCAGTCTAGATCAAGACCGTGGAATCCATACGATCTAGCGAGTCTAATCGAAGAATCAATGAACGATTTTCGAGAAGTGGGGTTACTCGCCATGGACGCAAACGCGGTTTTATCAGCGGCTCCACCGCCGATTGACAAGAGGGTTTTCACAGAAGGGTTTCTCCGTTGCACTGTTTGTGTAAAGGTGGAGAATTTCGTTTGGCTCGTGGAAGCTACAGTGACTTGATTGGTTTGAGGGTTGAGATCAGCGAAAGCGCAGAAGAGGTGAGTGAAGAGAGATGAGTCAATGTCGGTGACCGGATATTCACTCGCGGGAAACCAGTACGAAGCTTTCACGACGGTTTGTGCCGATGAGGATTGGAGAAAGAAGATGAAAGTGATGGAAACAATGAGCGAGATTGGTTTTGTGGAAGACATTGTCGAGTTGCTGTGAAAAACAGAGTATGTGTTGCGTTGTCTATTTATTGAGCATTGATGTCATAAATTAAAAAAAAAATATTTAACATCTTACGTAATTCAACTTGGAAGACTGAGAAATCTATGTACAAAAATCTTACGAAAGCGAAAAGTCTTTATTGGGACAAAATTTGCGTGTGTTTTTTCAACACACAAGTGTACTACGAATGCGAAAGCTTGGACCTGGCGACAGATAATCAAACTTCATTTGTATCAAAGTTGAATTTTCTACTCACGTATCTTATAGAATATCCAAATGAAATTAACACAGGAAACTAATTTATCCAAATGCATACGAAAGTTTTGTTTAAATTCAATGTAATTGTATATTATATGATTTCTTGCCTAACAAGAAACCAGTGAATACTATGAATGGCAGTATGACTCATCGGTTAAGGCGTCTGGTGCTGACAAGTTCGATGTCAAAAACGAGGGTCCCAAGTGTAGAACCTTCTCCATTGGCGAGACGTGTTGGATTAAAGATGGTCGTGAAGAGTCTTTGTCTGTCAAAGAACTGCAAAACACACACACACACACACAGTAAACAAAACAGAGAACTTAGAAACCAATATTGATAATATCTGTCTCTGCAAGTAATCTTATGATTTCTTGACAAATATTTCGTTTCTGAAGAAACCCATCTTCAAGCATCGATTATATGATTGGTCCTCTGAAAGTTTCCATCTTAAACGGATTAATACTAGTTCTAATCCTACTTGCCAATGCAATTAACATGGCGCGTGGTAGTCTTTTGGGTCTGAACTTGGGAAAATTATGTATAGAAAAATTAATGTTTATTTGGTCCAAACTCTCTAGCTGTATAAGAAATGATTAATTTCTGAGATTTACATGCAGTATATTTTATCGATACGGTTTCAAATCTGAAAGATCTTTTGGATAGACTTTTCCCAAAAGCTAGTTTGAGATTAAGGGAATTATTGGGTCTTACAAGATACTAGCTAGCTCCAATGCTAATCAATGTAAGTCCTAACAATATGATACATCTGGCACAATATCACAGGGAGGTCTCTCCATAAATTTAAAATTGTAAACTGGTTAATCTCACTCTGAATTAAAGAGCCAAGTATACAATCCTAGGGTCATTTCTAGAGCATGCCAAACTCTTCACATGCCCAAACTTATCTCTTAATCACTTGATAACCCTCTCTGATTTATTTTGACCCTAATCACTTAATACGCAGACAGATGTGGCAAGCTTATTCGATGAACTCTTATCATTTCCATGTATGTGTTCAAGTGGATAAAACTAGCTTCAGAGTGTGGTAAAAGGTGCACTAAGTCACTAGCTAGGCCCAAAGCTAACCAAAGCTAACCAAAGCTAATCAGTTGACTTTCGAATTGAATGGAAAGGTTAACGAGAGAGAAGTGTACATACGTTTGGTGGGAGAGGTTCTTGTGATGTATTCTGGTAGCCTTGAGACGGAGGAATAATCACCCGACGAATCCCACCTACCTTCATCGACCTCACGGCTGTTTCGATCCCTGGAATGACCTGTACACCACAATATTTTAGTCATCAGAGTAGATCAAATGATGAAACAGAGATATGTGAATCCTCATGAAAACCTTCTATCAGCTTCAAGTACTTCAAAAAACCCTTTTTTAAGAAACACCATTTAGTTTGCAAGAACAAACACAAATCAGACTCTCTTTCTCTTCAAAGAACAAGCTTAAATAGTTATACCAGGAATCAATGAGCAAATACTTTAAAGGTCACACCTTTGAGTCAAATTGAGCTAATTTTTTAAAGACGAATTAAATGCAAAAGAACTGAACTTTGTGAAAACATATGATTGGGATATAGAAGAAAACAGAGGTAAAAAATTTTACTTTGCTAGAACCGAGGATGAATGTGAAGGGAACAGACTCTCCATTACTGTCTTTATGATCATATGTTGAATCAAATCTCCATCCTTGCTTCGCAGCCAATCTCCCATAGTAATGTATTGCAATCTATTACTTCCCATGAAACAAAAATTAAGTAAAAATCAAATTTTGGGAAAAATCGAAACTTCCATATTCGTTTGCTGAAATCTCCAGTTACAGACACAGACCTCATCTCCTTCAATTGGGACTTCACCGTCGCCGACTCGGAGGTCGAGACCTTTAACTCCGCCGGAATTTGGGATTTCAGAGAATTCAGCGAGTGCCGGAGAAGAGAAGCAACCGGAGGAGATGAAGAAAGACGTGGCGGCGATAATAGAGAGAGATATTGATCTTCTAGAAGCTGCTACTGACGATGATGATGGTGATGATGATGATGACGCGCAAGAACGAGATGCGGAGATTCTGATAGATGGTGGAGATGTGAAATGGACGGTAGTGATGAAGGGATCACCTACAGGTGTTGTCCACGCGAAGCACCGAATCATTTCTCCTTTTTTTTTTCTTCTTATGGAAGGAAAATGTAAAAATGAAGACACATATTCTTTGCTTTGGGGAAGTGATGGAATTTGAGTGAATTACGATTACGATAGGTGCATTCAAAACTAGTGGAGACGAGAATAATACAAAGTTGAAATTCTCTCTCTTTATTTTGGTTAGATATTAAATAAAATATTTCTTCTTTCATATTTTCCTACAAATAATATTTTTAATGGTATTACTACTATTTATAATTTATCGCAAGAGTTTATTAGAAGAGGCTAGAATTTTTCCATTAGCTACTGTTAAGATTAGTTTAGATTAGGGTTAGCAAAACACTAAAATCTATTTGTTACCCAATTTTTTTTTATTCTAATACTAGAAAATTGGTAGTCCAAACATATTTTTCTAGTATCTTTTGTAAGCGAAACATTTGTTTTTTCTAACGTGCTTTGGTGTTTGGTTTGAGGAGATTTATCTTTCGATTTTTCGGTTCTGATATACCCGGTTATAGAAACTAAAATTATAAAACAAATGAGGAAAATGAAATAAAGCACAACAAAATAGAATAAGTTCTTCAAACCCCTTTCCCTAGGGCTATATATTTAGCCAAAATAATTGTCTGCTAAAATAACTACTCAAAGACATTTACAAATTAAGAAGATGTCTAGCGATCAGGTAAAGAATATAGAGATTTATTCGGCTGGGGAAGTCCCGGCGAAGCAGCCACATAACTATGAGGCCATTCTCAGAGACGCAGATCATCCAATCTCTCTCTCCACTGAACAGCTACGTTCTGGTGTGTTCTTGAAGCCCGCGAGACTGGTTGGTACTTTTTTGGATGATAATTAAGATTTTTTTTTTTCCTCTACAAGAATGTCCCGGCCGCAAATTTTATAATGTCTTTGAAAGATAAGATAACATAGAAGATCGTCAGAACTAAATGAGTAGAGTAACAATATCCAAATGGTACTTAAGGAAAAGAAAATGGGACCATTGAACTTAATTTTATATAATCTGGACCAATAATCCGTTTCTTGTCGTGATTTGCATCGAAATGTTGTACAGATTAAATATTGGGTGGACGAGAAAAACAGCAACTGCTTCATGATCTTTCCAAGGAACCTCTCTATCACATGGTCTGATGACCCCAACTATTGGACATGGTCTCCAGAGTCACCAAAGTAAGATACGTTAAATTTAAACCCCACACTCTATATAGTACAACCACGTGGTCAGTATTTTTTATTAGAACTTTTTTTTTATATATAATTTTCGAATCAATTAATCTACAATAAAGGAAATATGAATCAGATCTTCCTTGATAAAAACACAAAACACTAATTTTACCAGGTAAACCTATCTTGCATGACCCTTTTAAGTATGTACATGTATTAAAAACCACATTTTATGTTTTGTCTTTTAAACTTGCCACAAAACCTTAATATTCCAAAAAAAAAACTACCACCAAATTTTAGGTTTAGCAAGGGGCCCTAGAAGTTTAGAAAGAGAAAAATGATTTAGGAACTTTCCTTCATCTAAGGTTGTGGTATTTTGTTTTGTAACCTAAGGTTTGTGGTATTTTCAGATTTCTCCCCTTCAAAATCATGGAATTCTTAGGATTATACCTTGTTTTATGGTATATTAAAATATTTCTTTTACAAACCGTAACTTTTTTTTTCTTTTATATGAACTTTAAAAGTGAGACTGTAGAAGCTGCGGAATTAAGAAATGTGTGTTGGCTCGACATCACGGGAAAATTCGACACAAGGAATCTCACTCCGGGGATAACGTACGAGGTGGTCTTTAAGGTGAAGCTAAAGGATCCAGCCTATGGATGGGAAACGCCTGTGAACTTGAAGCTAGTCTTGCCTAATGAGAAACCGAAGGAGCAAAAGGTGAATTTGAGGGAACGACCGAGGTATCAATGGCTCGATATTACAATCGGAGAGTTCAAGCCGGAGAATTGTTCCGCCGGAGAGATCACTTTCTCAATGTATGAGCATGTGGCTGGCGTTTGGAAGAAAGGTCTCTTCCTCAAAGGTGTCGCAATTCGTCCCAAATATATTAATTAATTCGTCATATAAAAACATTTAAATATCCATATGCACCAATGGACTTTCCCTATTTAATTATGTTTATATATATATATATGTGGAATGTGTGTGTTTGTATGATAAGTTGGTTGATCTATCGTGTTACTAGTTCAATTGATGTTGGTGTTTAATAAAACAAAAATGTGGAGTTGATGATATTGTAATGTTTTAAGTTTAAATTCCTGTTTTATGATCGGAGTTTATGTAGATAATAGATAACCCGTTCAATGAAAATTTATTACGACGAGACCGTAATGAAATACAGACACGAAAATTATCCGCCTGTTTATTTTAATCAAATGCAAAGAGAAAATAAATTAATCCAAACATTGATTGATACTTGATTGATATATCAAATAAATAATGAAATAGCTGAATAATCAAATGATTCCATAATAAAATTAAACATTTGAACTGAATAGACTTTCAAAAAATAATTATAAAACGTTAGAACTATCTATTCTGCTCAAGTGTAGAACGAATAACCTTTTTGAAAACTTGATGAAAGCTTTGAAGGATAAAAATAGTAGTAAAATTACGTTTAAAATGTCAATACGTGAACTAATAGTATACAATTCGTTGATTGAGGTACTGAGAGTTTGTGATGGAAAATATTTAATATTTTATCCATAAGAATTCATCTTAACCTTACCTACACTTACATAGTAGAGATATTCCTAATAGACACAACTTCAGATGTAACTGGCACAGATTATAAAGAGAGATGAACGGACGGTCTACATGCGTGGATCATGTTCACTTTACTTAAGAAGAGTTATTCGAAATTCCCGTGGAGAAAATGGAAGAATAAAGCTAACGTATCAAATGAAAAGAAAAAAGGAATCAAACATGTTTAACATACAAATCGAATCTATATTCGGTACCAATCAATATTTGGTTTACGATGTTAAACATTGTTTTTTTTACTTATACTTAACTTTGAAAACCTACAGAAAACCTACATAGCGAATCTTTTTTTTTTTTTAAAAAAAATCAGGTTGGAGACGAGTCTAGATAATTCGACTGTTTTCGTATACTTTAACAAAATTTATGTAATTTATATAAAAATGATTTAATATGGATTTGGGAAAAAAGTAATATCTAATAATTACAAAAATAAGAGAGAACATAATCGAATGAGTAATTTAAATAGTTATACGTACGGAACGTTCAGATTGGATACGGTCTAATCATGCAATCATACCCGAAATGACCTGAATGCAATAGCTATTAAGAACACAAACTGTGAAAGAAGAAGAAAACAAATAATAAAGAAAGAGCGAGATCAAGCAAATGGGAACAATCTTGTCAATATTCTCAAAGCCACCACATAACTACGAAGCCATACTAAAAAATGCAGACTCTCTCCTCCTCTTGATACGGCGGCGTCTCTTGACAAGTTATACACTCAACTCTTCGATGGCATTTCCTTGAAGCACAAGAAACAGGTCGTCAATCTTTTTTGTTTGAGTTGCTTTTGTTCTTTTCGTTAGCTTGAATTAATAGAGAGAAAGATAAACTAAAAAAAATCATACAGTTTCTATATATGTATGTGTAATGTGTGATGATGAAATTTTTTATTCAGAAATACTGGATAGAGGGTAAAGTGAATAAGAACTGCTTCATGTTGTACGCTAGAGATCTCGAGATTTCATTGGCTATCAGGTTTGAAATTATTTTGAGAAAAACTCTTAATTATTTTAAGATTTCATTTGAATCCATATTTTTGTTTACAGTGATGCAAGGATTGAGGTTGCAAAGCTAGAAATGGGTAGCTTGGTTAGAAGTGGCCGGAAATATTGAGACAGAGAACTTAACTCCCGACAGTTTGTACGAGGTTGTTTTTGTGGTGAAGCTGATAGATCCTGCGCAAGGTTTTTGTTATAGCGGAAATGTGAAATGTGAAGGAACACTGCGAAATGTGAAGGAGGAGGAGGAGGAGCACTGCGAAATGTGACCGCACATCCGCTATAAAATTAGTGTATAATAATAGTGTTGGACCCAAATTATTACAAAGCCCAAAGGCTTTAAAATTTGGTCAAGTGTGAATAAAAATAAAGCCCTTCAAGACAACTTAAAATGTGAGGAATTTCATTTTGTCCCACATTCAAGGATTGGAAAAATTTAGAGTCATATAAATATAGACATACACATGACATAGTTCAAAGTGTGTGAAGGAGAACCAAGGACCCCTTGCGCGCCGCCGCCGCCGCCGAGCCGAGCCAGGCTCGGGTCTCGGGTCTCGGGTCTCGGGTCTCGGGCCCACAAAAGATGTTCTTTTTGGGCCACGTTTTGGTCAACATTTCTGGCCCAAATTACTAAAGTTTTCGGTTCAAATTCTTAACAGAATCACGACATTAAACTGCAGTCAAATGTCTATCCCGAAAATCATGCCAAGATTAACGCCCAAATCGTGTCATTAGCGCAAAATTAATCACGTTATTAACACGCTGATTAATTGCGACGCCCTTCTCTCCTTCGCTATATATATCGACTTCTCCTCTTCCAATGAGAATCGCTCTCTCCAGAAAATTTACAGAGAAAAAATATACACATTTTCCCTCAAATCTCTCGCGTCTCTTTTCTTCTTTCAAGAGTAAGTGTCCGAGAGTATATCCTAGAATATCAGTTCGTCACATTCTATAATCGGGTGCTGCGATTATACGAATACTAGTGGTTGTATCCTAGGATTCATTATCTCATTCAACCGCCACACTGCGGGAGATATTTTGAATTAAGAAAAGAGATCATCTCGCCTCCACTTCTCGTTTTTTTCCTTAATCCGCTTTTATAAAACGTTTTTCTGTATCTCAAATCGTTTTCTTCATTGCAATATTTGTCTCCTCTAAATTTACTTCTTACAAATAGTTGGCCGTAAGATATATAAGCGTCTATTTTTCAAGTTATCTCTCCCACTAATATTTACAAACTTTGACCCAATATCTCCAATAATATTTTCAAACTGAATCTCACATTTTATAATTGATACTTAATTAATTAGACTAATTCATATTACGACCACTTCTCGTTTAACCGTCTACCTCAATTATTCAAGCGTTATAGCATACATTGCTACCATTTGCTTCAAAAGGTCAACCAAAAACACTGATCCAGCAACAACAAAAAAAAACTCCAAATTAATTTCCTCTCCCATGTGCTCCTTCTCCTCCTCTTCTTCGTCTGTGGTGGTCGGACAGATCCCACCACAACATCAAGTGTTCATCAACTTCCGAGGAAAAGAATTGCGCAAAGGTTTCGTGAGCTTTCTAGTGCCTGCCTTGAGAAAGGAAAACATCAATGTTTTCATAGATGAAATAGAGATAAGGAGCATAGATCTCCAACATATCTTCAAGAGGATTGAGGAATCGAGTGTTGCGGTGGTGATATTCTCAGAGTTGTACACCGAGTCAAAATGGTGTTTGAACGAGCTTGTGAAGATCAACGAAAGGATGATTGAAGGGAAACTCAAAGTTATTCCCATATTCTTCAATGTGACCGTAAGTGACGTGAAGATCCATGAGGGAGATTTCGGCAAAAATTTCAGGGAAACAAAGAGGAAATGCCAAGGTGATTCGGATATAATCCGAAATTGGGAGGAAGCTTTGAACTCTATTCCCCAAAAGTTTGGCTTGGCATCGTCCACATACAGGTTTGTGAGGTCCCTTCCTTTATGCACCTAGACGTATTAATGCGTATAAAGTGCCATCTCAATACCCATTGGCGGATTAGACATTTCTTTTACCAGATCGGAGGTATAAACTTTTTAAAAAGAAAACACTAATTGATGTTTTTTATTTATTAAAAAATATAGCATCAATTATTAGTATTATGTTATAAGATGGCATTAATTTTCTTTATTATTAAAAAATATAGATTCGTGCTATTTTGGACAGGACCGAGTATGATCTCGTACATGCAATCGTGCAGGATGTTAAGAAACTACTGAACCATATTCCCGAGGAAGAGGCCGCTGCAGCTAAAGCAAATCGCTATAGAAAGGTGATGGAAGCCTTTCTTTCATTATATAGTTCTGGCTCTTCTCCTTGCACTAGACATATATAGCTCCTCAATTTTGGATGTTCCGTATTACTACGAAAATTAAAGAAATTATCAATGTACTTTACATGCATATATACATGGTTCTTTCTTACTCTTCAGAATAGGATTCTTACAAGGTGTTGCATTTATCTTTTCGCAGGCGCAGCAAGCCCCAACAAAAACCAAGAAACGAGTGATTGTAAGTGCATGTTCCGGCATTGGCAAATGCAAATTCTTCTTTTCACAATACAATCTTGTATATATTTACATTATAGAAATGTAGTCTATATTTAGTCTATATATATATATATCTTAAAATGTTTAAGATATCTTAAAAAGCTTAACTAAAGGGTCAAATAAATTGTGTCGACAAAAAATAAAGGTCAAGTACTTAGTTGCAAGTTGCAACTTTGTAGGCTAAATTATTCTATGGTCTATCACTATTTAGTTCTTTAAATAATTTGGCATAAAACATTGGTTCTGAATGAAAATATAATATCTATAAATTAATACTCAATAAATTAATACTTCGATAAATTAATATATTTTTTTAAGTTTTAAATTAATTTTTTGAATTAATTTTTATATTGATAAATTAACAATTTTTTTTTTAAATTAATAGAATATTACAATCCCAACATTATTAATTTATAGAAATTTATTTGTAGTATTATAGTAAAAAAATTTAGATGGCATGAAAAATAATGGTACATATACAAATGGTACGAAAGACAACATTACAAATAGTGGTTTCAAATCTGTAACATTTTAAGAATACGAATAATGATCATATAATAAAAGTCAAAGTTAACTAGAAGTGAAGGTAATTGAAATTAGAAAGAATTAAAAATATAGGACAAATAAACCTAACTATTGTCCCCTTACTACTTATGTAGTAAATTTTGTCTCTTTAATACTTTTACTAATAATTTAACCTCTTCTAGTACCCTTTTAATTCGAATTTACCCATATTAATTGAAATTTATGATATAAATTTTTTTTCGAAAAAAAGAAATATATTCGAAAAGAAAAAAAAAATATATTCTCTAGATCTGATTAGGAAAAAAATAAGAATTTTTAAAAAAATAATTAGGAAATTAAATGATTCGAAATGGAAAAAAATATATTCTCTAGATCTGATCCTAAATTCACGGAGATTCAGTTAACAGAATTGTAGAATAAGTATTCAATAATTATAGAACAAAAAGTTTCTGTAGAAATGCAATTCTATTAAGATGTAGAACAAAAGAGTAACTACAGTAAGATAATTCTACTAAACTGTAGAACAATGAACATGTTGTAGAATACGGTTTTATAACTTTGTAAAACATAGAAGAACTGTAGATAACTAATTCTATATATTTAGTAGAAAACTAATGAAATAGTAGATAGTCTATTCTATAAATTTATAGATTTATAGAATGCGTTTTCTACTAATTCATAGAACATTTGTAAAAAATTGTTTTAAAATTTGTCTTGGCAAAAGATGTTATGAATTGTCTTTGTCTTCCCTTTTCAGAAATTTTCAAAAAATTTTAAATTATAAAAGTACTTTTTTAAATTTTCGTAATTATAAACAAATGATATTTATTCTATTAAAACAAAAGCACATTTAGTGCTTGCATCCAAACACTCCCAAAATTTTTTTTATTATATTTTATTTTATTTTTATATTTAATTTCCGAAATTAGTTATTAATTTAGATATTTTTAGATTTCCTAAAATCTAGGTCATCTTTAATTTAAATTTCAAATTATTAAAAATTTAATTAAATTTAATTACGAAAATTTGCCTTCAATTTAGTTTAAATTCAAAAAATTCAAAAAAATTATAATTAAATTTTATTACGAAAATTTAGATAATAATTTTAATACTTTAGAATTTCTTAAATACAGGAAAGATTTAATTTAAATTTAAAATTTAAATAATATTTTTATAAAAATGCACAGTAAATAAATATTTTATCGTATTTTATCATAAACAATCGGTCTAAAATATCAAATATTTGAGTACAATAATATGATCGAGCTGATTAGAGTTATATATATATATATATATATTTAAGGTCCATGAATTCATTTATTAAAACATGTAATATATTAAGATGATTTGAGACAATTAAACTAACAGGTTAGCCCGTTTATATATATATATATATATATATATTTTAATAGCACAAATAGTAAATAAATATCTTATTATATTTTTTCATAATCAATTGGTTCAAATATTCCATATTAGTAAATATTTATAGGGTTATACAATTATAATTATAGTCTTATACGGGTTAGTTTGTCAAAACATGTAAGATATTAAAACGGGCTAACTTGTTAGTTTAATTGTCTCAAAACATGTAAGATATTAAATGATTTAAGACAACTAAACGGATGGATTAGCAAATTCATAGATATATAGATTGTTTATGTGTAAATCTAAATTCACATAATAACAAATTTTATAATTAACATTAGATCAATGTATATTTAATTAACGTATACTCTTATTCTACTAATATACAAATTTTACTGTTTAAAATTAAAATATGATAACAATTTTTTGATTTAAAAAAATAAATAACAAAAATAAATTATATCTAAAGAAAAAAAGATAAATGCAACTTATATTAGAAATAAAAAAAATAAAACATTCCCGTGCGTCCAATCTAGTTTTTGTTAAAATTGGTCAAGTTTGAAAAAGTATTAAGAGGATAATATTAAAAAAATTTGTCCTATAAATATAATTGCCCCTTGAAATTAACCAAACATTATGATTTAATAGTTATTTAGTTTCACGTTTCATATAATTGTATGTTGTAATTACAAATGTACCATTACTTTTTTTTAACCATTGGTCCATTTGCATGTAACTTGTGTGTGATTGATAACATGAATGGTTCACCAAGAAGAGTATGTTATCAAGTTTATTTCAGCGTTTGCGTACATAATAATTCCAATAATTAATTGTAGGGTAAACAAATAAATTTCTAGGTTATCAATATTGCAGGATTATAATTTCCAAGTTCCCAAGAAAGTTAGAAGTGTCACTACAACCCAAATAAGAAAGTTGTTGATCCAACGATCCACTCAAATGTCGAGGATCGAAGAAAGAGACAATGTTCCATTGACGAGCTTTAATAGGAAGCAGAAGAAGCGGAAGAACGATGGTGAGGAAATTCTAGTATGGAAACCGGAAGACTGTGCACAACCGATTGGAGAAATGATTAGGGTTTCGGGAGAGGGAGAAGAGATCAAATACCATTACGAGAAATTCAAGTTTGATGGCAAACAATATGGACTGGTGAGTTTTGTTTTCTTTTTAAGCTTTATTGGATTAGACATTTCAATTGGTTAACAAAAAATCTTGTTTCATTCGAATACTGATTTTGATTTTATTTTTAAAATGTGCTATTATTCAGTTTATGATTTTTTATAATACTAACTAGTAACTACATATGCAGTTATTCAATTAATCATTTATATCTTTAACAAATTCTGTTAGGATTTTTTAGTTAAATATAGAAACTATTATGTAACTGATCCATATGGGTTGGAAAATATAGTAAAATCAAATAAATTCAAATGGATTTTAATATTTTTGTTTTTTGTAGAATATATCAACCACTTAACACTTTAGTTACTTTTTGTTCTTAACTTTTCAGTTTTTCCTTTAGTTTCTTTTGTTCATAATATATAGTTCTATACAGAAGGTTAACATATATAATATACAAAAGCAACATTAAAATTCGAGAATCTGGTCTGTGTATCAGGAAGATTCGGTGCTAATAATTCCAGAAGTACCAAACCGAAAGCTCTATGCTGCTATCATTAAGGTTACCAAACAAAACAAAAAAAGTTGAATGATTTTCAGTGTCGTCTGATGAATTGTTTGTGTTCCATGACAGGATATCTATAAACAAGAAGAATATATGTATGTTGAAGTGCAGTGGTTTTATCATCTAGAAGAGGCAGAGAAAAAAGATGGTGGAAATTGGGAATCGAAAGACTCCCGAATCCTTTTCTACAGCTTCCATCGTGATGAAGTGTTTGCTGAATCTGTGAGGCAGAAATGTGATGTACATTTTGTGCCAGGTGATAAGCAAATTCCAAAGCCTAGACAACACCCTGGTTTTATTGTGCAAAATGTTTATGATTTTGTTAATAAAAAGTTGTGGAAGCTAACTGATCAAGACTTTGAAGAGAAGCAAAAACATGAGATTGATCTTCTTGTGGCAAAAACAATATTGCGGTTGGGTGATCTTCCTGACTTACCAAGTTTCATATCATAAATTCAAAATAAATCATCTAACGCCTCAATTGTTAAAGTTTACATATTTTTAAAGGTGATAATATTAATTTGTGTTGAATGTTATTTCTTGCTGATTTATGCGAGACGGAATCTGCTCAGAGGAGAAGAATTCATCGATTTGAAATCATTGACAAAGGTATAGTAACTTTGTCCCATACTCTATAAATCGCATTCATGAAGAACCATGGTGACCATAGATTCTCGGTTTGGATTATACAGATTCGAAAACTATGGAGATCGAGTGAAACCGACGCGTATATTTCAATTTCTAGTAACATATATGTCTTGAGATTTAAGTGTTTCGAAAAGCATCGTTAGGAACTTTGACACTTTATTTACGATTTGAAATGAAAACATGACGGACCATTAGGTATGAGTTATATTTATATACAACACAAGGCATACACTGACGACACATCAACGCGTTAAAAAGACCAGACATGATCGTACGGACTAACACAGGCCGTGGTTATAAGATTGATTACTTTTATGCATCAACAGAGACACTTACAGCGTTGAGCTCCACATGTTGTCTACCATCGTTTTGTGGATGGACTGTTAGCGTTGCACGAGCTTCAGCTTCAGGGTTTTCATCATCTCCAGTTCGAGAGACTGATATGGAGCTCACGATTGACTCGGCTGTGCCATTAACGTTGTCGTCTGTAATGATGTCCCACGATTCTTTCACGGAAGCAACCTCGAGTCCGTTCTCGTGGTGTTTCTCCATTTCGAATGTGGTCGGAAGGATGACGTAATCGTTTATCGGGTTGTAGAACGGGTCGGGTTCTCCTACGTTTAGCCATTGTTTGAGCATTCGGAAGACACGGTGATCGTTGAGAATTCCTCGGTGCTCACCAGGGACTCCAACTCTAGCTACTGCTTCAAGCCCATCCGCCTAGAAATAAAAGGAACCGTTACAATCAAATTTAACCTATCAAATTCAAGATTTCTTGAACATGTGAAGAAATTCTGAGAAACACAATACCATGGCAGATTCCACCGGGACTGTGCCATCACCATCAACACATATATACGTCGGCTGAGAGTACAAGAAAAGATTATCTAAGATCAGAATATGAGGTAACTTTATTGTCTATAACAATCATAGTTGATACCTGAAAGAGGATGAAAAAATATGTTACCTGGAAGTATCTTAGGTTCGTTAGATCTTTGACGGGCATCTTCTCATTCCCATAGCTGTAGAGGAGTATAGATCGATAGTTTAGAGACAGCAGAACAAGTTGCAAAACAAACACTCAAAACTGAGACCTCAAATCAAGAAACATTACCAAACACTATGAGGGGTTTCCAAATTGGTCCCGTATATGTTATAGAATTTAACTTTAGGAGGAAGCTTGGCAGATGATAATACTCTCTTGGTTTCGTGAGCCCACTCCATGATTTTCCAGTTAAAAGGAAGATCGATGGACTCTCCACAATAATCAGCCTGACAATATGTGTGGACCGTAGGATTAGCCGATGCAACGTCTGGGCGTTTACAAGTATGTCATTTGATGAAAGATGGTGGTAGTGTGTAACTTACTGTATTATTCGAAAGAGATTTCGTAAAAACTTCAAGGCTTTCCAGACTACGGTAAGACTCAAGATAAACATCAGACGTGCCAACTCCATCATTGCTCTGTTTCTCTCTCCACAGCTCTAAAACAGGAGGGAGTTCCCATTTGAAATACGGGCAACACATCAGCTCATATATGGATGGACACTCAATAAGCTGTAACAACAGATGAAGTCAGCAGAAATTATCTCAGCCACAACATTCCATAAAAAAGTAATTTTGAATCTCCAGAAGAGATTACATAAACAAGATTCATAACTAAATGGGATTATGGTTAATTGATCATTACCAACTGATGCATGCTCCACTTAGAGACGAAAAAGTTCTGTTCCCAACCATTGACAAATGACATTCCATTCAGTAAAGTCGATGTGATATATCCAGGAGCACCTAAATCAATAATGTATAACCAATCAATCAAACCATAACTGTCTCGAGTACGATCACAAGTACTACAAATCCAAGAACTTGCCTCGAAATGGAGCAGCAATAGCAATCCAATTCTGTACATACTTCTCGAATATCTGATGATTAGTTACCCAAAAATGTCAGATTAAGATGAAAAGATCGTATTAAAGAAAACTTATGAATCACAAAAGGAGGAATCATATACATCACTGTGCAGACTCATGAAACATTTGACCAACAGTCCTCCCATTGAATGACTTATAACATTGATCTTCTTCTCCCCTGAAGCTTTGTAAATTGATTCCAACTTTTTAGCAAATTGGTCCAACGTTTCCTGTAGTCTATAGAGTATAGACCATTGCAAACAAAAAAACAGTCTATAAACCGATCAATGTTTACGCCAAAGCCATTAAAGAGATATGCTTTTACCTGTTGCTTTGGCGGAAATCATAACCAAAACCAAAAAGGGTTTTCCCTTCTTCGAATCCCCATCCGAGCATCTCAACAATCATCTCATGGAAATAGTACACTGACTCGCGGCCAACAATCTACACAAAGTGTTTGAGTGATCCCAATGAGAAAAGAGAAAGATCTATACACAATAGCTCATGAACCGAACAGCTAGAGATAAACATTACCATATCAGGGTCTAAGACATCAATTGCGAGGAGCCCAGCTCTTTCTTGTGGAACAACAATACATGTTTTTGGGTCGAGAGATATCGTTTTACCTGTTTCACATGAACGGATTAAGAGAGCTTTAAACTAGCAAAGCTGATGCCTTTTTCTCGAAATTAAACTAACAGACTTAATTTGAACTAATTGCAGTATTTATAAGCTAGTTTCTGGAAAAATCAATCACACCCAGTAGGAAAGCAAAAGATTTTAGCACGACTTATCAACTGCGAGGATGAGAAAAAAAGGAAACACTTTTTACCAGTTGAAGGATCAAACCGAGACCACATCTTTGTTCGGAACTCGTGATCGGCACCGAAGATCCTGACCCAGACCCGCTCTTCGGTTCCTTTCTCATGATCAACGGCGTTCAGAATCGAGCCGGCGATTCCGGGAACCAGAAGAACCGGGTCTAGATTCGGGTCAACGTAGGGTTTCTGGTTCGAATTCTTGAGCTTTAGAAAGGCCTCTACTGATCGAATGATCTCTTCCAGCAATAAAGCCATAGTTTTGAATCGATAGCGCAGTAAATTGAAGGTGAGATGAAGAATTCGTAGTTCCCAATTTGGGGAAATTTAGGGTTGGTGAGAAATTGTAGGATTGAAGGAAAAGAGTGAAATAATAAAACAAACTTTGATAATATAAGCCGTACAAGTTAAGGAGGGAGGAAAAAAAATTGTAATGATTATGATCCATCAATTGAAAAATATTATTTTTTTTCCAAATGGATAACGCAAGATTGAAAAACTGAATAATTGGTACTCCCAAAAAAAAAAACGTATAATATAAAAATAGTATCTCACTCATCTGTAGAGTTTCAATACATTTTCAAAACTTAGCCCCAAGGAAGGTTAAATTGTTCTCCAACACGTAAGTTAATTGGGATTATCCCTTGGGATTCTCATGATATACCAATGAACATGGCCACATGGGCATATAATGTCAGATTATAACCCAGATTTTTTTTTTTTGTTGCCGATTTGTTCTCTGCTATGGTTCTGGATGTTCAAAAATTCTCTTCCAAATAACAAATTTCACATGGGCCTCCAATTTCCCCTGTGATTTTAGGGAACTACATCGTCGAACCTTATAAGCGTGACAAACAATCTGATATCTGTTTCAGACAAGCTGTCAAAGTGTTACCACAGATGTAAGAAAGAGAGATCCTACCTACGGATTTTTTGGTTTTCCATGACATCACTAGAATGATATCTCAGAACCAATGAATCGCATTCGTTAATAACAAGGGATTTTTAGATAAACATATCCAAAGACAAAATACCAAGTTTCTGTAGCTGGTTTGACAAAATGAAGTTTTATGATCTTAACTGATATATAAGTTAAAGTATTTTGTTTGAAGTTAAGATCTATACAAAATGAAGTTTTAACTTATAATAGATCTCCTTCACTCTTGTTGTGCGCTCCTTTTGCCTCTGCTTTCTTCTCCTCTCTCCAACTGGTCAATGATACATTCACTGTCATATTATACACACGAACATAATATGTAAAGAGATAAAAATACTTTATCATCTCCAACTTTCTCAAACCCACTAACATAATACGAACATGATCATACCTCGGATACAAGTCAATAATCAAACGGAGACAACGAGACAATGCAAGAGCTGACACGAAGTGGGGACGCTTTGCACAACACCAACCCACTCAACATTTCCCCAAACCTCATCTTCATCAACCTTTTCGACCACAATCTCCGCGCACCAAATCTTCTTCCTGTTATTGGGGTTATGCTTCATATACCCTTCCCAAATAAGCAAGAGTTTCCCACCACAGCTAACAAATTTAGTTGTATTACCGCTTGAGCCACCATTCCTCCGGTAAATCTCTCTTAGCGAGTCTAACCCTTTCACATTTTTCCAAGATCCATCCTTTACAGCCCACTGGCAGAGCCTGACACGATAAATGTACCATACATTCTCCATAACACATTCTGACCTCGGGAAATTTTCAATCATGCCTTCACTGCATTCCCATTTATCTTGAATTGGCTCATAAGCATACGTTTTGATTGATGAGTTCCACAAGTGAATCTTTCCTTCAATCTCTGCGATTCTGTGAAGGAAACAGTTACGTATCTCAGGACCCGGATCAGGTAGGCTTTGCCAAGTCTGAGTCTTTGTGTCGAACACTTCAGCCCATGATGATGATTCTTCCTCTAATCCTTTGCAACTTCCCATTACATATATTCTCCCTTCGTAGACACACGCGAGGGCATGCTTACGGGGTACGATCATGCTAGGTGCATCGCGCCAAGTGTGACTACGACAGTCAAGGATTCGTACGGCGGATGACGGTGCTCCGTCGATTGGTCCGCCGATTACATAGATTTCTGAACCAACAACTACGGTGGATTCTGATTCGGAAGGGAAATCAGAAGGCGGAATCGGAACCAACAATTGTCCGATTGTCTTCTTCTTCTTCCTGGGTAGATTTCGATTAGGGTTAGTCCAGAGGGTAAACCATTGGGGAAATTGATAGCTTTTATCAGATAGACAGACGTAGAGACACTGCTCGGTGCTTCCGAGGTGAGATCGAGCTGCGTAGAGTTCTGTGGAAGAGACAAGTGAGCGGAAGCTTTTGGAAACGATTGAGAGATTCGGGTAGTGCGACCTCGAGATCCGGGCTAAGCAGTTCACGGCGATATCGTCTGGAAGTAGAGAAAACGACGGAGATGAAGGTTGTGGTGGTGACGAATTCTTAGTCTTCTTCTTCTTCTTCCTCTTGTTTTTCTCCGGTGGTTCTACTTGGAGGTTCATAGCTTCAGTGATTTTTTCTTTTTTTGTGATCTTTGGGTGAAATGAGAAATAATATTTGCTATATACATTTACCATATAAAGTCCTTTTTCGATTTACTAATACTAAAACGACTCCCTAGTTAGTATTAGTTTCTAAAACACCCCGAAATATTTAGTACTACGACTAATTTTCACATAAATTGTTGCGAGTAAAGAACATTTTCAGTATAACACAACGTTGGAGCCGAAGTAGAATATATTATGTTCACACAAACATTGTTTTCAACCCTGAAGATTGCAAATTGTAAACACAGAAAGCTTTTATACTTCCCAAAACATCACTTTCAACGTTGAAGAAGAAGACGCAACTTTGCTTATTTGGTAAAGATGGTTCTAACTTTTCAGAAGACAGAAGAAACTCAACTCAAGTGTGGAAAAGATTTGATCTTTGGAGAAGATGATTCTCATCTGGAGAATCTGTGACGATCATGAGGCGAAGAGTAATCGATGTTTGGTCCATGAGGAATGATTCCAAAAGGGTTAATGGAAGGGTGGCTTCCATAGTAATGCTGCTTGATGTGATTCATGTTCACGGTGCTACTCATACCGGGGACTTGGAAAATGTCTTTCGTGTAGTTGAACAGATTCGGATACTCCCTCAAGAGTTTCTTGTTGCACTTAAAGTGGACCGCATAAACCTGCATCGACATTTCAACATCACATATTGTTCTCTTTATGCATATTCCTCGGTTTCAATGTAGAGAAATGAAATTAGGAACTCGAATCAAGTACCTCGTCGAATCTTATAAGAGTGACAAAGAATCTGATATCTGCTTCAGTCAAAGTGTTACCACAGATGTACCGATGTTTTCCAAGAATCTCCTCGCATCTATCTAAGGCTTCATACACTTGCTTAACTGCCTACAAAGAAGAAACCATAAACTTTAAAACTCTCATGAGGATCAAGAAAAGCTATATTTACCTTTCCTCGCCACTTACCTCCTCGTAAGGTCCTTGTTTCTTAGCAAACCCGCATCTATAGACACCGTTATTTATCCCATCGTAAACCCATTCATTAGTTTCATCGATTTTAGCTTGGAGATGAGAAGGGTAAAGGTCGAGCTCGGGATTTCCCGCAATATGGTTGAACTCGGTGTTGAACATCCGGATAATCTCCGCGCTCTCATTGTTCACAACAGTCTTGAGCTTCTTATCCCATAGAACCTGTTCGTAAAAACGGAAACTCATACCATCTAGTCCCGATTTAAGAAGACTTAAAAAGACATTGAGAAGCTAGAAGACTTAGAGGAACAGTATACTTCCCGGTGTAATTGGGGCTAGCAATCTCATAGAGCTCTCTTACACTCTTAGCACCATTAAGATGGTCAGTATCAGCTCCTGGAACCTCAGTATCTGAATCCGGGAAGATCCATCCCATATGCTCATCGCTTTCCTTGGTTCTTCCCCAAATAGGTTTCACAGACTGATGGAAATCAAAACAATTCGATCAACACTCTCAAGAAATGGTATGATTCTGCAGGAACATAAGCAGTGTAAAGGGTTGAATCAACGAACCGAGAAGCTTATTGCATCGTCAAGTCCTTTGACCTTCAAGTATGAGAGACATCTAGAAGCCCATGGACAAGCATAGGATATGTAAAGATGGTATCTGCCAGATTCAGCTGGAAACTGAGAGTTGGAATCTCTTGAAACGAAGTTACGGAATGTTGATGCGGTTCTCTGAAAAGCTCCGGAATCCGATGTCTCATCAACCGCAGATCGAGCCATTGCTAATGTGCACTGATGACAAATCAAAAGCGTAGGATCGAATTTCAGTTTGGGAAACAGAGGTTCATGAACGAAAACAGAGACATCGTAGAATAAATGGAACAAAATTTGGGAACTTTTCGCTCAAAATCAGTTTTTTTTTTTTTTGTTTCCACATAAATGAGGAAGTTCTCAGAATTGGATGCATCGTCGAGACAATATCACAATACTCGGATCAAAACACAAACCCAGAAAACTTATAGACTAAAACAGAGAGAAATTAGAATTCGGAAATTAAGGAAAATGGATTGCGATAAATTTACCTGAAGACGAGATCCACGAGTAGTGAACTTTGTAGCGATAGAGAGGAAGCTATTGTTGCTGATGATCGTGGAGAAAGACATTAACTAGCTTCTAGCTTTTTCCGTTCTATATATTAAAGATTCAGCTTATCAATTTATATGCATAATCCAAAAGATTATTAGAGAGTCAATTTTGGCGACGACGTTATGTCACTGCTTTTGTCATGCCCACTCACCGAGTCACCTGTGATTATTTTGGATGGTTTCGGAGGGAAAAAATTCCCAAGAAAAGCAAAAGTTCACATCTTTCTGATTAATTAGTGTTCAGGTATCTGTTTAAAGTTAACAACTTTTAGCAGACCCACTTCAATCTGGTCGATTTATTTCTACTTTTACATCGGTAAGAACTTAATCCTCGACTAACAGAATCAAACAATTCAAGAAGAAAGATTTGATTCGAACATTTTAGGCTGGAATCGCCACAGAGCAAAGAAGAAATGACGTGTTGTTCAATGTCTTGATAAATAGACCCACACCAATTTCTTGGTGATATTAGTGGAAGTCCCTCTCTCCAGTATTTCAAAGCTGTTAACAAGCGATGAACTGAGACGACTAGATTCAGAAAGTACATCATTCCATGTATTTAGCTCTCTTCGATGTGTGCAAAGCAAGATGATCAACGCGGTAACATTCCACGGTTTCTTGATCCACAATGTGGATTCACTATTCGAATAGAGAGCATGAAAGCAACTGAGGGAGACATAACCACTTCTAGCCTACGCCTAAGGAAGTTCTCTTGGTCAAATCAGCAACAAGGTTGTTTTTACCAGACTCGGAACAAGCTGTAGTGAAAGCAGCTAAGGTAACACGATCAGCGTTACCGTCTTTCTCCAACAATTTCTGAAAGAACAGAGCAGCCACGCCGATTTTCTTCTCGCTACACAACTTTCTCACAAGTGTCCTTACAGTTCTAATCCACAGCTTCTTATCTAACGGTTCCAGCAATATCATTGCATTGGCTGAATCATTCCTCTTACAGTACTCATATGCTATTGTAACCCGAGTTACCTCAGAAGGAGAAATACCTTTGTCAATCATCGCTTCGTAAAGCTTACAAGCCTCATCTACCATGGACTTCTTGCAGAGACCGCTTATTAGTGAGCCATACGTGAAGCTATCTGCAACACAGCCATGCCTCTTCATGTTATGTAAATATCTCAAAGCCAGATCGATGTCACCTTCCTTACAGTACCCGCTAATCATGGACGTATAAGTCTCCTTCGTTGGAACCAAGCCAAGGCTTACCACATATTGAAAAAGCTTCTCACTCTCCTTCATTTGCTTTTGCCTACAAAATGCAGCTATCAATATGTTGTTGAGGCGCATATCAGCTTCAAAACCGATCTTTTTCATCCGGCAGAAAAAAGCTAGAGCTTGATTAATGTCACTTTGCTTACACTGTTCTTGAATAAGAATAGTGTAAGTAACTCCATCAGCCTCTAGTCCAGCAGAAAATGCTTTATTCAGCAACTCATAAGCTTCAGATGCCCTTGATTTCTTACAGAGACTGTCTACAACCGCGTTATACGTATAAATATTCGGCTTAAAACCTTCTTCACCCATCAAATTCATCAACTCGTACGCTCTATCAAAGTTTCCAGCTTTACAGTGACCATTGATGAGCGTTGTATACGTGTTCACGTTAGGAATCAAACCCTGCTCTTTCATTCTGGTAAACAACATCTCTGCACGGTTCAACTTATCTTCTTTGCAATACCCACCAATCATCGAAGTATAAGTATACACATTAGGTTTGTAATTATCACTACGAACAAGTTTCAGGAACAGCCTAAACGCTTTCTCGGTCCATCCTCTTTTACATAGCCCATCAATCAAAGCCGTGTGTGTATAAACATTTGGCTTCCAACCTATTCTAACCATTTCCTCTAACATCTCAAAAGCCTGCTTGATACTACCTTTCTTGCATAACCCATCAATCAAAGATGTAAAATTGATCAAGTTTGGCTTTAACCCTATATCAATCATCTTACGGAAATACCAGATTGCTCTGTTGACTAAACCATTCTCACACAAAGCACTAAGGATTAAGGTGCATGTAGCGTTATCAGGAACAAATCCCCTTTGGATCATCCCATTTAGCCACCTATCAGCTTCCTGGATCTTACCTTCTCTAAAACAACCAATAACCATCAGCTTATAAGAACTTGAATCCGGACAAACTCCTCTCACAGACATTTCGTCGAACACGTTCTCTGCATATTCTATCAAACCAGACTCAATTGCAATCTCGAGAACGCAATTCAAAGTTGTCGCGCTGGGTGATAATCCCTGATTCTGCATATCCATAACCATACCAACAGCCTCGTTCAACCTCCCAATCTCCGAGAAATTTCTCAGCATGCATCGCATTACCTCATGAGCTTTCTCCATATTTCCATTGGCAATCAACGAATCAGCGGTTACGAGATACAATCTCATGAAATGATGGAACTTTTCGAAACCCACCGACCAATAGAAAAAGCAGAGAGCCACCATAGAACCAGCTTCGCTGGCGAGGGAAGCCACCACAGTGATGGCCTGCTCGTGGGTAAGAGAATTGGCATCGAGGTCGAGATTGACGCGGTGAGGGGATAATATGGCATGGGTTTGACGAAGATAAGAGTGACATACCAATGAGCATACCGATTTAACGAGAGACTGAGAAGGTGAAGATGACGGAGAAGGAGACGGAGAAGGAGACGGAGGAGGAGAAAAATCACCGGATTCGTAGTCGGAAGAGATCAATCTGAAGAAGAAAAGGGAGCTTAGAGAATTGGGTATCTCAGAAGGTCTAACAAGGAATCGATTCGACCTAGCAAGACGAGATGCCATTGAAGATTTAATGGCTCGTCCTCTTCTTCTACTAACTATTGCAGAGAGAGTGTGTGTGTGTTATGTCTGACAAAAATCTAATCTTTATATAAAAGTTGTTTTGGTTTACCAAAACAGAGTTTTATAATACATCGGAGCATCGAATACAACTATGATCAAGAAACCTAGCTACAAGGCTCTCTGGTTCAGGGATCAGAGATGAAGTTATACTGTTCCAGAAATGGAACGTTAAGGACTCATTGATGATCTTCTTGAACAATTCGTCTTGCTGCAATTTCTCATCCTCTGTTGCAGGAAATGCAAAATAGCTGCTCCACCAAAATCAACACAAGTTTAGAGTTAAGAGCTTTGCTCAATCATGGAACTTGTACAGCAAAATGATGAAGTCTTTGACCGAAACTAGTAGAGAGAGATTTACCTTGTTATCTGTTGTGAGTTGATCGGGAAGAAAACAGAGAACGGTCGAATGTTCGGCGCCTGTTGAGTCATACGCCGATTCTTCCCGTTTAAAAACCGTTTAGCCACCCGAGTCAAGAGATCAGCTCCATTGCATCTCAAACACTTGTCATCATATGTTAAGTAGTACTCGTTCAAACATTCAAGCAAGAACGGGCTGCAGAGAGAGTTTAAAACTTAAAACTTCAGGCACAAACATTGGAGGTTGCTAAGATGGGAATCGATGTCTTAATGTAGAAAAGCATTGATTTGTGTTTACGAACCTTTTCTTTTCAAAAGACATAACCGCACCATTCAGCTTTTCACCTGCTGCTTGATCCTCCACACCGAGAGTGTTTTTCAGTGATGATAATGAACCCAAAACTATCACATCAGAATCGAGATAAAGCCCACCATATCTGCATAAAATATGCTCCTTATGAAGTGAAGACAGTGATCAATTGATGATAACTAAGAGACTAGAGATTGATCAAGCCTTACTTATAAAGGGTAGCAAGCCGGACAAGTTCACTGTAGTGAGTAGGATAAAACTTTGTTTTTCTCCAGTCAAACCATACGGAAGCAAATACGTGAGTAGGAGTATCCTGCAGCAACTCATCGAGGTTGGGCATTGCAACAGCAACTTTATAACTACAGAAGAAAATAGAGAAAAGAAAATCAATCAAACTATTTTCGGAAGAGTATAGAGGAGGAAGCGTTCGTGTCACTCACTAACCCGTCTTTCACAAAGCTGTTTCGGAAGAAATTAAGCTCGACTGTCTCTGAGAAAACCACAACGCAAGCATCTCGATGCTGAGAGAGTAAGCTCTCAAGCCCTCTTTGATGCCTAACACTAAACATCCAGCCAGGTGAATTCCATACCATAAATACTCTCATAGAGCATTTCTCCTTTCTAAAAAACGAATCCATGAAGTCTGAAAACGACAAACCCGGTTCCAATCTAGGGTAATATCCCCATCTAGTCCCATCTGCATACATATGTTCTGTAAACTCATCATTCTCCCAATCAAATTCCACATTCTCCTCTTCCTTTGTCTCGGCTTTGCTATCATTGTCTAATGTCTTACGTTCACCTCTCTTAATCTCACCATTTCTCACTTCCCCACTCTCATCGACACTGTTCTGCAATCTAATTCCTTTTCTACTTTCTCTAAACTCATTTGGTTCTCTCTTCTCTGCAACACTCAATGGCTTCTTCACCATAAAAGGGTTTCTCTTAATCTCACTCAACCTCCATTTCTGCACAGCTTTATCCCCTCTCGTCAATCCAGTGATCCCAACACCATCAGGATCCTGCAACATCGGAATGTTCAATGGATTCAATGTCTCAATATTTGATTTAAACATCCTATCTCTCCTCAAGAAATCTCCTTTCTTATCAAACCAATCTCCCCAACCTTCTCTCAATGGCGATACCATCCTACCAGATTTCAGCAGCAACGCATCTTCCACACTCGAAACCTCAACGATCTTCCTCCGAATCGATTCGTCTAGAGGCACATCGTCAGATCCAAACGCAGCTTTACTCTTTTCACCGAAACTATCATCGTTACCGATTCCCGATCCGATACTGAAACCTGCGTAATCGTAATCCCACTCGTCGATCGATCTTTTGTTGAAAGCTCTTCTGATGACTCCGTTAACGTGATCGAAGTAAAACCCAGAAGACGAAGCCTTATTCCGATCAGGATCCACTTCTTGCTCTTGCTCCGCATCCTGGTTCTCGTCTTCCTCATTCGAAACACCGTCGTTTCTGTCGTCCTCAATCGCATCGTCGTGCTCGTCGATTCTATCCTCGTTTGAGGACCCTCTACCTCCGGCGGTTTCCACGACGTCGGAATCGGAGACGAGTAGAGAATCCGGGAACAAAACCGCGTCTTCGCCGGAGCCGGAGCGGAGGTGATTAGGCGAGTGAGAGGAGAAGAGTGAGAGACGCGTGTAGAGAAGAGAGACGGAAGCGAGAAGGAGAACGGCGGACATAACGGCGCAAGCCTGTGCGCCGTGACGGGAACGTGAACGCCGTGATCTCAGCATCGCCGAAATCTCCTCCGTCGGGAATCCAACGAGAAATGCTCGACGGTTTAGATGAGAATGGCATTCTCTTCAAAATGCGACACTCCCCCTTAAACTTTCAGGCCCATCAACACCGACGACATTTTTCTAAAAAGCATTTTTTATGTTTTGTCCCACATCGAAAAACTGGCACAATTTAAAGTAAAGCTACATTATAAATAAGAGTCTTCATCTTAATTCCATATCCTGAGATGTTGTGGGCCCATAGTTGATTCTGTGTGCGATCTACTCCAGTTGGGCCTAATATTGGGCCTGATTTTTTTCAAAAAAATTCGGTGTTAGCTGGAAGAAAATCGTTTGCCACCGATCGAATCACTGGCATTCAACAATAATGGAAGCTTGTGTACCCGAAGAAGTGCTTGAGTCGCTGCTCAATGCTTCGGATTTATCATATTCACTAGAGCAGTGCTTGCAGTTTCTTCTAGAATCTTCCAAGACCGATTCAGGCCGCTCTGATCTCGCTTCCAAGGCTGTCCTTCCATCGATCATTCGTCTTCTTCAGCTTCTCCCTTACCCATCTTCCCGTCATTATCTGATTCTCACTTTGAAGGTCCTCCGAAACTTATGCGCCGGAGAGACCTGGAATCAGGACGCTTTCGTCGATCACGACGGTTCTGTTGTCGTTTCCGACTTGCTGGGTTCTGCGATTGAAGATTTCGAGACTCTCCGGTTCGGATTGCAGGTTCTGGCGAACGTTCTAGTGTTAGGGCAGAAACGCCAGAGAAATGTGTGGCTGCGCTTTTTCCCAGAGAGGTTCTTAGCGATCGCCAAGGTCAGGAGGCGAGAAACCTGTGATCCGCTGTGCATGATTTTGTATGCTTGCTTTGACGGAAGCTCGGAGATAGCTTCACAACTTTGCAGCAATCAAGGACTCGACATTGTTACTGAAGCTCTACGGACATCATCTTCGGGTAACTAGCTTAGTTTGGTTGGTGTTGGTTTTTGTTCTGTCTGATTCTGATTCTTCTCTTGTTGTTGTTTGTAGTTGGGTCTGTAGATGATTATTGGCTCAAGGTACTGGTTTCGAGACTCTGTGTTGAAGGCGATTGCTTTCCTGACCTCTTCTCCAAACTATACAGGACCGATATTGTCCAAGGTAATGAGACATTTACATCAGAACACGCATTTCTTTTGAGGATGGTCTCTGATATTGCAAATGAGCGACTGAAACAAGTGACGATCCCCAAGGATACAACTCATTTCATCATGGGACTATTCAAGCAATCAATTGGTGTTTTTGATTTTGTTTTGGGCGAAAAATCCGAGCTTCCAACTGGTTCAACTGTAATCGATGTAATGGGCTACTCTCTGGTGATAATAAGGGACACTTGCGCTGGAGGAAGCCTTGAAGAACTCAAAAGTGACACCAACGGTTCAGGTGATACTGTTGAATTGTTGTTGTCCTCTGGACTGATAGAGCTCCTCCTTGATCTGCTTCGCAAACTTGAGCCTCCAACGACGATAAAGAAGGCTTTGAAGCAGAGTCCTAGTTCTTCCTCTTCTAAGCCTTGTCCCTACAGAGGATTTAGGAGAGATATTGTGTCTGTGATTGGGAACTGTGCGTACAGAAGAAAAGATGTGCAAGATGAGATCAGGGAGAGAGATGGGCTCTTCTTGATGTTGCAGCAGTGTGTGACAGACGACGAGAATTCATTCTTGAGGGAGTGGGGCTTGTGGTGTGTGAGAAATCTGCTTGAAGGGAACCAAGAGAATCAGAAAGTGGTTGCTGAGTTGGAGATGCAAGGCTCTGTGGATGTGCCTCAGCTTCGAGAGATTGGTCTCCGAGTTGAAATCGATCCTGTAACAGCAAGGCCAAAGCTTGTCAATGACACCTGAAAGAAGCAATGTTCTCAAATTTTACCCATGTGTTATGTAACCTTTTTCTCATTCAACCTAATTTATTTTATTTTGACCGCAAAGTAGAGTAAGAATCATGAAAAATCAAAATGATGTTCTGTTAAGTAACTCCTAACTCTGAGTTTGAAATTTCGTTCCGGAACTGTGTTTCTAATCATCAAAACAATCACAGAGTGTTACCTTTGCGACAAAGAAACTCTTTAAGCAGACACTCATACATTATAACAAAAACCCACCCTTTTTATTAATTTACAAAAAAACAAATGTTTTGGCCATGCAGTGTAGCTCAGATAACCAATGTTTACCAATCCAAAATATACACGGCCATGCATAGAGCAGCTAAATTAATCGGAGAAATGTGTTGGCCATGCAGTGTAGCTTAGACAGTCAGTCCTTTGATGTTGAGTAATCAGAATCTGATGCAACACTACCGATGATCTTCTTCATCATTTCGGCCATTAATTTTACGGTCGATTTTTCTATGGTTTTTACCATATAAGCCTTTGATTCATGGGATTTAATCACGGCTCTCTCAAGTACATAATCTGGACGACCTATGGAGATTGAAAAAAATGATGAGTGAATATCAGCTTTTGTTTAAGTGAAAAGAGAAGGAAAAGATTAAAAGGCGATGGAGTAGCGAATCCAATGTTCTTTTTTACCAGCTAACCGAGCAACGTTAACTCCATAGCTTTTAGGACATGCACTAGGCGTCAATCTATAGAGAAATGTAACATCTTCTGCTCCACCAATTCATTCTCCAACTTGACATGCCATATGGCAAAGCGAGACCTATCCAAAAATATCAACAACCATCAGTTTTTCCGGTAAGTTTCAGAATCTACACAAAAAAAAATCAGATGTTTGATAGTCCCAACTCTCTCTAACACAGTATCACGTGCTATTGATCATTATCTGAACCAAACACACTCACTGTACCTTTGGATTGGTTTGATAATCAATAGAGAGACGATGATAGTGAGTAGAGAACATTCCTCTACACTGCACCTTATTGATGAAGTGCTCAAGTACGGATTCCCTGTCAGAAATTAAAGATAACTTTAGATAATCAGAACAATAACTATAAGTTCCAACAAAAGAATACACAGTAATGGCTCAACATACGCAATGGCTTGTCCATCTGATGTGGCTGTTCCTCGTCCAAGCTCATCTAGCACCACCAGTGATTTCAGGTTGCTGATGACTGCATATTATATATATATATATATATATATATAATAACCATCTATCAATGTTTGTTGACATTTTGCATAGTTTAACAAAGCATATGAACAAAACTCAAAAAGATAATAGCGATGGTAAGTAGCGAAGTATCACACTAATCTTAGAAAGCTTCATGTAATCAAGTTGATAAAGATTACTTACCAACATTACAGCAGTTTCTGAAAGTTCTGTTAGAAACTTGCTTTGTCCTGCCATAATATGATCTTTTGCACCCATCCGGACAAAGATTCTGTCAACAGGCGAAAGCTCAAAGGTTTCTGCTGGGACATCTGCTCCAATCTATGAAAAAAAATCATCATTTCTTGAGTCTCTTTTATCCACGACAAATGAGTCAAGGCCCATCGCCTTCAAAATTCAAAAGATGGCGTTACCTGAGCCAATATTACAGCCAAGCAAACTTGGCGAAGAAGGGTTGATTCTCCACCCATATTAGGGCCTGTGAGGAGAATGAAACTGGCCTGCTTCTAACCACCAATCTTTACATTATTTGGTACAAAAGAGCCTCTCCCTAATGAATCACCCCTCAGAACTGGATGCCCTAGACCAGTGGCGGACAAGTGTGAAACATCATCAGATGTAGATCCTGATATTAATTGGACGGCATCTTACTCCTTCATAAGAATCACTTGCAAAAACTAGGCTGATCTGCAATAGAATGAATTCATGTCAACAACGCATCCACAGAAAGATCTAAGCGCACACATTGTTCGCATGCCTAATTCTATTAAACAGTCTTCTACCCAAGTTAACTCTTTCTTATATGATATGACTGAGATATAGGTCAGCAGCAGCAGGATTTAATTCACACAACAAATTGCAGGGAGCTCTAATGTTTACTTCTAACTCAGTTTATAAAGTAATTGATCAAACTCGATTCTAACTGGCTCAAAATTTGATCACAATTAGGTCTTGCCCAGGAAACTCAGCAAAAATATATAATTTTATAAAATTATTTTTAAATATTGAAATATTCAATGTTCCACCAGATAAATATCAGCTCAAAATGCAGGATTTAACCCGTCAAACTATTTGTGGACCAGCAAGTGTCATCTTGAACGTGCGAACCAATCGAGCTCCAAATTTTGAGATATTCAGTCAAAGTCAAATATATTCTACTAACAACTCAGGACCGTTAAAAAGATCACAGAAACAGTGTAACATGAAGTGGTCCGAAATACGCGGCGACAGTTTGAACTTCGAAGAGGAGTATAAAGAGAGCTCGAAATGTACAAAAACACTACAAGAAAGAGGAACTTTTCTAACGAATTATTTACGACGATTTATAGTCGTCATAAATTTACGACGACTTTACGTCGAATTTACGACGTTCAAAAAATTTGTCGTAAATTCGACGTAAAAAAGTATCATCGTAAAATCGTCGTAATTTTACGACGATATTACGACGAATAAAAAACGAATTTTATTTCGTCGTAATGTTGTCGTAAAATTCACATCGAGAATACGACGAATTGTCTTTTATCTTGTAATTGACGTAATTTCGATGTAAATGTGATGTAAATTTTAATTCGACGTAAATTTGATGTAAATGTGCAATGGGAATATGTTGGAAAGCTTACAAAAAAAATCTATATATACCCTTTCTTCTTTCATTATTCCATCAACCCAAAAAAACATATAAAGACACAAATTTTTTGAGTCTTTGAATGTTTAAGTAAAATTTTTATAGTAGTTGAAATTTATATCTAATAGTTAATTTCTAAAATTAAAAGTCAAATATTTGTTTTTGAAATGTCTATATACGATCTACGAAAGTGGATGTATACGCCCAAAAATGGTGATGGGTCGCTCACTGAAGACTTCAAAAACGGATTGGAAATATTCATGTACCAAGCCGGCCTTATGCAAACTGTAAATGAAAGCGGAAAAATGTATTGTCCTTGTGTGAAATGCAAAAATAGGAAACATATTCCTATTGACAATGTCTGGAAGCATTTATTGAATAGAGGGTTCATGCCCCAATACTTTATTTGGTATCATCATGGAGAGGGATATGGTCAAAGTAGTGGTCAGATGGTTGCACGGAGTAGTAGTAATCATCAACAACATGAGGATTTTGAAGCGTCAAATGATTATCAAAGTAGTCAAGTTCAGGGTGAAGATCATGATAGGATGCATGAAATGATTACTGATGCATTTCATGAAACACAAGCTGATACTGTTGAGGAGCTCAATGCAGATGCGAAACGCTTTTATGATATGTTAAACGCAGCAAAACAGCCTCTTTACGAGGGATGTAGGGAAGGTTTATCAAAATTATCATTGGCAGCTCGGATGATGACAATAAAAACTGATCACAATCTATCTGAAGTTTGCATGAACGATTGGGCATATCTTATTAAAGAGTATTTGCCAGATGATAATTTGGCTGCTGAAACGTATTATGAAATTCAGAAGCTGGTTTTTAGTCTTGGATTGCCTTCTGAGATGATTGATGTTTGTGTTGATAATTGTATGCTCTTTTGGAGAGATGATGAGAAGCTTGAAGAATGTCGTTTCTGTCAAAAGCCAAGATATAGACCGCAAATTGCTGGGCGTAAGAAGATTCCTTACCAACGAATGTAGTATCTTCCTATCACCGATAGGTTAAAAAGACTATATCAATCTGAACAGACAGCTGCGTCGATGAGATGGCATGCAGAACATTCACAAACAGGTGGCAAAATGACTCACCCGTCTGACGGGAAATCTTGGAAACATTTTAACACCGTACATCTAGACTTTGCTAGGTCTAAGCGAAATGTGTATCTTGGTCTTTGCACTGACGGTTTTAGTCCATTTGGTATGTCTGGTAGGCAATATTCATTATGGTCTGTGATTCTTACGCCATATAACCTTCCTCCAGATATGTGCATGCAAAAAGAGTTTTTGTTTCTAAGTATATTAGTCCCTGGTCCAAATCACCCAAAGCGGGCCCTTGATGTGTTTTTGCAACCACTCATACATGAGTTAAACCAGTTGTGGCATGTTGGAGTACGAACATATGACTGTTCGAGTGGTAAAAATTTTATGATGCGAGCGGTGCTTATGTGGACAATAAGCGATTTCCCGGCATACAGAATGCTATCAGGTTGGACAACGCATGGGAGGTTATCATGTCCCTATTGTCTTCATAGGACTGATGCATTTCAGCTTAAACATGGTAGGAAAACATGTTGGTTTGATTGCCACCGTCGGTTTTTACCACCAAACCATCAATATAGAAGAAATAGGCGTTTGTTTATAAAGAACAAATTGGTTCGTCTCCCTCCACCAGTGTACCTAACTGGAGTAGAGCTTGAAGCGCAAATAGATCATTGGGGTGGACTTGAAACGATCCCCCGAGGAGGAAATCGGCACACTCCAGCGAATATGCCTGAAGGATATGGGGTTCATCATAATTGGCACAAGAAAAGTATATTTTGGGATCTGCCATACTGGAAAGATCATTTGCTTAGACATAATCTTGATGTTATGCACATTGAGAAAAAAAATTTCGATAACATAATGCATACTGTTTTGAACGTCCAAGGAAGAACCAAAGACAGCGTTAAATCACGGATGGACTTGCCCGATATATGTAACAGAATTGAGTTGCATATGGTGAGTAATTGGAAAGCACCAGTTCCTGTATTTCGGTTGGGTGCTGAACAAAAAACAGCATTGTTTAATTGGGTATCATCAGCTGTGAAATTTCCTGATGGGTATGTATCTAATCTGGCTAAATCTGTGGATAAAGGACAAAAGTTTTCAGGGATGAAAAGTCATGATTGTCATGTGTTTATGCAACGGTTACTTCCTTTTGCGTTTGATGAACTCTTACCGGGACATGTCCATGAGGCACTAGGAGGCATTGAAGCTTTCATTCGTGATCTAAGTACAAGGACATTATCAGAAGATGTAGTTGCACAACTGTCTACAAATATTCCAATATTGTTGTGCAATTTAGAGAAAATATTCTCACCTGCTTTCTTCGATGTTATGGAACATTTACCTATACACCTCCCTCATGAAGCAGAGTTGGGTGCATTTTTCTGAGTAAACTGATGTGTTATATAAGGTTTTGTAGTATAAGATTAAAGAACTTGTAGATATGTGGTTTATGTTACGATGAATTTACGACGAATGGGTGTGATTCGTCGTAAAATCGTCGTAATATACCATCGAGTTTACGACGAAATGTAACCCCTAAATCTTATAATCAATCTTTTCTGGTTTTCAGGGGGAATTTAAATGAAGAGAATGATATGGATTACCATCTCATAAGGTAAAACAACTTTCTAAACAAAAAAAAAATTTTCAAAATTTGACATATATGTGTTTATCAAGTAATCTTAAGGTGTTATATACATTTAGAGGAGATGTAAGGATTTATCTTACATCTTATCAAATTCTTCATTAAGTTATGTAAACATGCTAGAAATTTATACAGACCACATTTATCATGTATAGACATGCTTGTATGTGCTTATGGATGTTTCAATTTTTTTAATTCATCATTTTTGTAAATACCATCGTAAAATCGTCGTAATATTACGACGATTTTACGACGATATGTAAATACATAGCCGTTATAATTTTTATGATTTATAAGGATTTGTCGTAAATTCGTCGTAATTTTACGACGAATTTATGACGACTAACCCTGATCGTCGTAAATTCGTCACAAAGCCCAGATACAGCCACGTGTGTTTGTCTTATTCGCTTTGTTGTACGGTTGCACCTTTACGACGGATTTACGACGAATAAAAATTCTATATATATGGAAGCACCGCTTCCTCATTTCGTCGCTCATTCAACTTCTTCCTCTCCCTGCTTCCTCCTCACTTCGTTGCTTCCGTGCAAACCCAAAAAATCAGGTAATTTTTTTTTTACTTAAAATCTAATTTTTATTTTTAATTAGTTTAGAAATACAAACGGTTTAGGTCAGAAATTAGTTTAGGCTCAAAATTTATTAGATTTAGGATCGGAATTTGTTAGATTAAGGATTTAGGGTGTTTGTTAGATTTATGATCATAATTTAAAATTAATTTGTAATTTCAAAAATAAAAATTTTCCGGTTTTGCAGACGATGACACGACGGAGGACGCACTACATCAACTTTATGGCGGACGGACACTCTTCCAGGGCGTCTGCATCGGGCAATACTGGGACCGATGTCCCTTCATCTTCCGGAGCCTCCCAGGTTCCGAATACAATTGCGGAGCAATCTCCACCACCGCCTCCACCACCACCTCCACCGCCGGTTGCCGAACTGGTACCCGTCCCTCCTCAACCGTATGCCCAACTTACGGTTGAGGACTTACAAGCCCTCCCGGGACGGGGGATTTTACGACGTTTGGTTCCCGGAAAAGCGGAACCAGGTTCTTATTGGTAAGTAATTTATTTTTTTTAATATATTTTTAATTAATGCTTTATTTTACTTAAATATTATTGTAAACTAATTTTTTTTTCCTAGGTTTGACTTGGATAATTGTGTCGGTCGGAGCGTTTCCGACACAATTAAGAGTCATTTTGTTGAGCCGCACTACAATTGGAGCAAGGTATCGAGACGTTCGACACTTGGTACAAGTGCTTCGCGGTAAAATTTTTTAACTCTTCTATATATCTTATTTTAAATTGAATTTTAGTTTTATTTTGTTTATATAATTATTTGTTTTATTTTGCAGCAACGGTGGAACTGGGACATCAGGATCAACGAGACGGTCCGCGAAGCTTTCTGGCTGAAGGCGCAGAAACGCCTAGTCAACACCGTTTCCGATTGGAAGCGGAAGTGGGAGACTGACGGCGACGAAGCGAAGCCGAGTGCCATATCTACTTCCTGTTGGAACGGGTTGAAGGCGTACTGGCTGGACCCGCATGCCCAGACCGTTGCGTCTAAGTGTTCGGCCGTCCGCAACCGGGTCGGTCCTGACGGTCAGAAGTTAGTAACCCCGCACACTTCTGGCCAAATCTCTTTTGCGGGCCGACGTCTCATGATGGTAAGTAATTATTTCATTATTATTTTATTTTTAATTATTTCAATTAATTAAATATTTTTAACTAATGTTTATTAATTGGTAGGCCTAGGAAAACGGAGGAGAACTTTCTCCAATGACGAAGCTTTTCGAGACCATTCACCGGAAGAGGGACGGGAGCTTTGTCGACGCTCGATCAGAGGAGATCTACAACGCCGCTTTTCAGCGGATCGCCGAGCGGGAAACCCAGGCCACACCTGACGGTACTATCCAAGTACCGTTGACCGTCACTGAGCAAGACCAGATTTTTGAGGAGGTATGTCTATTTCACATTTTTCAAACTTTATTATATTTATTATTTAATTAATAATCAATTAACATTTTAATTTTCATTTGTAGGTTGCTCCGAAGAAGAAGGGCCGAACCTTAGGGATGGGCTCTATTAGAGACTGTCCCGCAGCCTCGGCATTCGGATTCCGCACGCAAGAGGATCCGAGTCAGCTTCGCCAGGAGCTTGCCATGGCCAATTCTGAGATCACCACTCTCAGACATGAGCAAAGTACCCAGAAGCAGGAGCTCACCGAGATGCACGGCCTCTTCGACATCATTGCTGAAGTGGTTCCGCAGTTGGCCACCGCTATCCGAGAGAGACAACGGCGAGCTCGAGGGATCTTTGAGACCGGTGGTACTTCTGGGGAGCAGACGCAGGCTCCGATAGTGCAGACGGGGAACGACGATCCACAGTCACGGCCGGGCAAGACGGAGAGCCTCCTCGAGACGTCGATCTCAACCTCGACGATTACGATATCACGTTATAGTAGATTTATTTTTGTAAAAAACAAATTGTATTAAATTTTTTTCTTTTATTTATAAATTAATTTTGATTTTAAATTTTAAGTTAAAATTATTTTTAATTTTCAATTATTTGATTATTTAAAAAATTCATTAATTAAAATAAAATTGAATTTAATTAATTAATTTATAAATCGACGTAAATTCGTCGAACTAACGTCAGATTATTTACGACGAATTTACGTCGATGTAATTTACGTCGAATTTACGTCGGAATTTTACGACGAATTAACAACGATACCTTAAAAACTGTTTTTTCCGTAATTAAAATAGGTTGTCTCCTAATCGTTGTTTAATCGACGTAATTTTACATCGATTTTACGTCGTTTTTAAGTTTGACCTATTTCGTTGTACTTTCGTTGGAAAATTTACGTCGATATTACGACGAATTATTGCCGACGATTTTACGACGATTTTTGTCGGTTGGTAAATTTACGATGATTTTACGACGAATTCTGTTGTAAAAGCTCTTTTACGTCGATTTTACTTCGATATGTTCCGACGTAAAACTCCATCTTTCTTGTAGTGAAAAAAACACATCTTTTCCTCCGAAAAAACCCTAGAATTACAGTTATCTTTTTGTATTCTTTCTCTTCGAGAAATCATGTATTCATCTTCGATTAAATCAATACAAATCCAATTTCTTCAATACATTTTATATTTGATCGATTCGAAGACAAATTTGTCCTATCGTTATAAATCTTTTCCTTAAAACTATATACAAATTTTTGAGTGTGGAATTTAGGAACCACACATATGGCCATTGATAGTCGATCTTTGTGTTATAGGACCTGGGCCGACCCGGAGTTAAAATCCATGATGCAAAATTTCAGATAACAAAAGTTTTAAGGCAGCAAAAAAGTCTAGAACTTTTTTTTTTTTAAAGTATGTATACTTAGTCCCACATCAATGAAGTCAAAAAAAACAAGAAGGAAAAGTTGCATATAAATAAGATTCACCATCCATTTTTTATTTTTAAAGAAATTGTGGATCTATTATTGGGTTCAATTATAAATCAATAATTTTTTAAAAAAAAATGATTTTAGGCCTTAGATTTTAGGCAGAAAAAAAATCAATGATTTTGATTATATATTTAAAAAATTTGTCGTAAAAAAAAATCAATAGGTACCGTTGATGGTTGCTTAATAAGCCTGTTGGTGGCAGATCTGAATGGAACCCAAACGGCAGCGTGGACCAGATCTGCTTCATTTACTCTGCAAATCATGTCTTCAATCTCCCTCAGATAAGTTTCAATGCGACAACGCTCTAGTGGTCTTTTGCCTCTCAGCCGTGCGATGGTTTGTTTTTAGTCCCGAAAGCTTTGGTTTCAGTTGCCAATCCATCAGACGAGCTGGTGGCAGCATCTCCAATGGTCGCATTGGCGATTAAGTTTTCCTGTCTTTTTTTGTTTTGCTGGTTTGGGTCAGTTTGCTCTAGTTTTGTCTCAAGCTTTTTAGGATTTTTGTAAATGAGCTTCTGTTTGTTTTTTTTTTTTGCCCTCCCCCCTTTAGACTTTTAGTTTTAAATTTATGTTTGCATCTGTTTTTGTAAATGTTCTAAACTCAAACATTAAATATGAAGGCTCATTAAAAAAAATATCTAACATATAATAAATTTATATTTTTTAGCGTATGCTATGATTGAATATTTGAAAACAAAATCAATCACTAACATTGTTATTAATAACATATATTGATGTTTTCAGTTAAATTATTAAAATGCAATTATATTTATATAAAAAACTAGATAAAAATTGATCATACAATTTTATAATCAGATTTTATACTCGGGTCACCTGGATATATCTGCTCAGAACAAAAGATGAGGTTTTGACTATGTTTCTCAAGTTTTTACGGATGGTTAAGACTCAGTATAGTGTTCGATCTGATAATGCTCCAGAGATTCAGGGATTTGTATAAGAAGAAAGGTATCATTCCTTACCATTCTTGTCCGGAACTCTAGAGCAGAACTCAGTCGTCGAGAGGAAGCACCAACACATACTAAATGTGGCAAGATCTCTCATGTTTCAGTCACACATGCCATTGGAGTTTTGGGGAGAGTGCATTTTGACTGTTATTTTCCTAATCAACAGATTGCTTACTCTTTTCCTTCAAAACAAATCTCTATTCGAAGTTCTTACTTTCAAAAAGGCAGATTACAGTGGAATTCGTGTCTTCGGTTGTCTTACTTCTTCAAAGAGCAGACATAAGTTTCAACCACGTTTAAGACCGTGCATCTTCCTCAGTTATCCTGCTGGATATAAAGGTTACAAATTATTTGATGTTGAAACAAACACAGTTCACATTTAAAAAAACGTGATGTTTCATGAAGACATCTTTCCATTTGCTAAATATTTGCAATTGTATGACTAATACAAAATCATGTTGTTACACATAATCGTATTAACATGCATATAAAATCAGTTAAATTACTTATACTTTAAATAAATTAAATTATATTTATTAAAACAGTTTATAGATACTTACCTAGTCAATCAGTAACTCCAAGTAACAATCAAAGCAATAACTGAAATCTTTCTTAATGTGTTGGTTTATTTCATTCTCCATGCCGAAGTATTTATACAAGATGAGTATTTCGTTATTCTATACAATATTTCTTTCTTGTGATAATATCGAATCTAGGATATGAATATATCCGTTCCTGATAATTACCATACTCTTTTTTAGAAAAATGACAAATGATTTGAAATAAATAAAAAAATGTGGAACCTGAAATTGAGGTCGTTCGATAGAGTTTATGGTCACATACATATATACTCGAAACATGGGATGGATTTCCGGAAAACAACCGGTCTTAGAGGCGCACCACCTTGCGGATAAAGGGGACGCTTGTGTAGAAGAGTTGGCGCACTGGATAGAAACAAACCAGCCGCGGAATGATGAGAAGCTTGATATTGCCCGCTAGAAGAAGTGGCTTCTAATCTTTAGTAGATACTAATCTTTAAAACATTTTGGGCATTATTAGTTGTATAAGATTTGAACAGAAACGAGATCGAGACTCGCTCCTGAAGAAGACGAAGATGAGCTCGAGAGGATCTGGAAATTATGAATAATGTTTCTGTTAATCATAAACTGTCGATGTACAATGTGTTATATACAATTATCATCTATCCAAATAACCGATTCTCAATAAACCAAAATATATTTTGTAAACCACATCTAATAGGCATCTTAGATCTCGTTTAGCGATGGTGATCAATTTCCCAAATAGGTTGAATCATCCAAATGATAAACCAAACTTAAACAGCTACAAACCACTGAATAACAGAGGAAAGTAGCAACTGAAGCAAGTATAGCAAGAGACTTGAGGAAAGAGTATTGCAAGAGACTTGAGAAGCTGCGATCAGTTAAAGAGAGTTATCTGTAAAAATAAGAACAAAAGAGTCAGAGATTGATATCTATAGAAAAAAATCAAAAATAATAAAGGAGTTAGACATTGATACTAGAATGTCACAACGTAAAATGTCAAAAATTAAGAAATTGTGGAAAGTTGTTAAAATTCCACTTTAAAATGATTAATATTAATATATAAGAGACTTAAAACTATTCATTTATTGCCAATTGGTTTTGAGTTTAAAAGATTTCTCTGCTCCAGAATCATTAAGACAAGTCAAGTTTTGGATGGTTCAGATCAGCCCATCAAAAAGGCCCAAAAGTTTAGCCCATCGATGCAGGAACACTCTTAGAATTTCCATATATGATAATATATAGGGTTTTGTATCTAAAGTTTTCGATCACTAAAATATGGCTTTTTCTTTTGACCTAGCCGTCATCTTCAACCAGGAGAGGAGAAGAATGAAGAAGAGAAGATCGAAGAAGATAAGAAGAAGAAGAAGACGAAGAGACGTATGCAAGATCAGCCAGAAACCTACACATGAGATTCCTTTTGAACTCGTGTTCGAGATTCTCACGAGACTGCCCGCTAAATCCCTTATGAGGTTCAAATCCGTCTCGAAGATCTGGTCATCCTTGATTTGTTCCAAATATTTCACCAACCGTTTTCTAAACTTTTCATCATCGCCGCCACGTTTATACATGTGCTTGGGCATCGACAACAGCGATGTAATACTGTCATCGTCAGCTTCCTCTGACTCGGACGGTAATACTATATCTTCCTTTGTAGTTGACCAAGACTTGACAATCCCAGCGTTGGAAGGCTACAACGTCTCTCACGTTTTCCGCGGTTTGATGTGCTTTACGAATGAGGATAGTGCGCAAATATATAACACTAGCACTAGGCAGCTTGTAGTCTTACCCGACATAGAAGAATCCAACATCATAGCTGAAAATCATGAGTCTAAGAGGATCATGTATTGTATCGGACATGATCCCGTTCATGATCAATACAAAGTGGTTTGCACAGTTTCAACAAGTAGAAACCAAACATTCCTTTTAGAGTATTGGGTACTCGTTTTAGGAGGAGATGTATCAAGTCGATATTGGAGAAAGATTCCAAGTCCATGTCCACCACATCGTCCTATAACACAAGGATTGATTATCAATGGTCGTATGCGTTACATAGCTTGGTCACGGTTGCTTGATCCTGTGCTTGTCAGTTTCGATATGATTTCTGAAGAAATCAGTTTGCTCCAAAAACCTGAAGATGCCTTTTGGTCTTATTGTGGTACTGATATCATAGAATACGGTGGAAGAGTAGCTGTTTTACATAATTCTAGTCTTGAAGACGAAGGTGTGATGGAACTATATGTTATGGAAGATGAAGAAAAGAATAGGTGGTCTAGGAAGACTCTGGTGTTGGATACTTGTCAAATGAACCTGGTTCGTACTCATATAGTCAATGACATGAGTTTGAGGGTACAAGGTACAACTAGCAACGGCGAGGTTATCCTTGTACCTCAAAATATCTATTACACTCCAAGAGGCAAGAGTTTTGTTAAACCTCAATTTACTACTCTTTTCTACATTTTTCTTTACGATTTTCAAAACAATCATTTGAGAAAAGTTGATATCAAAGATACATCAAACCGCTATCCCACCAAAATTTGGGACGTTATTGGATTTGATGACTTTGACAACTTAATGTATCTTCTCTAAACGTTTGTCCCTTCTTTTCATTTTTATTTTACTTTATTTTTGGATGCTTATTGGCTTATTGCTGTAGAATGTGCTTTGGCTAGCAACCGATAGCTCTGTTTCTCATGCTTCTAAATTACTGCTTGGTGTTATCAATTATATAAAGGAAAAAGAGGTTCAAAGCTTCTAGCATCAATGCACAAGTTCCTGATGGTTCTGTTTTATCTAAAGTTTTTGAAAAAAAAGGTGAAGCGCATCACTGCCGTGTGTACGTTCATGCAGCTTTCTTTGATTTAGTCTGCGAATGAGATAGGGACCTACATGCAATGATGCATATGGAAAGTCAAGCCGAGAAGACTCATCCCCATGGCTTTTGCAATATATAACTAAGAAGGAAAACACATTGCCGATGAAACAGCAGCATCAGCGAAATTCTGACAAGTGTTTGACAAAAGGCTGCATGGGAGACCACTTGACTTTGCCACTAATAGCATCTGATCACGATGAGTTTGTTCACTACTAAATTGATCTAATGTTTGGTAAGAGCAGAGACATGACAGATCAAAAAGAACATCATTTCCCATGAAAACACCTAGATAGTACCATGAATATGAGGACATGCGAGCTGAAAATGTTGTAGTCAAAACCGACACTGATAGAGATGGTAACTAGACTATTCCGAGTTTTACCAAAGAGACTTCGGTTGAATTATAGTTGGATTTCATGGTAAATCAAAATGAAACTTTAAAGGTCCATAAATCCAAAAGCAAACAAAACACCAAAACAGAAACAAAAATCAAACACACAAACACAGTTTAAGATAAAAGTAAAGTGAAAGTGATTGAAATGTAGACAAATAGATGAGACCACGTACAAACAGAGCCGCTATGAGTCTAAAAATGCTACAAACAAGAGAAATGGCATTGTTTGACCTCAAACAAAAAAATACATCACACAAAAAATAGAACATAGTTTTTATTTTATTTTTATACTTTGTTGGAGATTTCTTTTTTAGGCCCTATACAGGTAAGGTAAGCCCAACTAAAACAAAGCCCAATAAATATCTGAACTAGGAAGATCTATGTTAAGTACAAAAACAATCACGAGTTCTCATCGAAGACCAGCTTCATTCGAAACCCCGATTTTGGTAATTTTCTTAAACCGGATCGGTTATCTGAGCCGAACCGCCAACAATTGAAGTCGGGTTTGGTCCGCAAAGGCTGATTTCAATTTTTATGTAGATTCGTGTGAGAAGGTGGTGCTTGATCCGAGTACGGCGTAAAAAGAGAGTGAAAAATTCGTCATCTTTCGTTTGCTAGATAGTCTCCATCTCTGCTCCGGTTTCAGCGCGCTATGGATTGGAGCCTAAGCTCGAGAAAGCCCTTCGTTCTAAAACATCAGGTGCTTAAAATCCTCAATTCCTTTCTCTTTTCAGTTAATTAGGGCCTGAAAATTTGATTCTTTGCCTCCACTTGTTGATGCGCATAGGATTAAGAAGGCTTCCTTAACTTTATTTGCGAATATACGTTCTTGTTTTCTTCTCTAGGAGTATGAAAGTTAAAAGTTTTGTTTTCTCTTTCGCTATTATTTCAGTTATAGCTGTTGAAGCTATCTTGGAGACTGGTAGGAAGCTTGAACAGTGGAACAAAAGAACCTGAACCTGCAATTGCTGTTTACAGTTTATTTGGCTTGATTCCTGAAGAAGATAGGCTCTTTTCCAATACTATCTTATTGATCAAACATAAGTTGGGTTTTTCCCTTAAGGGTTGTGGTTGTTTTCTTCTTGGGAGATGACAGATTTTTACACTTGGAATAGAGTGACAGTGATGATATATACAACAGTAATTGTAGTTAGTAACTTATATTGACAGTGATGATACAACTGATGATTAGCTTACTCATGTTGTTGGTTATTACGATGATAGCGATAGAAAGATGCATGATGATTAGTCTTAGTCATGTTGTTTTTGTTGAGGATGAGGATAAGGATTGGATTTTCTTGTTTTGACCATATTAACATCGTACTGCGGCTAATTTATAATTTATTTATGTGATTTAAAAAATTTATACTGAAAATTCTTATATTTTCAAATTAGTATTTAACTGACGAGAAAATGATTGGTTTAAACTCGTTTAATGGACAGGAAAAAGCGCAAAATGGGGAAGAAAGGAAAATTATTTAGGCAAAATAACAAAGCCCAATTTAGTCTCAAATCGATTTTTATTTCGACCCAAACTTCAAAAATGTGGGCTTATCAGCCCACATTTAAATTTCCAGATATGTCAAATTTCTCCTGAAATTCGAACCAGATTGTAGAACTGGAGTTTTATTTACCCTTTTTTACCGTGTAAACTGACTGGGAAAAACTAAAAACCTTCATTTTTTTTACATCAATGGACAATTGAATTTTTACTATCGTGTCAATCACAGCCTGCACATTCATATCAATTATTGCTGCTGTTTTGTATAAATTTGTCATCAAAGCTGTATTGTTATCATGTTATTCGTTAATGTTGGATAATGGTTTACATATTATGATAACCCAATCATGTTTGCAGCACGGATGATCTTTACTCTTTCCGTAGACTTTAATATTAGAAAATGTCTTTAAGTCAAACAGTATTTTAAAACATGAAAAGGATATAACCCGTTTCTTATTTAGTAATCTTGGTTTTCTATAAACGAGAGGTAAGTTCCAATAGGATTTGACACAACATCTACTTCTGCGAAGGCTTCTTCTCCTTCTCTGGCTTCTTCTCCTTGTCTGGATTCGACTTAAGAGAGTCAAGATAGTAATTCTCTTCCTTTGTCATGGTGCGGTAGGTCCTCTCAAACTGCATCCAAGCAGTGTACTGGTTCCATTGCTTTCTGGACCATGTCTCAGAATCTTGTGGAGGGCACTCGAAAGGATTTGGAGGAGCCGAGGTTGCAGCTACGAGGTTCAGTATTAAAAGGTTCAGTATTAAAAACGATCTGAAGTAATAGAGAGGTATTTTGAACCAGTGAAGATACATACCTGGATCCAGAAAGTAAGTTGTGTCAGAGCCAATAGAGGAGCCACCAGAGGAGGAGCTTGAAGATGAAGACTGGATCTTCTTCTTCTTTCCACGAGAAGCTTTCTTCTTCCCTCGTGACTTTTTCCCATTCCCACCACCAGAAACCTTACCCTTACCCTTCCCTGGAAAAGGTAAAAGCCAAGCAAAATGATGCACAACAAATCAATCATAGCAACCGATAAAAACAAACAAACAAAAAAAAAAAAGTCGATCGATAACGATTTCGCATATTGCACGATGAATCCAAGCACAGGAAACAAACTTCCGCTAATACATCGAAACCAGATAAAATCAGATCGAGAGAAACAATCCGAGAAAACGAGATCAGAGGTGTTCGAAACAACAAATCCGAGACCAGCTAATCAAACAAAATGATATCGAAAGCTAATCCAAAGCACGAGATCAACAAGTTTCCGCTACTACATAGAACTAGATCTAGAGCTCCAAATAGAGAAGAGCAAATCAATCCGAGCAGAGGTATTCAAAACAACAAATCCGAGACTCGAAATCAAATCAATCCGAGCAGAGGTATTCAAAACAACAAATCCGAGACTCGAAATCAAATCAATCCGAGCAGAGGTATTCAAAACAACAAATCCGAGACTCGAAATCAAATCAATCCGAGCAGAGGTATTCAAAACAACAAATCCGAGACTCGAAATCAAATCAATCCGAGCAGAGGTATTCAAAACAACAAATCCGAGACTCGAAATCAAATCAATTCATCAGCGAAATCTCGGAATCGTTACCTGGAGCGTTCGCCGACTTCATGACTGACAGAGAGGAAGCAATCGAATTTCAAAATAAGTGTGGGAGATTGAAAATGTATTGTAAATTAGGAAATTAGGTTGGGGCGCGAATATATAGATGTTGAGTCTTAAACCGTACAAAAACGTTTAAATAATAGATTTTGGATTTGGGATACAAGAATTATCTTTTGCCTCAGTGGCTTGCGCGGCCCAGATATTTTCCCCTCCTTTCAACGTTCGTTCCCTCCTAAATGGTACCCTTTTTTTTCCCTCTCGTTTGACTTTGCTATGAACAACAAAACCCCTCGTTTGACTTTGCTATGAACAACAAAACCCCACGAGAAAACCAGGCCAAAATTTTGTTTCTTTTAAAAATCATAGCAAAAACAAAACAAAGAAATAAAACCAATCTTACTAATGCATGAAATTTAAGAGAAAACAAAAGAAATTCCAAAGTCTCCATGAATTCGAAAAGTACTACAACAATTCACCTAACTCAAAGATGATAAATTCATGTTTTTGTGTGGAGTAGTATCGAATAAATTCTTTATATGAAGAAAATGAGCAAACAAAGGAGAAAAATAATTTTCTATGAAAATAATTATGTTACGAAGCCAAAGAGTGTTTTGGAGAATTGTAGCCAACGATATCTATATATAAAGAGAGGAAAGACCTAGTTTGCTAACCTACCAAAAAATCAGGGAATATAATCAGCAATTACGCAGTTAATGAGAGATTACTATAATCACGGCCGAGATGTCTAATCAAAATCTTTTTTCAGAATCTTTTTTCAATAAATATATAGAAAAGTTAGAGTGGCTCGGTCGAGAGATAGTATGTTATCTATAAACGCACCTTTTGAATTTTCCTTTCTAGTATCTAAAACAATATTGCTTTCTATATCCCATACTTAAGCATTTGCTTAATCCGATGCTCAAATATTCCCTTCTCTTCTTATGCAACAGAGTCGTCGTCGGCCTTTAATTTGTAGACTTGGTTGTTTACTCGGTTTACCATATAAGTTTTTTAACATAGGTTCAAGTTTGTCTACAATACATTCACATTTGGTTCGGTTTTGATAACAATTTGGTTCATAATAAAATTCCAGTTAGATTCTGTTTTCTTAAACCACGGTCAAGATCATATTTGTATGCTCACACCACAATCCAAATGCTAAACATCCTTTTGGACTTGTTAATCTATATGTACGTGACGTGATCTATTTGTGTGCATGAGAAATAAACGTATTTACCTAATAACCATTTTCCCGTACATTATTATTTTGGTCAACATTGTTGATTCTGCATTTGGAAAGCACGAAGAGAGGCCATAGTCGGGCTAATTTAACTTACAGTTCTCTGCAAAATTTTAAGTTTAGTAATAAACCTGTAATGTTCTATAAAACACCTATGTACTGTAATGCTCTAATTAATTAATTTGGTTGTACTTCTTTTTTTTTATTAAAAAAAAAACTACTTGTCGCTGGAGCTGGAACGGAGCCGGATATCCGGATTTTTCAAGGTATCCGGATCCAGATCCGGTTTCGCCGGATAATCAATTTTACTATCCGGATCCGGATCCGAAAATTATACGGTTTGAACCAAATATTTACGGATATCCGGTTTCGTTGATTTAAAAAAAAAAGTCTTCAATTTTTAAAATTACAATGAGATCATATATATAATTAAAAATTTAAAATATATCAACATATCAAAAATTATAAATACCAAAAATTAAAAAGCATTCAAGTAGCATTCAAATAGCACAAAGTTAAAAAGTTTACATAGCAAAAGAGAAAATAGTAATAGAGAAGTTAATTTATCTTCATCTCTATATGTTATCCATTTTAAGGTTTTTCTCTCACAATCTAAAATAGAAAATAATAATGAAATATGAATTTTAATAAATATTATCAAAATAAATAAATACTTAATAAACGGATAACGAATAACGGATATCCGATTTCAAAATTTTCTATTATCGAGATCCGTATCCGAAATAACCGAATACTTAATTTAACTATCCGGATCTGGATCCGAACTACACGGATATTGAGTTTTTACGGATCGAATAGTACCGGATACCGGATCGGATATCGGATACCGGATAATAATTCCAGCCCTACTTGTCGCGAGGGTTTAGATTTAATATGTAGTGTAATATATTTCATGGGTTAAGAAAATTGATGGTTCTGTTTTGTCTCAAAAAAGGGTCTGATCGAGCTCTTGTTGGATCGGTCCACCAGAATGGTATTCCCCGCTCGGTGAGATGAGCCAGAAACCAACGTTGGACTTTGTTGACATCCAACCGTACACCTTGTTTTCCTTGTTTGTAGTGATAATTTCTTAGGTGATTGGTGGGTATTGAAAAGAGATAAATTGAATCTGATATTTAGGAAAACGCAATAAACAACAAAGAATAATCTCATAGTTCCACAGTATTAAATCAGCTCAGAATCAAGCGTAAACTCTTCCTAATGACAAACCAAACAAGAGCAACAACAAACCACTGACGAAAACTAAAGAAATCCAAATCATTGAAAACAAAAGAGATTATGAAATTACAGAGGAAAGCAGCGATTGAAGCATAGATATGCTCACTAATTCGGAATCCTTCTCGAATCACCGGTTGAATTCCCATGACAATATTTTGCACGTTAGTTAGATTTCTTCTTTGTATCCGCCACTTAACAGACTGAACAATATCCCCCACAAGAATTGCATCATAGCTACAATGCAAGTGACCAAAACAAAATTCAGATTCTTGATAATGACGAATATATTCAGCTAAAAGAAAAACTGTCACCTGTAGCCTGATGTCTTGAAGCCAGTGTTTGTGCAGATAAGATTCACATTTTGCATCCAAAGTTCAGCAAATGGATGATCATTGATGCCATGAATCTTCCAAAAACAAGCTGTTTTCTTAAAGACACTACTGATGTTTTCGAAACTGTAATGTATGTCAAACTACTCTGTCTTCCAATAAAATACACTATTTTCAAAAACATCTCATTTGAAATAAACCTCTCAAAACAATTTTTTAAACGTTTTTTGTCGTATTTTTTTTTATAAACTCTGACTTTCCATATTTCCCATTTTTTAACCATAGTTCCGTTATTCGCTCATTACCTAAATACATTTTATTCAAATCCCATAATAAAAACCGCCAAGAAATTACTCATTGGCCCTTTATTAGTCTCATAATAACATCTACTAAAAACATTTATTTTAAAGAAAAAAAAAGATCAAATGAATTAATCAGGCATTGGAAATTTGGAAGTGTAATTACTAATTAGTGTGATTCACAAGTATTGCAACGGCCCAATAACGTCTAGTAAACCCTAATTAGTTACACGCCAAATCATATACTGTGTGATACCTCGAGCAATATTGGATTTAATAGCAACCTGCTATTGAATATTTTGGCTTGTTTTGTTGTTCGGTGTTATGTAATAAATTCATGGAACTAGTGTGAATGACAGAGTAATCTGCAACAAACTGGTTTTATTTACAACAAATTTGACAAATTTAACAAAGAGTTTAGAAGTTGATCAAAAACAAAAAACAAAGAGTTTAGAAAACAAATTTGACAAATAAAAATGAGAGAATTTCTGTCTGAAGTAAAGTTAGGCTATGAATAGTTCAAAAGCCATGATCTGTTCAGTTGAGTTAACTAGTTTGTACAATTTTTTTTTAATTTCTGTTTTTTTTTCACTATGCAAATTTGAAACTATTTCCCAAAATTATTGACTTCTTAACATGCAAGGAGTATTACCCATTGTTACCGATTGGAGATTAATCATTGACCAAGTCGTCTTTTTCATGATGTATGTATCTCTAATTGTTTTAAACAAAAACAATATTCCTAAAATTAGAAATGGTCTTTCCAAGAAAAAAATTGAGAGTGTCATGCCATCTTCTTCCTCGTCTTTTACTCTGTGTTGAAAAGCTCTCAAGATTGGATCAAATTCGTCAAAAAAAAAACTCGACTTTTTTCAAAATCCATTCCTTCTCTACCAATATCTCGTTCTCTGAGTGAACTATCCCTAAACCCGCCATGGATCTTGCCCCAGAAGAGCTTCAATTCCTCAGCATTAGAGGAATCTTGCGTGAATCAACCTCGATCCCCAAATTTTCCCCCAAAACCTTCTACCTCATAACCCTAATCCTAATTTTCCCTCTCTCCTTCGCGATCCTCGCGCATTCCCTCTTCACACAACCGATCTTTGCTCAGATCGACACTTACCCTCCCGCCGATCAAGCTCAGACCCAACACGAATGGACCGTCCTCCTCGTCTTCCAGTTCTGCTACGTCATCTTCCTCTTCGCCTTCTCTCTCCTCTCCACAGCCGCCGTCGTCTTCACCGTCGCTTCTCTCTACACCGGAAAGCCCGTCTCTTTCTCCTCCACAATGTCGGCGATTCCTCTGGTCTTGAAGCGTCTCTTCATCACTTTCCTCTGGGTCTCCCTCTTGATGCTCGCCTACAACACCGTCTTCTTGATCTTCTTGGTCGCGCTAATCGTGGCCGTCGATCTGCAGAACGTGGGTTTAGCTGTCTTCTCGTTGCTGGTGATCTTGGTCCTGTTCTTGGGCGTTCATGTTTACATGACGGCTCTGTGGCATTTAGCTAGCGTTGTCTCTGTTCTTGAGCCGGTTTACGGTTTAGCCGCGATGAAGAAGAGCTACGAGTTGCTTAAAGGGAAAACCTTTATGGCTTGTTCGATGGTTTTCATCTATCTTGCTCACTGTGGATTAATCGCTGGAGTGTTTGGATCAGTGGTGGTTCACGGTGGAGAAGATAACGGAATCTTCACTAGAATAGTCGCTGGTGGGTTCTTGGTTGGTGTTCTTGTGATAGTGAATCTAATTGGGTTGCTTGTGCAGAGTGTGTTTTACTATGTTTGCAAGAGTTTTCATCATCAGGAGATTGATAAATCCGCTTTGCACGATCATCTTGGTGGGTATCTTGGTGAATATGTGCCTCTTAAGAGCAACATTCAAATGGAGAACTTTGATGTTTGACAGAACCGGTTATTCAGGTTTTTGCAGTTTATAAATGTCGTGTAAGTTTGTAATGTTTGTAATTTTTTTCAAGAAGTGCTTTTTTTTTTCCCTTTTTCTACTTGCATATTCAATTTTAGTGGAGAGGAAGAGACTATTCTTTATAGAGTTTCTGTTACTTGTATGTAGACTATTTGAATTTGATGCATACATAAGAATGAATGGGAGAATTTTTTTTTTTTTTGACAAACCAAAGTGGGATAATTTCTGTCTGAAGCAAACCTAGTTTCTGAAGAATTTCTGTCTGAAGCAAACAAGAGCCTGGTCGTGTTTTGTTCGATAGAGTTAACTAGTTTCAGATGAAAATCTCTGTTTCATCGTATATGCTTGTAAGATATAAGGCGTAATTTGATTTTGTGGATTATGTTCTGTGATTGCTTACCTAAATTGTCATTGTCTAATTTGTCTGAAACAAAGTTAGCTTTTCATCTTTACTTGATTCGTTGTTCGGTGTTATGCTGAATTCATGGAACTGCCAATGAATTGCAGAGTAATAAGAGCAAGCTGGTTCTTAAATTTGATGTGGTTTCGAACACTGCCTTTGTCTGAACTCTCTACCAATATCTCAAAGAGAGCCTTCGTTGCAACTAGTAAATTAATGTTTAATAGAACAAAAAAGGTTCCAAGAAGAAATCGTGATTATTGCCAAAAGAAAAGAAGTTATTATATACCGGTTGTATAACATAGTATTACCTTCTTTTTTTTTAATCTGGTCTATTCGGCCAGCACTACTAACCGGCGCTTAGACACTGCGATATTTGCGGTAGTTGGCGAGATCGATCACTAATTCAGTGCATACGGTATACATGGTCGGTTAGAGACTAATGGTGCCTTGATCAGCCAGTCTTTCTATAGTCCCAAAAATAAGATCAAAATGTTATTGAGTTCAAGGAGTTTTGAAGAAATTTTTAGTTAATGTTGCGTGCATGAAGTACATATTTGCCGATGTTAGATCAAGTTTGGTGCATTAATTCGAAATGTCAACTTTATTATAGAGTTTTGGACCGTACACCAAAATGTTCGTTCGTATCATAAAACGTAATTGCCAAACCTTCCTCTTGAATGACGGAAGGTGCAACTCGGGCGGCTACATGTAGCGCGACCAAAAGCTACAACTGTGGCTACGTATTTCACTAATTTTATATATTTAACTTCTCGCTCTTAACACTATAAATACAAACCCTCACGCCCAGTACAAATAACTCAAACTCCTTATCTCTACAACTACAAATCATCAAAATCTGATTTAGCATTTTCACATATATGGCTTCCTCTCTACCTCACCTTCCACCTCGTCTCCTTGGGCTTCACCTCGGCACAATCTCCGGTGGCCCAACCTCGGTGTCCTTTTACCGAGTCCGAACTCAAGGTTTGCGTCGACATACTTTGCATTTTTGTTAAGAGAGGCTCTAGAATGGTTCTAGAACCTTGTAGTCCTATTAGGATTAGCATATATATACATATCTTGGTTAGAATTTAGATATATATCAACTATAATTAGGATAAGCAGAATTCTAGTTTTATCTTATATTATGTAAATATTTCTAAGTTATCATGGTATATATTTTACGAAAAGAATCAAAACGAGAATCAATGATAAGTAAAGCCTCACGGAAATCGTGATGAAGTTGGTTTTGTAACTTGAGTGGAAGAATTTATTCCAATACTTGCCTCCTGTATTTAAAACGATCACAATATGATGGAGTATTGTGCTATGCATGTGGGAACAACATGTTGTCAAAGATGGGCGTTTGTGACAAAAGCACTAAGAAGGTCGAGTGTTTACTATTTATTGTCCAAGTTGGGTATTGCGTTTGTAACTTTCACCCTCCAACTTGAAGGAGGGTTTTAAGAGAGGGTTCTAGATGGTTCTATTAATCTTGTAGGAACCTTCTACTGCAGTCTTATCAAGATTAGCATGTATACATATCTTGGTTAGATATATACATCAAGTATAATTAAGATAACATAAACTCTAGTTTGAGCTTATCTTATATTTGTATATGAGAAATACGTTGGTGATAAATAAATTAAGTTTGCCCAAAACTGTCTGTAAGTTATCATTATCATCACTGGTATCTTCAACCGCCAAATGTGGCTGACTGTTGCAACACATTTAATAAAAAAATTGGTAAGACGACACTGAGGTTGGGCCGAGGCGAAGCCAAGAAGACGAGGTTGAAGGTGAAGTAGAAAGACTGGTCACCGATAGTCACCTAATTAGGACAACAAGAACTAACAAAAATTCAAGGTACCTTTAGTCTCTAACCGACCAATTATACCGTATGCACTGAATTAGTGATTGATCTCACCAATTACCGCAAAAATATTGCAATGTCTAAGCGCCGGTCGGTTAGTAGACCGTTTTGGTTAGGTGCGTAGATTAACCAAACTGGTTTTAGTTTGGTGTTGTTGGTTTTCAATTTTGTTAAGTGAATATAGGAATCGAGCTTTTCTTGAGATTGGTTCGGTTCGGTTCCACTTTTATATCAAAAAATTCCGTTGACAACAAAGCTTCGGCTAACCAATATAGTGAGTTAGAAAAGAAAATTTGAAAATAGTAAAATTAATGCCCATTAGTGCACTAATTCAAATTGAATATGGCTTGAAACTATCTGAAAATCATTATAACTCTCTTGATTGAATTTAACTCTGATCGTATTACCAAAATATGGTCGTATTGATGATATGGAATATAGGTGGTATTGAGTTAATCAACTTTGTCCCAATCATATATAATTTGGTAGCTCATAAAAAGAAATGGATCTTAAGTGCCTAAGTGGAATATGCGTCACCTGTCATAATTATGGGTTAATGACAAAGTTTTTAGTCTTTTGTCAACTATATTGGTTTTTTTTTTTTTCGTTTTCCAGTACGATATTGTATAAACTAACATTTTCAACCCTCAAACTCCAAAATATTCCAAAATATTCAAAAGTGAAAATTGACGTGATATAATAATGTTTACAAATAATTAATTATAATGCATTATTGACTGTTAGTTTTGGTCAGATAATATGCATTACTGATTCTATTATTAATAATATTATTTGTTTTTATTGGGGTCAAAGTTCTTCATAGTATTTACAGATTCAACAAGATTATATTATATTTGCATCGTAATAATAGTATAATAGTAATATTAACTTTGAAATTGGAAATATTATGAATACTTTGACCATTATAGAGGAAAACACTACAGGAGATTTGGGGTGGAGGGGGGGGGGTCCAATATAAAGTTTCAATATTAACATACAATTACAAGTTCATATAATCATATCTTCTAGTCACACGTACGTGCGTGCACACAAGCCATTTATATTTTGTTTAGAACATATGTAAATAAAAATGATCTATCTAAGCTTTACTATTAATTGGTTATAGTCAATGAAATTATTATTATTATTTTTGGAACGGGCCTAACAATCAATGGAATTATTCATTTCATATTTTATCATATATCACTAAGTACGTAACCTAACATTTTACATATTGCTATTGGTCTATGAAAAGCCATACCTTAAAATCATCTAACAATAAATTGAGATAATTCACAAATCACAACTATTTTATAGTATATTAAATCATTTATTCCATATATCTTGTTTGTTTTTTAACCTATTCTTCCTAAAATATATTAAATTCATGAGATCGCCATCGGCAACAATAATTAGTTTTTGGCCATCCACTACATCGACGTACATCACAAACTTACAATTAATACTTCCCCAATCAATTTAAATTTACTAGAAATGTGAAGAATAAAGATGTACTTTTCTAACTTTCTAAGAATCATCAACTTTAATATAACGAAGAGAAATTATTAGAGAACAGATCAAAATGACATGTACAGTCTCTTAACGTGGGTCTTCGACCGACGGTTGTTATATTAATAATTTATATATTTTTAAAATTGATAGCTTTGATAGTTTTAATCTCATTTATTTGCAAGTTTCACATTAAAAATGATTTATATGCGTAATCTCATGCACGTTCTCTTTTGTGGAGATATGTATATACTAATATACACATGGATTACTATATATTCACGTATTCTTTGATAACTATATAAGAAAATTAATTATAATCGATAGCGCTAGGTAACTAATTATGATTCTTTTTTCTTTGACATTAATCTATTATATAATAAAAGAGATTTCTCTCCATCTAGGGTGTTCACATCAACAAACTCTCAAATTTTAACATTAAAGCATATTTTAATTAAGCATTTAATACATATATATATATATTTATATTTATTATTAGTATATTTAGTATACATTAAATAAAATAAAACAAATTTTAGTGTAAATAAAAAGATAAATGGTAGTTAGATATTAATACTTAAAGAAAAATATAATACTAACTGGATTAAAAATATATATTATTTAAAATGATATATTATTTAAACTGAAAAAGTTAGAAAAATGACGATAATTAAAAAAAAATGATGAAAAAGATAGGAGGAAGAAGAAATATCAAAATATATAAAAAAGATGCAGATGAATGCAAAACAATATTAGAATAAGAAGATGAAGAAAAACTGGAAAAAAAGAAGAAAAAATAAAAGTCAAGAACCAGAGAAAAATGAAAAAAAAAAAGAATGAAGAACACGAAGCTAATGAAAAGAAATACGAAAATAAAGACGTTAAAGATAAGGAAAGAGAAAAAAGATAAAACTAACAAATTATAAGAATATTAAGATGAAAAAGGAGTATAAAAATCCAAAAAAAAAAGAAAAAGGAAAAGACAAATATGATGAATTAGTTGTTTAACAATTTGTAATAATAACTGATTAAAAATAAAAGAGTTGCAGAGAGTATAAATTAAGAAAAAATAAAAATAATTTAAATAATTATAATCACACAATAGTAACAGATAAAATATAAAAATACATAAAATAAAATTTATCGAAGTTAATAACATAATTAAGAAAAATATATTGTTATATAGACGCACCAATAAGGATAACTAATAGAACACAAGTATTATTAGCACAATGCAAACTTAAAAATAAAACTATTAAAATAAGGAAACAAAATTATCAACAAATTATTTCTTAAGAAATAACATATAAAACATATAATAACATGAACATAAACTAAAATCCGCGCGAAGCGCGGTCTCAACCCTAGTATTTGTTAATTGTGCATGTACGCTTAAACCGTATTTGGCTAAATGAAATCCAGCAATTTCTACCGTTGATCTAATTATCACATCATCCATACAATGAACAGTAACTTTCCAATAATTTTTCCATAGCATATAAAGTCAGCTAGTTTGAGTTATTTGGTAATTAATTTAGTGTATCAAACACTATATGACGATTTTATTGAAAAGTTTTTCTTTTATATAATCTTTATATACTTATTATTGAAAACATACAGTATTCAGTAAATATAAAATTTGGTATTCTAAATCTATATTTTGCAAGTCAAACAAAAGAAATAGGAGTAATATTCGTCTTCTTAAGTTAATGAAATTTGTTCATATTCTGTTCTATTATTTTATTTCATCAAATTTTATTAGGTTTCCCACATATCTATTATAATGAGCCATCACTTTCGTACCAAAATAAAAAAAAAAATGGATATTCTAGTACATCTTATGTATAAAAGACAATCAACTCTCTCCAGCTGAATGACATATCAACAATGGAAAGAGTGACATCAGTCAATTTAAAATATTAATAAATAAATTATTAATTAAATTTAAAATAAATACATTAAAGAACATATAAATAAACATTAATATATATATATATATTACAATGAATTCAAATTGATTTTCAATATACAAAATTTATAAATATTATATAATACAAAACCTTTTAAATGCACCATTCTATTTTCTTTTTTAAATAATTTAAACTTCATTTTCAAATTAAAAATATAATTGAAATTTTAATGCAAATAAAAAAATAATAAAACTTAATAAGTTTAAAATTTAAAATAATATTTTATAAAACTCCAACTAATAAAATTATAAAACACAAAAAATATTAAATAATAATAAAAGAATTATTAAAAATAATAGTAAAAAGAAGGGCGTCTACATAAAAATATCATACATGCTTTTTTAAATTAAAAAAAGTTGGAATCAATTATATATATAACCAAAAAATTCAAAATATAAAATTAAGAAAGCTAACAAATATTATATTAGTAAGATTTACAAGAATAAAAAATATGAGAATTGAATAACAAATAAATATTTATCTCTAATATTCAACGTATATTTTTAAGTGAACGATTACATTTTTATACAAAAATTAAAATAGTAATTTTTTAATTCCTTATTATTTTGTAAGAAAAATTATACTATTTAGCACAATTAGGTGTACAAGAGATTACAAATAATATATCATAAAAAAACGAAGAAAATATAATATTTTAAACACAAACATTGATTATAAACAGAAAATTCAATACAAATTATAAAAATATATTATTTAAAATATAAATTAAAACAAGATCCGCACATATATCTAAAAGTTGTGCGGATTATGCGTTAGGAAATGAAAGCAAGGCAAAGAAAATAAACAAACATATCCAAACAGTGTTAATAAATCATGATTGCTTCGGCATAAAATATGAGAAAATAAGAATTTTAGTTTGTAATGTCTTATATAAGATATATCATCATATGTCACAATCTCAAAAATTGAAGTATATGCCAACATTTGAAAGAAACAATACGCAAATGAAAAAAGAAAAAGAAAAAGAAAAACAAAGAGAGAGAAAGAAAGAGAGTTTAACTGCTCGTGTCTCTCTCTGCCACTCGTCTTCAGTTTTGTCAGCGTTCTCATAACTTATAAGTTTCATCGATCAAACTTTGTCTGCATCTGTCTCTTCTTTTTTTTTTACTTTGGTCACTCTCTGTTGTTAATATCTGAAACTGAGAAAAAAGAAGAAGAAGTAAAAAAAACATTTCTCTCCAAACCGTGTTCTTCTCGCGTAATCTTCATAGTTGTTATAGATTCTTTTTGTCGTCTCTTTTCATTTTTCTGATAATCATTTTGATTGACTGATTCTGTTTTTTTCTTTTTTAAATTAAAAGAATTTTGATAAAAACAAGGGTCCCTTTCTTCACAAATTCGAGGTTTTTTGTGGTGTCGCCTTTATCCAATTCCCGCACAACGATAAGACATTACTTGCTCTGTAATAACTCGAGTCGCTTCTTATACTCAGAAAACCAAAAAAGTTTCAATTTTTGGTCTCATCTCAGGCGAAAGTGCTCCAAATGATTATCGATTTCTAGGGCTCTGATTAGTATAATCGGAGGAATTAGGGCTGGATTCAGTTTAGGGGAATATTCGAGCTCTGTTGTTTCCGGATTACACAAGAAAATGGCGGAAAGAGTAGAAGAACCTGTAACAGAAGGAGAAAACACGATTGAAGAAAGACAAATAGGAGCTATGTGGGATTTAGAGCAGAAACTTGATCAGCCCATGGATGAAGAAGCTAATAAGCTCAAGAACATGTACAGAGAAAAGGTACATACTTTCTCAATAAAACTCATTTATAGAGTATGATTCATGAGATTGCTGATGGTTATTCTGATTCAATTTCATATATAGAATTTGAGAAATGGAGAAAGTTTTGGTTTTTATAAAAAAGTTTTGTGTTTTTCATCAGGGATTATCGTTGTTGATGCTAATGAGACTATCATTCCAAAGTCTAGGGATAGTTTACGGCGATTTAGGGACTTCTCCATTGTATGTGTTCTACAATACATTCCCTAATGGAATCAGTGATAGTGACGATGTAATCGGAGCTCTTTCTTTGATCATTTACTCTCTTTTTCTTATACCTCTCATCAAGTATGTCTTCATTGTCTGCAAAGCAAATGACAATGGTCAAGGTAAGCTAAAAAACGAGCTTGATTCGATGTTTTGTAGAACCAACCGGTTTTAGCCTATACTCAATTCGGATCAATCAAATTGTTGTGTGTGCAGGTGGTACTTTAGCGATATACTCGTTGCTTTGTAGACATGCTAAAGTGAAACTAATCCCAAACCAGCAACGCAGCGATGAGGATCTCACGACTTATAGCCGAACTATCTTCCCTGAAGGGTCTTTTGCTGCTAAAACCAAGAAGTGGTTGGAAGGTAAACATTCTAGGAAGAGAGCTCTTCTGGTCATTGTTCTTCTCGGGACTTGTATGATGATCGGTGATGGTATCTTAACTCCAGCCATCTCTGGTAACTTATTGCTTCTTCCTTTTCTTTCCTCTTAAGTTTGAGATGGGACATTTTTAGTTTACATAATCATCGTTTTTACAGTTCTTTCAGCGACTGGTGGGATCAAACTCAGGAGTCCAGATATGAGCGGCGGTAACATTCACCGCTCCTTATGTCAGTTCAGATATTCGTTATGGTTAACTTCTGCTAACTTGCTACTTTCTTTTTCATTGTTGCAGACATCGTTGTGCTTGTGTCTATAATCATTTTAATAGGATTGTTCAGTATGCAACACTACGGTACAGACAAAGTGGGATGGCTCTTTGCGCCTATCGTGTTTATTTGGTTCCTTTTCATCGGAGGCACTGGAATATACAACATCTGCAAATACGACACAAGCGTTTTGAAAGCGTTTTCGCCAACATATATATACTTGTACTTCAAAAGACGAGGTCGAGATGGTTGGATTTCGTTAGGTGGCATTCTTCTCAGCATAACAGGTACTTAATAGCATTCAAGCTTCAAGAGATTCTTTGTAAAGCCGTTTCTAAATATCTCTTCTTGAAAAATTGCAGGCACTGAGGCACTATACGCAGACATTGCTTATTTCCCGTTACTAGCGATACAGCTCGCCTTTACATTTTTTGTGTTCCCTTGTCTTCTTCTAGCATACTGTGGCCAAGCTGCGTATCTTGTGAACCATAAGGATCATTTCAAAGATGCGTTCTATGCATCCATCCCAGGTTTGTCCTAAGCTTTGATGGTGTCTTGAAGTCATACATGGTGCTCTTACAAAACTCTGAAACTCTGTTTTGCTTTTGACTACACAGAAAGTGTATATTGGCCAATGTTTATAGTCGCAACAGGAGCTGCAATCGTTGGGAGCCAAGCTACTATCTCAGGAACTTATTCGATAATCAAGCAGGCCGTGTCTCATGGGTGTTTTCCTCGAGTGAAAATCGTTCACACTTCCAAGAAGTTCCTTGGTCAGATCTATTGCCCTGATATTAACTGGATACTCATGCTCGGCTGCATAGCAGTCACTGCTAGTTTCAAGAACCAGAGCCAAATCGGAAATGCATACGGTAAGGTCTCAAGGTGCGCATTTTGGTTTCCTTCTTGTTCGGTTTAAAATGAAACCGTTCTTGCTTTTCATCATCTGACTGTTTCTTGGTATATCTTGGTGAAACTAGGGACTGCGGTTGTGTTCGTGATGCTTGTGACCACATTACTAATGGTGCTAATCATGCTTCTCGTGTGGCGGTGCCACTGGATCCTTGTGCTTATATTCGCTGTCCTCTCACTGGTGATGGAGCTATCGTATTTCTCGGCCGTGATCTTAAAGGTCAATGAAGGAGGATGGGTTCCTCTCATCATAGCAGGGGTTTCTCTTCTTGTAATGTCCGTTTGGCACTACGCAACGGTCAAGAAATATGAGTTTGAAGTGCACAGTAAAGTTTCCATGAGTTGGATACTCGGTCTCGGTCCTAGCCTCGGTCTTGTTCGTGTCCCTGGGATCGGTTTAGTCTACACAGAGTTAGCGAGTGGTGTCCCTCACATCTTCTCTCATTTCATCACTAACCTCCCTGCGATTCACTCAGTGGTAGTCTTTGTCTGCGTCAAGTATCTTCCGGTTTACACCGTCCCTGAAGAAGAGAGGTTTCTTGTCAAGAGAATCGGACCAAAAACATTCAGAATGTTCCGCTGTGTAGCCAGGTACTAACCTTTCTCCTTCTCTGTTCTTATGTGAGGTTGTTTGTTAGATCTTTGTGCTTATTCTTCAGGTAAAGAGTTTTTAAGACCCTTGAAATCTTTGGGAACTGTTTTAACAGGTATGGTTACAAAGATCTACACAGGAAAGATGATGATTTCGAGACAAAACTGTTGAACAACATCTTCTCGTTCATCCGAATCGAAACAATGATGGAGCCAGGTTCGAACTCAAGCACCTACAGCAGCGCGTATTCAGTCAATCATACACAAGAGTCCAGAGATGCATTGATCCATAACAACAACAACAACAATCACCTGAATAGCATCAACGAGAACAGTAATAACAACATGGATATGTTCTCATCTATCGTGGACTGCACGGTATCGAGTTTAGACACTATAGTTCCCGTTGGTTCACCACTTAACGCGGTGAGTTTCAGTCAGAACAACACGGTGGAGGAAGAGGAGGAGGATGAGTTGGAGTATCTAAAGACTTGTAAAGAGTCAGGGGTTGTTCATATTATGGGAAACACTGTGGTGAAAGCAAGAAATGGATCATGGCTTCCAAAAAAGATTGCTATTGATTACGTTTATGCGTTTCTTGCTAAGATTTGTAGGGAGAATAGTGTTATCTTGCATGTTCCTCATGAAACCCTTTTGAACGTTGGACAAGTCTTTTATGTCTAGATTTTTTTTTTTTTTTTTTGTAAAACAATTTACAGATAAAGGGGAATAAAGGATACCAATTTTAAGATTATATACCATGTAGAAACTAGCGCTGGAACGGAGTCGGATATCCGGACTTTTCAAGATATCCGGATCCGGCTCCGGATTTAACGGATAATCAATTTTACTATCCGGATCCAGATCTGAAAACTCCGGATATCCAGAGATCGAATATTTACGGATATCCGGTCGGATATCCGGTTTCGTTGATTTAAAAAAAAATCTTCAATTTTTAAAATTATAATGAGATAACATATATAATTAAAATGTATCATCATAGCAAAAATTACAAATACTAAAAATTTAAAAGCATTCAAGTAGCATTCAAATAATACAAAGTTTAAAAGTTTACATAACAAAAGAGAAAACAGTAATAGAGACGTTAATTTATCTTCATATCCTTGTGTTATCTATTTTCATGTTCTTCTCTCACAATCTAAAATAGAAAATTATCATGCAATATAAATTTCAATCATGTGTAAAAGAGTTAAACCAAAAACAATTTTCGAACATAATTAAAACAAAAAATTAAATGCATATCCAAAGATTTCAAAATTTTTAAAATCTTAATAACGGATAACGGATATCCGATTTCTAAATTTTCTATTATCCGGATCCGTATCCGAAATAACCGAATACTTAATTTCACTATCCGGATCCGGATCCGAACTACACGGATATCCGGTTTTTACGGATCGGATAAAACCGGATACCGGATCGGATAGCGGATACCAGATCGTATAGCGGATACCGGATCGTATAGCGGATACCGGATAATAATTCCAGCCCTAGTAGAAACTGTTATATTACTGGACTTGGTCACGTAGAAGTTTTCTATCGAACTGAGTATATGTATGGCTAAATTGGAATTGTGGACTCGCTATCACCATCTGAACAATTGGTTTGACATTTATACAAATCTGGCCATGGTCATTATTTGATGCTTCATATGTATCATCTAAACATTTTCTTTACCACAAAATTTACTAAAGTTTAGAGATTACATTGAAAAAAAAAGAAGTAAAAAGGTGACAATGTATGTTAAAAACTTAAAATGTATATCCATGGTTAATTTTTAGATTTACCATATTTACATATGATACTTGAACTGAAATCATATAAATGTGTTTATTTACGTTTTTTTAGTTCTTATTTATTTACGTTTATAACTCAACATGGTCGGATTCAATTAACAACCTTGAGAAAGGAAGATAATCTACTAAAGAGGAGGAATACGTCTTATTTCGGAGCGGTCAACGTTAATATCAAGTTTTTCCTATGGAAATTCAATTTAGAAGACCAAATTGAAATTTAACACTTAAATCTGACAGGACCAATAGAAACGAGTATATACACAAATACCATGTTATTCAAGGATTTTTCTGATTAAGCGTCGTAGCAAATTATTGACCTCTTCGATGTTAACCCGGATTACCCAAAAGAAAAGAAAAAAATTCCGTCGAAGAAAGTTAATAGAAAAATACTCATAGACTTTGGTTCAGTCCATTTGTTGACATTTTGGTATAAAATATGATTTTATTACTTGTTTTCAAGATACTGTACCAAAATGTATAGTTTCTAATTATATTTTGATATGATTTCTGATATCGTATCTGATTCTATTGCTGGTAAGAAACTTAAAGTAATAAAATCAGAAATTATACCAAATTGTCATATATGGAGTGAACCAAAGTCTAGGGGTAATTTTAATTAAATTTCTTCCCATGGAGAGTTGGAGACATTGGTTTTTTATGCAAAGCGAATATGGCTTATGGGTATGGTAGTTCAATAATTAATATTGTAGTTAAGCCAATTATCACTATTTTCTTCCTCGTTAATCTATCAAATATGATTCAAATTTCTAATCGTTCGTTATAATGTAATTGTCAGAAATCAAAATCATTTACTTACATCATCGTGTCACTGATACTTCCAATATAATTAATTTCGGTAAAAACAAATTTGTTCGAGTATTATATAGTTTTCCATACATAACGTGACAACTAAATATGTGACCCCGTTTTGGTCATGATATAGACCCTCGGATTCAAAGGAAGTTTCCCTTGTGGGAGAGAAATATCTTCATAAGTTATAGTCACAGGAATCGTTACAAAATTCTTCACAAGTTAAGTTATCTAATTAAATATAAAAATTAATGAACATCTAAAGAAAAGTCAAAAACGATTAAATGGAAATGTTATTGGAGTATATAGATATAATGTACATACATACTGTATAGACATTAATCTATATACTCCAATAAATGTGGTGAGGCAAGACAATATAAAGAGAACGCACGAAGAGAGAAAAAAAGGGTTTCATATTAAAAACAATGAAGAGCACTAACGGCGAATCTTCTTCATTGGGGTACAAGTTCGCCGGAGTTAACATGGACGATGGAAAGTCTAAGCCACCGGTGATATATTCCGATGGTTTTTTCGGAGGTCGAGACGTGATTAAAGTCGTGTTATTGGTCGCGACCGTCACACTTTCTTGCTTATTATTCTACAAATCTGCAAATAATCCTCTCAACATGGTGTCTCCATGGAAGAGCGATTGTTACTCTTCAAAAATCATAAACGAGACTTCCTTAGAAATGGTGAGTATATTGCATATATATATTGATAATTTAAATACATCAATATAACTGAATATTAATCTGAGTTACGGAAGTAATGTTATTAATTTTGTATATTTCCTTATTGTTAATTAAGTAAATGTTATCTTGTCAGATTTGTAGAGAATTTGCTAGTCTCAAGTTGTGATTCTGTACAAATAAGCATATTCGCTAATCAATAAAAACTGAGAAAACCGTTAAATATTTATAGGTTTCTTCCTTATTATGAGATCTGATACTAAGAGATCGACTTAAACATGCATTCGGTTGCTAAACCGATCTTTAGTCTTGAACAATAAAACAATGAAAAGTAGAGTACCGTCATTTGATCTTGTTAATGTTAATTATATATTTAGGTACAAAAGAAGAAACCGGTTTCAGAATTAGAGAGAGTATTGATGAATGCAGCTATGGAGGATAACACGGTGATCATCACGGCGTTAAACCAAGCATGGGCCGAACCAAACTCAACGTTCGATGTGTTTCGAGAGAGTTTTAAAGCCGGATTAGGTACAGAGAGGCTATTGAAGCACGTGATCGCAGTTTGCTTGGATAACAAGGCATATGATCGGTGCGTAGAGGTTCATCCTCATTGCTACTTGATTAACGCCACAGATTCAGACCAACTCTCCGGTCCAAACCGGTTTATGACGCCTGGTTATTTGAAACTCATTTGGCGGCGGATGGATCTTCATAGACAAGTTCTTGGCTTAGGGTACAACTTCATCTTCACGGTACATGATACCTCAATCTTCTTCTCTTACTTAATTTATAATTGATTACTTCCCTCTGTTTCACAATATTTGATTTTTTGATTTTCTAAACTTTTCACACAGATTAAGAAACCATTAATGTTTATCTATAAATATATTATTTTTCTTACTAAAACAGTTTTTTTTACTATAAACCAATCATAATTCATCAATCTCAATTAAGAACTCTTAAAGTGTATCATTTACTATCATTAACCTATAATAATAAATAAAAATTCTAAAAAATCAATCTTTGTGAAACAGAATAAAAATCTAAAACATCAAATATTATGAAACAGAGGGAGTAGTATTTATTTTCTATACATTGAATTTGACAAGTTTTCGCGCCGTCAGTGGGATTTTTCAACTGTTTTTAACTACACAGTTTAGAAAATAATTTTCAGACAGAAAGAAAATTATTAATAATATAGTTAGAAAAATTGTTACTAAAATACAAAATATTAGTGTTTGATCTAAGTACACTTAAATCTAAATTTGTATAAGGTTTTGTGGGCGGTTTGAAGATAAACATTATTAAGACAGTTTTTTTGGGAGAAAAATAATATAAAGATACTCCGTTGATTACATAGAAACCAGGATTCTTGATTTCTGAGATCTTTATGTATATACAGCTATGGAGAACACCATTCAATTATATATATGATTTGTTTAAAACATTTCCTGTTGTTAGATTTTACTATTTCTTGAGGGTTTTAAATTTGACTATCTAGATTCTTTGTTTTGTTTTTAGCGTACCTCTGACTTCCATTTTTTGTTTAATTCTCCTTTCAACTATATTACGTGACTAGGTCAGGATTTTATGAACAACTTCAATATTCAAGATTGTAACGTTTTTTTTTTTTTTTTGGTTTACGTGTGCGTACGCATATAGAGATGTTTTATGGTCAACTATATGTAGATATCAAATATATTGACCAAAATATACATAATTTACATTCTGATCTAGCATTTTGTAAATGATATGTTGCTGTATGTAGGATGCAGATATTTTGTGGCTTCGAGACCCATTTCCCCGTTTTTTTCCAGACGCCGATTTTCAGATAACGTGTGATGATTACAACGGAAAGCCATCGGACAAAAACAATCACGTGAATTCTGGTTTCACATATGTCAAAGCAAACAACAAAACATTAAACTTCTACAAATATTGGATCAGATCAAGTCGAAAGTTCCCTGGAAAACATGATCAAGATGTGTTCAACTTGATAAAAAACAAGCATTTCATCGAGAAACTTGGAATCAAAATGAGGTTTTTCGACACAGTTTATTTTGGAGGGTTTTGCCAACCAAGCCGGGACATCAACGTGGTCAACACTATGCATGCTAACTGTTGTATTGGTTTGGACAACAAAGTGAATAATCTCAAGGCTGCTCTTGAAGATTGGAAACTATATGTATCGTTGAATACGACCGTGTCCGAAACTAAATGGAACATTCCACCTAGGTGTGGTTATTGAAGGTTGTGAGCGTAGTCGTAGATTTATGAAGATAATTAATTTCGTTAAGATCATTTCAATGGTTATTGGAGTTGGTTCTCGTTTTTTTTTTACTGTTGGAGATTTATATATAATAATCATATTAAAGATTTATAAAGAGAATAGTACAAACAAAAAGTTCATCTGTCATTAATTAGATAAAAAAAATTAAGAAAAAAGGTAATGCGCCTAGGACAGTTATTATCTCTAATAAATCTTAATTGTGTCCGCAAAAATCTTTAGTTTGACCTCGTTCGTTCATTCGTTCTTGTCGTCCAAAAATTGTGGCAAGGCCTTGTTGAAAGCAAAGCCGATTTTGAAATATTTGAGAGTTTGAACTTTGAATGGGATTCACTTATTCGATATAGACAAAATTACTTATTATATTATCGTAAATACGATAATAATACTGTAATTTACGTTACAAACCCCATTATATAAAAAACTATCCGTTCTATTTCATAATAAAAGATGTTTAAGTTTTTTCACGTAAATTAAGAAATCATTTCATTTTGTTTTTTTGTAAATTAAACTATCAGTTTATCTACCTAATTAAATACAACTAGATTTATAATCCGCGCGTTGCGCGGAATTTCATTTTTAAATAGTTAATTCATTATATTTATATTTTTACTGTTCTTGATTTTATTAGACTTATTTTCTATTTTTATATTATCATAGTTTGTTATTTTTTTTTGTCTTCTTTCTCATCTTCAACATTTTTGTCCTCGTATTTTTATAAATTCTTCTTTATCAGTTTTGTGTTCTTCTTTTTATTCTTTATTTTTCTTTTTTCATCTTCGTCTTCATTTTCTTCGATTTCTATTTCTTCTTTTTCATTTTCTTTCTATTGTCAACAGTCTAAATACCTAGAACGGTTCAACTTCTTTTTATTTTTATTTTTTTCGATATTTTTTTAATCTTTTTCTGATTTTGTTTCGTCTCTTATTTTTACTTAGCTCGTGTATGTATTCTTCTTCTTTTATTTTGTCTCCATCTACATATTTTTCTTCTTCTTCTTTTTTCTGATTTTGATTTTCTTTCTTTTTCATCGTCTATGATTTTCATTTTCATCCTCGTCTTTTTCTTTAACTATGTCTTTTTACTGTTTTCTCCAATTTTTACTCTTCTTCTTCTAAATAAAAAGTAACAATTATAAACAATGTGTGAATTAATTAAGTCATTAAATTTAGTGTTAGTGTTTTTCTTTTATTATTAAATGAAAAGAATAATTTTTTAAAATGTGTGAATTAATTAAGTCATTAATTTTAGTTTTGTTATTCTATGCTGATGTGGACATCCTAGATTGAGAGAAAATTCTCCCATTATATAATAGATTTAACCTTTGAAAAAATAAACTATAGACTATAAACAGTAAAACAATATATATAAAAGTTAACTGAAAATAAAAATCTTAATATATTTTATAAAATAGAGGAAATATTAAAAAAAATCATAGTTAATTATTGCAGCACAATTCGTTGGAATTTAACGTACACGGTACGGTCATAGTCTTTGATTCGCTGGCAGAAAATTATAATCAGACAACTGTCCAGATGAAAACATTGGCCCTTGTATTAAATATCATGAAATTCGTAAATTAATTGATATATCTGATAGGAAAAAAAAAACCAATAGCATATGTTATAAAAAAAAAATAATAATAGCTAGCGTAAGTCATATAAACATAATAGCAAATCTTATACCGACCAAAATTGATCAATTAATGTATCAACTAGGTGTTGTTCTAAGACACGAGCTAGCTTGAGTTCAAGTTAAAAATGCCTAGATACCAGTATACCACGACCTAAGCCCGCATGTGGTCATATAACGTTCTAAAACCACACTAGATGAAAATCTTCAGCCGATTAAGCTGAAGGTTTCTTCTACAATGTCGTATGTGTATGTGAAAACTCATACGTAAACATCAAAATGTTTGATCGTAGAATTTTATTTAGACTAGTCTTATAACTTCTAAGTTTAAATCAATTAATGTATACTTATTGACAAGTACGTATTAGAATTCAAAGGATATTTTTCAATCACTAATTAGTTTAGTGATCTCCTTCTCAAAAGAAAAAAAGGAAGTTTGGTTGTCTCAGCCACATACATATTGGTATTATATTAGCCAGTAAGCTATCAACTTCAGTCCCTAGTTAAATCATTGTTTGATGAATTAATTGACCCATTCGCTTTTAAAATAATTAATAAATGGGAGAAAAGACAAATATACATATAACGGCAGCCACGACTAATCGGAAATAACGTGATCAAAACAACATCAACGGCTAGGTGTTGAGACTATAATGGAAGAATTGGTCAATAAACAAACAAGAATCAATCTCTTTCAATAAATAAAATATAACAATTTTGATGACAGAAATAGACTCAAACTTTATCGACTTTTATGGTCTTTTCATGATGAAACCATTAATCATAACTGAAATATAATTTTTCATATAGCTCAAAAATATTGTTTTGATAAAACTAATGAAATATGTGTATTGTGGGTTTGGGTTTAAACTCACAAAGAAAGGAGATATACTCTAATTGAATTGGAGTGATTGAGATGAAAGAAGAAAAGGACGACATTCTCGATCGGTTAGATGGTTTGATCTTATTCTGTCTAAACCAAGACTTTTGATGCACTAGTAATTTGATAGTATTCCAAAAGTATTTCTTGAAATATAGAAAGTAAAGTATAATAAGATGCCCCTTGTAAAAAAAAACAAAAACAAAAAGCCATAAGATATTCTCTTGCCCGTTTCTCATCCACCAAATCATTCCTCTCTCGGCTCATTCATATTTCTCTGTAATCATTTATTGTTCAGTAATTTTTCAAATTCATTAATCATTACCATCATCTGATTAATAGATTAGCATCATTCAAATTTCTTGGTCGCTATTTTTTCCCGGGGACAAGGTTATATATAGAAACCACTTCAAATATATATTACTAGAATCGGTGTGTTGTGTAGATTCTCTACACTCTAATAAAAACCAACAAAAATTGATTTGAGATGTAAATGAAAACAAGATTCCATAATAATAAGTTTGCCACAAAAAAAGAATTCAAAATAATAAAACCTGTATTGTGTAAATTAAAAGTGCTAGTGATGACGTTTGTCTTAAGCACTTAACCATTTATACTTGATTGTAAGAACCGACAGAAGATCTTTTATAAAGAAACGCCAAAATAAACAGAGAGAAGAAAAGAGAGGAAAAACGGAAGAAAAGCTTAAAACCTCTTCAAGAACACATGAAGTCTTCATCTTGTTCCCCTTCAAAGTTTCTGGATTTGGGATCCGCGATCGGACAAAAAGAAGTGAAGAAAATTTTGGTCTTATTTCTAGGCCTAGCTGCTACATGTCTTCTTCTCTACAAAACAGCTTATCCACTTCGTCAAGAGCTCAATGTCAATAATCTCAACTCTCCTCGTCCTTTGCTCGATCACACCTCTTCGTCTTCTCCACAAACAGTAAGTTCTTTATACTTATGCGTACGTCTCAATCTGTGCTCTGTCTGAAATGGGTTTGATCTCTTTTTTCGAATCTTTAATACGAAATTTGTTTGGTTTTAAGAGATCAAAATCGATCAGTTTTAGAGAAGTTTTGGAGAATGCATCGACAGAGAATCGAACAGTGATTATCACAACGTTAAACCAAGCATGGGCAGAGCCAAACTCTCTGTTCGATTTATTTCTTGAGAGTTTTCGTATCGGACAAGGAACACAGAGGCTACTTCAACACGTGGTTGTAGTTTGCTTGGATTTCAAGGCATTTGATCGCTGCTCACAACTTCACCCAAATTGCTACTATTTAGAAACCTTAGGAACTGATTTCTCGGGCGAGAAACTCTTTGATACTCCAGATTACCTCAAAATGATGTGGCGGAGGATCGAGCTTCTCACACAAGTGCTTGAAATGGGATTTAACTTCATCTTCACGGTACTCATCTTCTTCATCCATCTCAAAATTATTGGTCTTTACAAATCTTTTGAATCAATCTACGATCAAGAATTAAACTCTATGTGCATTTGCATGAGCATAGAACCCATATAAAAAAATTACATAATTTATCTATATGTTAGATTCTAATTTTTGGCAGAAAATTATTTACACATAAAATATTGTCTAAATTTAATTCATTATATTGAACGAGGCCCACTTTAAAAAAAATATCACAACTAACTTTAGATCTACCAAACTATTGCAAGGTCGTCCAATAGTTGAAAAGTTCACAATAATAACTGAGGACCAATGGTCTGAATTCATCCGTAGAGATTTCAATCATACACTTGGTTATTGTGGAGACATTAAATGCTTTAAAATTTTATAGACATTAATATTTACATATAGTTAAAATTTTACAGACATTAATATCTACATATAGTTGAAATTTTATATTAGACTTGACTTTGGTTTAGAATCACATATTATCCCAAAAATCCCAAAAAAAAACCACTAGATCCAATAATTTTTTTTTTCTCTTCAGTTTTAAATAAGAAATTCAACTAATACATAACATAACCATGTCATTTTCTTAACATTGTCTCTCTTTCTCTCTCTCTCTCTCTATATATATTATATACATAGGATGCAGATATAATGTGGCTTCGAGATCCATTTCCTCGGCTATATCCAGATGGAGATTTTCAGATGGCCTGTGATCGATTCTTCGGTGATCCTTATGACTCAGACAATTGGGTAAACGGAGGCTTCACTTACGTGAAATCGAACCATAGAAGCATCGAGTTCTACAAGTTTTGGTTCAAATCTCGTCTGGATTATCCAAAATTACATGACCAAGATGTTTTCAACAAGATCAAACACGAGGCTTTAGTCTCAGAGATTGGAATCCAGATGAGATTCTTTGATACGGTTTACTTTGGTGGGTTTTGTCAGACGAGCAGAGACATAAACTTGGTGTGTACAATGCATGCTAATTGTTGTATTGGATTAGAGAAGAAGCTTCATGATCTTAATCTTGTTCTTGATGACTGGAGAAAGTATCTGTCTTTATCTGAACAAGTTCAGAATACGACTTGGAGTGTTCCTATGAAGTGTGTGTGAATTCAAAGACTCGGATTTGGGTTAGTATGGGGGAATTTGTTGTTTAAATTTGTGTATAGCATAAAACTGTGAAAATGGATCTTGTATTTTAAAGAAACAATCTTTTTCATTGTAAAACATTTTTTTCTTTTAAGAGAAAAAAAAAAAGTAAGAAGTTTCGAATACTTGGTCCGCCATTTCCTCGGACCAAATTTTAAGAAGCAAAGCTACGGTTACCCTTTTCCCTAAAATCGAGACTAGAATTCGTAATCTTGAGACTCACTAACGTTAAAAGCTAAATATGCCAAGATTTCAGGTTTTATTAAGGGAAAAACTCAAATCTTATTATTTCCATAAGCAGTGTATATATACATTACATAACTAATGTATCAGAAACCCTAATGGGCCATGAGACATTAACCTGATGGTTAATGGGCCGGTTACTAGAAGTCCATTTGTTTATAACACTCCCCCTTGGACAAGGTAACCGTGCCTGTCACAAAACCGGGATCTCTATAATACGCTGGGGAACGTTGCCTCATTAAAACCTTACCAGGAAAACCCAGTGGGAAAAACCATGGTGAAGGAAAAAGAGTACAACACGCATTACTCCCCCTGGTTTAGGCATCACTGTAGATCTCTAAGTCTACGCATTCCTATCTGATGAATGAGCTTCCGGAGTGTAGAAGTCGGTAATGATTTAGTGAATAGATCGGCTGAATTTTCGCTTGATCGGACTTGCTGAACCTTGACCTGATCATCCTTCTGCAGCTCATGAGTGAAGAAGAATTTGGGCAGAATATGCTTCGTCCGGTCACCTTTGATGTAGCCGTCCTTGAGTTGAGCGATACAAGCTGCATTGTCTTCATACATCACCGTAGGCTCCTTATCTTCGTCCATACCACACTCTGATCGGATATGCTGAGTCATGGACCGCAACCAAACACACTCTCTACTAGCTTCGTGGATGGCCAAGATTTCCGCATGGTTGGATGAGGTAGCGGCAATAGTCTGCTTCATGGATCTCCAAGATATGGCTGTTCCTCCATGCGTGAAAACATAACCGGTTTGAGACCGGGCACAGTGCGGATCTGACAAATATCCTGCATCAGCAAAACCAACTAGACCATCCTTGTTATGGTTAGAATAAAATAATCCCAAGTCCTTAGTACCTTGAAGGTATCTAAGGATGTGCTTAATACCGTTCCAGTGCCTTTGAGTTGGACACGAACTAAAACGAGCTAAGAGGCTCACGGCAAAGCAGATGTCTGGTCTAGTGTGACAAGCCAAGTACATTAATGCTCCTATGGCACTGAGGTATGGCATTTCAGGACCGAGGATTTCTTCATCGTCCTTCTTTGGACCGAATGAATCACTATCCAATCCAAGGCTCCTCACAACCATTGGGCTGGTCAATGGGTGGGCCTGGTACATATTGAATCTCTTGAGTACCTTTTCAGTGTATGCCAATTGATACACAAGGATTCCGTCATTGACGTACTCAAGTTGTAATCCCAAACAGAATTTAGTTTTGCCTAGGTCTTTCATTTCAAACTCTGCTTTTAAGCATTCAACTGTTTGGGCGATTTCACCAGATGTTCCGAGGATGTTCAAGTCATCCACGTATACTGCTATGATTACAAATCCTTTGTTTTGATATTTTCTGATGAAGATGCATGGACTGATCGGATCGTTTTCGTAGCCTTCTCTGATGAGATATTCGCTTAACCGGTTATACCACATACGTCCGCTTTGTTTCAGTCCATATAAGGATTTGTTCAGCCTAATGCAGTGTTTATCACGAGATGCATGCTTATCTTTGAGCTCAATACCATCTGGTAATCTCATATAGATTTCACTGTCCAGTGGTCCATAAAGATATGCGGTTACAACATCCATTAACCGCAAATCTAAGTTTTCTCTTATGGCCAGACTTATGAGGAATCGAAATGTAGTTGCATCCACCACTGGAGAATAAGTCTCCTCATAATCGATTCCGAGTCTCTGTGAGAATCCTTGTGCTACAAGGCGTGCCTTGTATCTAACGACTTCGCCGAGTTCGTTTCTTTTACGCACAAAGACCCATTTGTTTCCCACTGGTTTAACATGGAATGGTGTCCTTAAGATCGGACCAAACACATTCCGTTTCTTTAAACTATTCAACTCCACGTTTATGGCTTCTTTCCATTTCAGCCAATCTGATCTACGAGTGCACTCAATTATAGACGTGGGTTCTAGATCCTCTTGCGTGTGCGCAATCTCAAGTGCTACCTTGTATGCAAAAGTTTCATTGATGTCAACATCTTTTCTGTTCCATAGAGAACCGAATATGATATAATTGATTGAGATCTCATTATTATCAATCCCTTCAGAACCTTGAGTTTTGGCGTCCCAAACCTCTTGAGATGGTTCGATAGGGTAAGTATCAGTTGAGGCTGTATCCGTGTTCTCTTGAATCCCGGTTTCAATCATTGCACCTTTCTTTGATTTCCGGGGATTCTTATCTTTGGAACCTGGTGGTCTGCCACGTTTCTTACGTGCGTTAGACTCTGTAGCAACTTGACTTTTCCCTGAGGGGACATCTATTCGTACTGGTGCATTACAAGCTGGTATGTACGATTTGGTAACTTTGTTCGGGTCAGCAAAGGAATCTGGCAATTGATTAGCTAGCTTTTGTAAATGTATAATTCTTTGGACCTCTGAATCACATTCTAGAGTCCGAGGATCTTGCCATTGTGTGGATGTTTGATTCCATGAAAGTTCTTTTACCAGCTTGTCTGTCTCACCACCTAATCTAGGATATACCGATTCATCAAATCGGCAATCTGCATATCTGGCTTTAAACAGATCTCCTGTAGTTGGCTCGAGATATTTTATGATGGTGGGAGAATCAAAACCAACATATATTCCCATCCTCCTTTGAGGTCCCATTTTAGTCCTCTGTGGTGGTGTAATGGGTACATAGACTGAACACCCAAATGTTTTAATATGGGAGACGTCCGGCTCATGACCCGTTAGCAATTGGGATGGTGAATATTTGTGCTCACTAGATGGTCGTATGCGTATTAGTTCAGCGGCATGTAAGACTGCGTGTCCCCAAGCTGAGACCGGGAGTTGTGACCTCATGAGTAATGGTCTAGCAACCCATTGAATTCGTTTAATGAAGGATTCAGCTAATCCATTTTGTGTATGGACATGTGGAACGGGATGTTCAACACTTACCCCCATGGACATACAATATTCATTAAACGCTTGGGAAGTGAATTCACCAGCATTATCAAGACGTATAGTCTTTAATGGGAAGTCTGGAAAATGGGCTCGTAATCTGATGATTTGGGCCAATAACCTAGCAAAAGCCTGGTTCCTAGAAGAGAGCAGACAGACATGCGACCAGCGGGTCGATGCGTCAATGAGGATCATGAAATATCTGAATGTCCCACAAGGTGGGTGAATTGGTCCACATATGTCTCCTTGGATTCTTTCCAGAAAGTTCAAGGTCTCTTTAGACACTTTGACTGGTGAAGGTCGGGTAATCAGTTTCCCTTGTGAGCAAGCTGTGCACTTGAGGTGCTGAGGGAAAATACCATTTGGTTTAAGGTTGTGCCCTTTAGAATTCTGGACTAATTTACGCATCATGTTCGCACCGGGATTACCCAGGCGATCATGCCAAATAGTGTAATCTAAAAACCGTGCTTTGATAGCAGCATTAGCCTCAATCATACTGACTTTAGCATGGTAAATGCCAGTAGATACGGCGGGTATAGTTTCAAAAACTTGTTTATGGCCATTTATCATTTTAGTGATAATTAAAAACTCTTTGTTCCCTTCATCCTGAGTTTCGATATGGAAACCATTCAATCTTATGTCTTTGAAACTCAATAGGTTTCTCTTAGAACTGGGTGAGTATAAGGCATCAGAGATGTCTAGATATGTGCCATTTGATAACAACACATTAGCTTGGCCATGGCCCTCTATTAGGCTCGAACTACCCGCTATAGTGCTAATGTTTGCGGTTTTGATTACTAAATTTATGAAGTAATTCTTGTCTTTTAGAATGGTGTGGCTCGATCCACTATCCACAATGATATCCATATTGTCTTGCATATCTTTTCGTCAAATGGATTTCTGACCGGCTTATGATCTGGGAGCTAAAGACCACAGATATCTACTGGAAACTCCTGAGAATGATGGCCAGAAGGGAGGACGAACAGCTGCTACAATGGAGGAACTACCGCTTGGAAAGAATCACCCGCTAAGGTGGGACAGCGCCGATTGTTTTGAGTCTTGAGGGCGCGTCTGGTGTCGGATTGAAGAGCGGTTTTCACCACTAGATTCTTCTCTTCCAGGGCTTCAAAATGATATGTAGATCGCCTTCTAACTCCTTGTATTTTGAGAGATATGATCGTTTGAAGTTGAGCTTCGTGCTGATAACGTATTAAGGGAAAAACTCAGATCTTATTATTTCCATAAGCAGTGTATATATACATTACATAACTAATGTATCAGAAACCCTAATGGACCTGAGACATTAACCTGATGGTTAATAGGCCGGTTACTAGAAGTTCATTTGTTTATAACAGGTTTATATTTATTTCGTTTTCTAGTTTTTTTTTTTGAGAAAGGGCTTATCTCGTTTTCTTGTTTGAGGTTTACAGATCAAAAATTTAATTTTTATAAAGAAAGGTATATATATGTCATGTAAAGTGATATCCAATAAAATTATGCAATGATTTGCATTTTTAACTATATTATTTTCTTTCGATTTAGTCTTGAAATGCTGTGGTATATAGAATTGAAATCTGCATAAAATCTAAAGTTTTAATTTATGACACCGGATAACACTTTTGCTCGATGGTTCTGTTTTTGGAAGATCTATATATGTTGGACTATTATCAATATTTTTTCATATATAGAGTTTAACAATCTATTTTTTTTTTTAATCTAATGTTAAATTATACTCAAAAGAAAAAATAAAGTTTTTTTACAACTTTGATTTAAGAACTTTGTCCTGCAAAGAAAGATCTATGATTATCTATTGGCAAACCAGATTTTTAGACCTTCTTCATATCGCCTGTCGCCAGATTTTTAGACCTATGATTATCTAATTTCTTTTTCTTAGAGACAATTCCATCAGATTTGTTATCACTAATTCTGCAAGAAGAAAAAAGGATTCCTAACATACTTTGATTTTTGTTAAAAGCCACATTTTCAGAGTCAGAACAATCACTATCACAAAAAGTCAGTCAAAGGCCTAAAATGGAATTGACAGTATTTTCGGCCCAAAAACTTTCAACCATTTTGTATTTCCTTATTAATAATGATTAAATGGTAATAAGCATTAAGCCAGAAATGATAATCACAATTTTGATTGTTTTATTCCCTACTCCCTAGAATAATAGGCAACTCTTCCACTGGCTATTGAAGCCAACAATCAAATAGGTTTAGATAATTAGACATTGTTCTTTGTGTTTTCCGCTTTTTGCAGCGTCATTACAATTCGCAAAAGGTAGATGAAAAGGGTTTGCTAGAAGCTTTTTTTTTTTGTAGGTCTATATGTATAAGTGATTAAGTTAATTCTTTTGGGTACAAAGGAAATGATGAGAATGAAGAAGCGATTTAGTTATGTAACCAGTTGGTTTGGCTTGTACTGGTTTGTAAACCTAACACACTCAGGTTTATCAGTATTTAATTACGGGCTTTGTGTCTAATAAGCAAAAAAACTGATACTAGTAATTTGTTTTCTTAAAGTTTCTCTCCTGTCGCAAGTGGCTCGCAATTTCATGCGATGTAACATGCGAATATCGTTGCCGTCTACTGTAATCAAGAACTTATGTCTAGTAGTCAAAAAAAGAAACCCTAGAAGTAGAAGACTATGAAGATAGGGTTCGGCGAATTTGTCTCGAGTCGCTAACAAACATGCATCGCCATCCACTATGGCTTACACGGATTCCCATTTTTATGTATTTTTTATACAAATTATACGTTTCCAATTTATATTTTTTTTATTCTAATCAGTACTTACTGTCATATTTTGTATTATCAATCAACAAAGGTCATATTTATCATCTACATATGTTTCAATGATATTGTCGTGTTTAGAAACCAATACGTCATACGTGCGTGCATTAGTCCACCAAAACATAAAATGAATTGAGTGACGCTAACGTGCGGTTTCTGCGTGTGGTATGCAGTTGTATTTTTTCCACTGTTGTGTTTATTTAAATAGTTATCTTTTTAAAACAAAAAATTCATCAAAATGTGTTTTATTTATGAAATGGATTACTAACACTACAACACAAAAATTGTAATTAATTAATTTTAATTTAATCAGTACTCACACCGTATTGTATATTTGTATTTCTACAATATTCACATACATTACACGGTTACACCCAACCCAACCGTCGATGAAATCCAGCTAATAACGAAATCATACTGAGCTAGCTACACGTCTTAGTTCAAATGTATGCTCCGTTACATTAAAACTAGAACTCTCTACAAACTAAAATAACTTTCGTTTTTGTTTGGGTAACGATTACACTTCAAATAATAATAAAATAAACTCAGATTTAAATCTAAGAACTAATACTAACAAAGACAAAATTAACTAAACTACTTTTTTGTAGAGAAAACCAAATGACAAATAAGATTACACGAATTCATGTGAAGAGGCAGAGAGGGTTTCACGAGGAAGTGGTGGTCTCTTCTTAATAGCATTATTAGTAACGTATCTTGAAGAAAACGCATAGAACCGGAAAAAATAATCCTCATCATCGGGAAGTGTACCACACGCGCCTCCGTCAAAGTTCAGGGAATAGCTCATTGGATCATATCGACATTGCAACGAGCTCCCTTGTCTCCGAGCCGCCGTCACCGACAGCAACAACTTCCCTTTTTTCTTCATTTTTCTGATGAGTCTCGCTAGGCACGTGACGCAGCAGTTCGGCGGCGGAGTTGGGATGTCGGACTTCTTAGTTACGGCGATGGTTGCGGTGGTGGTCTTATCGTCGATTATATGCCGGGAAAATGCCATGTATATGACTTGTCGGACAGTGGAGAGAGAGAGAGTGAAAGAGTTGTTGAGTGTTATGATGGAGAGAATCTGACCAGCATATGTATGTCTATATATATGTGTATGTATATACCATAAAATCTACTATATATTTTTATATTATACATATTAGATAAAGACAATATACTCTTTCTCACCCAACGAAAAGAAAAACCGATGCTTGTTGTTTTAGCAAATTAAGATATTGACGTTTAAAAAAAGAAATGTTCAAAAAAAAAAAAGATATTGAAAATGTGTGAATGGGAAAACCAATCGAAAACATATACAAATCTTATACAGTTTCTTCTTTTTTTTTGAAAAAAAAAAGATATGAAACTGTTTGTTTAATTCAATCAATTGTTAATTATAGATTTTATAGTTGTGTCTTCATTTTTATGCTTTTCTATAGATCAATTTACCCTTGAGATTTTAAAGGTTAAAACTTCTGTTATGCAACATACTAAATTTTATATATCGTCTTTTATTTCATCTCTAATTACAACCATAACTAATAGGAAAGTAACAACTTCTATAGTTGGTAGTAGATACTGATCAAAACTAGATATCAATTTTCTGTTAGTTTATTTTGTTCATAGCTAAAGTTTTTCTACTTGAAGACTACAAATATATACAGTATTTTGTTTCAGTTAACAAGATTCCGTTAACCTTTAGTATTTTTACAACTATGGTTACATGTATTTATAAGATAATGCTGTATATACAAAATAAATTTTTAATGTACTATATATATATTTATATATATTGAATAGTCAATAAATTATAGTAGGTATACAGCGCACATGGCTAGGAATCAAACACATGAAGCTGAGTCAAGAGTTCGTCTTCTTCACCTTCTTCTCTTTTCTCCTCATTTTTCTACATATTTTTATTTATGTCAATAGCATTGGCCCATTGTTTTTGATGGTTGGTTTGTTAATTTATTCAATTTAACAAGAACACACATATATATATATATATTATATAATATATCTATCATGCACAAATGGAAATCTAAGATTTTTAAAAAAGTAACCGGCCCATGTGACAACGGTACACATATCATGTATGTATGTTTGTATTGGCTTGCATAGATATATACGCCCCATTTTTCTATATTAAAATCCACGTTCATAAGTCTTATTTAATTTGATGCAAAGTATAATAGAAATGTTTGTAGTTATATATTCAACAATATTCAATGGAAGCAGCGCGCAGTTCATAGTGACTATTTTTTCTTTTTTGTGTGTGCTAATCATAGCTAGTGACTATATTCAGTCGTCGATTTAATTAATTGTGGATCTATAGATACAAATTGTATTTTAAAAAGATAACTTAGTACACATTCCACTCTGAGCCAAAAAAGAAGAAGAAAGAGTACACATTTCACGAATTGGTTAATTCAGGTATAGACATTTTTGGTCCAAAAACAACCCCCATTGTAGTTTTGTTTAAACTTTTTCAGTAAAACCTATTTGCACACAGGTAACGTCTCTAACGAGTGACCGATTTAAGTCATGATAATAACAAGGAAAATCATAAAATCAAATAATATTTATTATTTACTTAGGTAATTTAGGGTTCGCCAAAACACTACCTAATTTCTGTATTAGAATTTTTTTCTGTTTATAAACTGTGATACCAAATCAAAAACAATTGTACTCTTAAGTTTTTACTTAAGATACTAGGTATTGTAAATTTGTGCAAGTTAACCATAGCAAATAAATGAGTATCCTCAGAATACTTTGAAATATAACTACGTAGATGAATTCGGAGTAAAAGGTCAATAAAGTAAACGTAAAGTATAGTCCTCAATCCTCATCAAGTCACATTATTAACAAAAGGTATATACATATATATCTCGCATTCGTGTATGAACCACGTGATCAGCAGTCTAGCACCCATCATTTGAACCATCAAATATGTTAATTAAAATATAAGTATGCTATGAGAAGTCTTCATAAATTTATTGAAGATGTTAAGGCCCAAAGATATTATTTTAAAGTTTCAAAGAATATTCGTGAATAAGAAAGAATCGAACAGAAATTCGTGATCCTATATTTTTTTTTTCTCTGTGTGGAATACATAGCATTCCATGAGAACATGAAAATATAGTATTTTGAATAAACAAAAATTGTTACCCCAATCGTCCTCCCGGAGGAATATGTGCTTCTAAATCATACGTGTGAGAGCTGAAAATGTTGTTGACAAAAAAAACGAGAGCTGAAAAATGTCAACACCACATGTATAATAGTAGACACTTGTGGATGCATTTATTATCAATCAAACAGACATTCATACGAACACATCTTCACCTTTTTGATTTTGTTTGGTAGTAACATTTACTTTTAAGACATTTTTTGTTGGCATTCAATAATTCATCACTTTCTTTAGAATGTTTCTGCAAATTTCCTCAAGAGGGGAAAAGCGTACATATGTTACAAGAGAAAATTGGACATAATTCAAAGATGTTGCAACTTGCAAGTAGTTATTATGTGACCTAACATAAAAAAAATCCGTTTTAATACACTGGTTAATTACAATTGATCGTTTAAAAACGGAATGAATAGAAAGAAAGTATTTTCAGCAATTCAAAAGGTGAAAATTTAGGCGAAGGGTTTTGAACTATTTGAGTTATGCGTTGCCTTACATGAAAAGTGAAAAGAGTCTCACTAGACATCAAATCCAAATGCAATAAAGGTACTTAATCTTTGGCCTTTTTCTTTGATCATCAGAGAGGATTTCAGAGCTCATTCAGTTTCCGCCTTCTCGCTTCAGATTACACCTCCAAGCTCTTCGTGAACATCATCGTTGTGGAACCCATCCTGTCATCTCCAAACCCACAGGCTTTGAAGAATGGCCTAAGACAAACAAGGTTGCTTTATCATCAGTAGATACTACTCTCAATCCCACCCATTTTCAGTATACTCTTTGTTAGATACCATATTACAAAGAGTTCACAAGCTGCTAATGATGGGTATTAGTGATTCTCAGTAGCAAAGACGGTACCTTTCATGCTCAACGCAGAGAGCTGCTATGTCGTAGATTTCTCTGCTTGTGAGAAGCCTATAGAAACACAGAGAGAAAACTACTCAGGACAGAACGAAAAGAGAAGGTTACTTTCTACAAAACTGTTTTTTTTTTTATGATATGATACTATAAGAACAAAGGTTTGGGAAAAGTTTGAAAGGTTAAGTGTTTTGGTAAGCAAGATCACAAAAAAGAAGAATACCATCAAACCTGATAATTCTGTTAACAATTAGTTTACCGATTCCCATCCTCTGTAGTGAAGGTAAAACCTGGAAGACACTGAAACCAAATTACAACATCAAACAACACATAACCACAAGGTACTAGAGCTCAAGTAGACCTGTTAATGAAGCAGATTCAACTGAAAAACCTGTTATATACTTGTGCTATAGATAAAATACCATCAGATCGTGGATAGAAGCGGTCAAGCCATAGTCAGAATAGGCACGACCAAACCCAACAAGCTGGCCATTTGCAGGGGTGAGAGGCAACACATCCTGAAACAAATCTCCCAGAGATGAGGAAGACAAACTTTCTTCTTCAGAGTACAAAACCGCAGCACCACCATTTTCACGGGTGCTCTCTTCAACAAGATCCGCGTGATGAGGTTTACAGAATACAGAGACAACAACATCGCTGCGGGAGATAGCTCTGCGCAGCTTTTTCATGTCAACAGTGTTTTCCACAATGCTACCATTCTCGGACAAACGGTTGCAAGAGTGGTTACAATGTGTATACAAATGTCTCAGTTCCTCTAGATTTATGTCTTTCTTCAAGGTAGAGATATAAATAGGTATGGATCGAGGCAATGCCGATGCAGCATGCTTCAGCTCGTTGAGTTTTCTCCTCGGAGTATCATTATTATCACATTTGCTTCTTCTTACCCACCTCAATTCCATGGATACAAGAGGTGAATTACCAACACAAACCGCAAATCCCATTTCTTTAAGCAATCTTGATCACACAACAATGATCCACCATCTAATCAAGAAACAGGACATGAAACTCAATATCTTTTACAGAACCAGAGTCCTAATCAATCAGAGTGTCACTTCTAAAACAAACTATCGACTATGAACTTCGCATTTCATTAACGAGGAGTAACAAATAATAGCTAAGGATTATCAAAATAATTCATTTGTTTTGGTATACGATGAGCAAAAAAAATAGCAAATTTATCAGAAACGAGCTCAATTAACATTCCAAGACGCAGTTTTTCCTTGGAAAACTAACTACCAGAAGATTAAATCTCCAAGAATTATCTGAATTTTTCTATAAAAATCGATAAAATAACAAACCTGGGAAAGTTTCTGTCAAAATTCCCCGAGAAAATCAGCCATTTTTATCCCACAATTCCCGATTTTTCCATCTGCAGAGGTGAAGTAGAACCTAAAAGCCAAATAAGAATGGAATTTGTGGCTCAAGATTTTTCTTGAGTAAGGAAAAAAATAACCGGTTAGATTAATAGAATCCGGTTATCAATAGTAGAATCAGGTTAAGTATTCGATAACCGGAGTGAGAGGTGAGAAGGAAACAAGACCGCGAGTATTAAATTAGCGAGTACGACGGCGACGACGACGACTCTTTGCCCTAAGATCAAAATTCTGCTGACATGAAAATAGACTCTGTACTCGCCTCCGGTCATCACTCTCCTTGTCTTCTCCAGTCATGTAAATGCATATTTTTTTTCCCTCCAAACTGTATTAGATTCTCAATTTTTCTCTGATTCGCTCTGTTAGTCTATCGATCTTCATTTGAGCTGCCTAACATCGTTTCTGGGTTTTGCTTTTGATCATGAGTTCGATTCGTCTTCAATCTTTTAACTGTTGGGTCCGATGATTCGAGCTGACTTTGTGCTGATTATGGAATCTAAATATTTTGGCTTTTCTTGTTTAGATGATTCGTTTCCATATCTGAAGTTGTTTTGCTTTCATTTTGAGGTTTTAGTATTATGATTTTGCTGATTCTAAGTTTCAATTGCTCCGTTGATATTAGAATCTCTTAGTCCATAGTGCTTTTTATGGTGATTCTCGTAATTTCTTTGGCATATAACTGACCAAATTGTGTGTTCACAGGGTTAATTTGACTCATGGTTTTAAGTGTAAAACAAGCTTAAGTGATGGGGATTGATCTCGAAATGCCGTCAGGAGAGTGTGATGATCAAATGTTAAACTCAGGGATCAATGAAGGGATAGAGTTTGAATCAAAAGAGGAAGCATTTGAGTTATACAAAGAATATGCTAAATCTGTTGGCTTTACTACCATAGTAAAAGCTAGTCGTCGTTCAAGAATGACTGGTAAATTTATCGATGCCAAGTTTGTTTGTTCGCGGTATGGAAGCAAAAAACCAGAGGAAGAAGAAGAAGGCATAGAAGGATGTAACATCCCTCAAGCGAGGAAACGTGGTAGAATCAACCGTTCATCGTCTAAAACCGATTGTAAAGCATGCTTACATGTTAAGATAAGGCAAGACGGGAAGTGGGTTATTCGCACTTTGATCAAAGAACATAACCACGAAGTCTTCCCTGGACAAGTTAATTGCATGAAAGAATCTCGTGGGCGGAAAAAACTCGAGAAACAAAGTGGTGATACTGTGAAAGAGATGAAGATCAGAAAGGCTCTGGCTTTAGAGGATGGTGATGTTGAAAGGCTCCTAAACTTCTTTACGGATATGCAAGTCGAGAATCCTTTCTTTTTTTACGCCATTGATCTGAACGAGGAGCAGAGCCTAAGAAACATCTTTTGGGTTGATGCAAAAGGCAGGTTGGATTACACGTTTTTCTGTGATGTTGTATCTATCGACACTACATTCATCAAGAACGGGTATAAACTGCCTCTTGTCGCTTTTATTGGAGTGAACCACCACGGACAGTTCCTGTTGCTTGGCTCTGGATTATTATTAACAGATGAGTGTAAATCTGGATTTGTTTGGCTTTTTCGATCATGGTTAAAATCGATGCAAGGATGCCAACCTAGAGTTATTCTTACCAAACACGATCAAACGCTCAAAGAAGCTGTTTCTGAAGCCTTCCCATCTTCTAGACATTGTTTTTATATGTGGGATACTCTTGGTCAGATGCCGGAGAAGCTTGGACATGTTATGAGACAAGAGAAAAGCTTTATGGATGAGATAAATGAGGCTATTTACGGTTCTTGCAAGAGTGTTGAATTTGAAAAGAAATGGTGGGAGGTAGTTGATAGGTTTCGTGTGAGAGACAATGGGTGGCTTAATTCATTGTATGAAGATAGGGAATATTGGGTTCCTGTATATATGAAAGGTGTTTCTCTAGCAGGAATGTGTACAGCTCAGAGATTGGATAGCGTGAACTCTGTTTTTGATAAATACGTTCATAGGAAAACAACGTTGAAAGCATTTCTTGATCAATACAAGACGATGATACAAGAGAGATACGAAGAGGAAGAGAAAGCGGAGATTGAGACATTATATAAACAACCTGGACTTAAGTCACCTTCACCATTTGGGAAGCAAATGGCTGAGGTATACACGCGTGAGATGTTCAAGAAGTTTCAGGTTGAGGTGCTGGGAGGTGTTGCTTGTCACCCGAAGAAAGAAGGCGAAGAAGATGGGGTTAACAAGAGGACTTTCAGGGTCAAAGATTATGAACAGAACCGTGCTTTCATTGTGGAGTGGAACTCTGAATCATCTGAAGTTGTCTGTTCATGTCGATTGTTTGAGTTTAAAGGGTTTCTTTGTAGGCACGCGATGATTGTTCTGCAGATGTCTGGAGAACTTACTATTCCTTCTCAGTATGTGTTGAAGCGTTGGACAAAAGATGCGAAAAGTAGAGAAGTGGTAGAATCTGATCAGATCGATGGAGAGTCAACTAAGGCTCAACGATATACAGATCTTTGTCTCCGCTCTTTGAAATTGAGTGAGGAAGCATCTTTCTCTGAAGAGAGCTATAATGCCGTGATGAATGTTCTGAATGAAGCTTTTAGAAATTGTGAGAACACAAGTAACGTGATCCACAATGTTGAAGAGTCAGATTCGGTTGTAGCTCAAGATCCTTCAAGACATGAAGAACATAACAACTCATTTGATGAGAATGTGGCCGACACAGGACAGGTATTTCTTTTCTTCTATGCCGGTTTCATTGAACTAGAAAATTGTCTAATCTCCATAATTTGTCTCATAAGACAAGTACTTGGCCTAACCTGGCTTTCTCTTTGTCAAGGAACATTCACTACATGAAGTCTGGAAAGCAACTGCTTTGCAAGAGCAAAGAAACCGGTACTCGATTCTCGACGACTACCTCAGCGCTCAACAAATGTCACATGAAATGGTACACGAGAAAAAGCCCTTTACAGCTACAGAGTATAAAAAGGTTCAAACTTGAAACTAACATTGTACGCTCCTCTTTGTGATCGACAGGGACAAATCAGCATGATGGCCTCAAATCGCAATGGACATTGTACTGCCCATCAAAACTTACACTCACTGGTATGTATGTAACCGAATATTTCTTTGATGTTTGGGAAGAGAATCTCTGGGATTAACTGCTGATGATCCTTAATCATATCTCATTGCAGGGACAATCCATAAATCAGCAAAGGCTTTATGGAACTGTAAGTTTATCTCTGAACAGTCTGCATAACCTCAGGTTTATATAAGTTGTTGAGCAGATTTGACTGAAACTTTGTGTTGAAAAATTATGGCAGGAACAATTAAGTTTCAGACCAGAAGCTATGTATGAAAGACTTCAGGACATGGTAAAAGAGTTGAACCAGACCTTTTGAAGCTGTCTCAAATTTTCATGTGCTTCTTTTTTTATACAAAGAATTTAAGGGAATTTGTGTTTATTAATGAAGGGAGAGTCAAGTTTTAGACATCATCCTCAGCAAAATTGCAATTCTTCAAAACAGCAACAATCCAACAGGAATTTCTCTCACTGAGTCACTCTTCCTTTTAAGCAGCAGAACTGTGACATTTTTTTAAAATATATGATTTAACACTTTTGATTGTAAAGATGAATGTTTATGTGTATAGACAAATGTGGTATATAAAATTCCATGTTTCTTTGTTTGCAAATCTCTTTTGGTTCTCCAACATTAATAGTAATTTGATCATTGCATATAAATATATAATTGAAACGACAAGCATACAATATCCAATATCCAATACTATACATACCAATGATATATATATATGGAAATTATCAAATCATAGTCGAATCAATCTAGACAATTCGGGGGAAACTTCTTGCCACGAGCATAACCGTCAACATTTTGGCACATCGCAATGGCAGGACCTTGCTCATTAGTTCCGTTGTATTTTAAGTCAATGTCAATTAGATGAATATTCTTACAAGGAACGCTCTTGCTACATTGCAGACTCACTGCTGTTTTGGTTGTCGAGGTTCCATATATATTTTGTAATTCCACATCTTGGATCTGAACATGAGAGTCCCCCTGCAATTTAAAATCCAAGAAACACAAAAAAACTTCTTATATCAGGTTTCTTCTGAGACAAGAAACGAAGCTTGTTTTAATTCTTGTATAGTAAACTATACCTTCTTTTCACACGGTGGATAAGGGCAATACTTCTGATCAATATTTATCGGTATTCCAACATTAATCATCTGAATATTCTCGTAAACGAATTTTGAAACAAGTATGTTTGAAGCCGATGATTCCCATGTCTTGATCCTAATACCATTACTCGTACCGTTAAAAATTGTGTCACTTACAGTTAAACCATTCACATCTTTTTCAGCCTTGTTTTTCCCCAAGCTCCCAACACTAATCCCATGTCCAGGACCGCAAGTGACGTTAGAGATATCAAGATTCGTTGTTCCCGGGAGAATGGCGATACAATCGTCTCCAGTGCCAATTTGAGTGTTGGAAATTTGCATGTTGCTCGAGTAACCTATTTTGATCCCGTCGGTGTTAGGACTATCGCCAGGAGCTGTTATATTGACTTCAGTGATATTGAAGTGATGGACTTGGAAGAAGTTAAAGTGTGCCATTTTGCTGTTAAGTGATGTTATCCCTTTGACACTTGAATCGTTAACAAATGCAAATCCCATTGTCTGTCAAAACATATTTAAGCGAATCAAAAAAAAACTTTAAATGAATTAGATGGTTCCATATACGTTATCTATTATCTTCCACTTCAAAAACTAGACTCAATTATGTTTTTACTCTAGTAATATACAGCAAATAGATTATGGGTGTAATCAAAAATAAAGGTATATATTTTTTATAATTTTAATATAGCATATAGTATTTATTTAGTAAGAGTATATTGTCTCCTTTAGAACTGTATTGTGAAAGTTCCACATCGATAGTTGGAGAATTTGTGAAGTAGTATATAAAAGTTAAAAATTAATCCACTTATCGTCTATTAATTTTAAACTGAAACCCAAAAACTCATATTTTATATAATATCAGAGCTACCCGATCTTTGGGTCCTCTTGGTTGGAAATCTCCCTGTGAATGTTTGTTCCCACAAATTTCGAGACTTCAATCCTGATTGATTTTAGCGTGAATGGGAGTATTGTGAAAATCTCATATCGGTAATTTAAAAATTTAAGAAATAGTATATAAAGAATTTAAGAAATAGTATATAAATGGTAAAGATCAATCTACTTATTGACAAATTATTCTATGTAAACAAAAACAATTTTTAGTGCTTGCTTCTAAACATTCTTAAAACATTTATTTTTTTAAATAGTTTTAAAATTATCTAATTTATTGGAATATTATTTAAAAAATACATTTTTTACATATAAATTAATTCCAAAATTAGTATAATCATTTAGATAATTAAAGATTTTCTTAAATATAGATTATATTTAATTTAAAATTCAAACTTTTTGTAATTAAATTAAATTCTAACAATATATATTAATTTAAATTATTTTGAACTTTCTTAAATATAGGTCAGATTTAATTTAAAATTTAAATAATATTTTCAGAATAACACATATGACTAATGATTAATTTATTGTATTTTTTAATCATATTCAATCAGACTAAAATTTAACATATTAAAAACTGATAAATATTAATACTAAAGAGTAATTTAATGGGACAGGTTCAGTTTTATTATTTTTATAATTATGATTTTATGCGGGTTAAGTTATCAAAACATGTAAGATATTAAGATAATAATTATTTCAAAATTAGTAAATATTTATATTATATAGTAATATGAATGGATGGTGTAGAATTATAATTTTATAACCATGTTCCTTTTTAGTTTAATAGAATGAGTGAGTTAGAACTATGTTTTTATAATAACGGTAATTTTCCGATTAATAGAATGACCGAGTTAGAATAATATTTTTATGATCGTAGTTATAATAATATTAGAAAAAAATTTAAAAAATTAAATCTAAACACAAAAATAAATTGTATTACAAATTTTGATTAAAAAAATTCTTGTACGGATGCACGAGATAAAATCTAATTGGTTTTAAGTTAAAAGGTCATAAACCCATATTTAACAAACTATTTATAGTTTCATAGTTTATTATAATTTCTACAATTCAAATTCTAAATCAACGAATTGAAACAAAAGGTTGAAGTAAATATTTTTTTTCTGTGTCATGTCACATATTACAGTTTAAAGGTTGCTCTGCACAAGTGAAAAAAATTGCTCTATTTTTCGTTTTAAATGTTTGTCATGGTTATCTATCTTTGAAGGTCCATGTGTTATAATGCAATCGCGTTCTTAATATTAGAAAGAAGGAAAATAAGCTTTGCATTTTTAGTCACTTAAAAAAAACAATTGTAAGTTTTTTGTCACTTTTCAAAGTGCTATCATAATATAGCATTTTAAGTATTTTAACTATTGTTCATGCATCTTTTTTCTCTGCATATGATGGTGTATACGTGTATATATGGTACATGTCTACACGATGTAGCATCAAGTTGATATAACCGTCACTTCGTTGACAAAAAAATAAAAAAGATTGAACACTTTTGGGAAATGCCAAAAAATAATATAAATTTAAAAAGTGTCAATTTGTCCAAATAACTCAAATATTTTGTTTATTAAAGATTTGAAAAATTACCTTAGCGAGTTGAGGACAACTTGTGTTCTTATGACAGTCATTGAATGGCCAAGACTGTTTTCCTTGCCCATCGAGTGTTCCTTTGCCGTAGATAGAGAGATTATCAATGTATCTGAAGTTTATCCAGGTGTCTTGCTTAATATCTTTAGGGTTTGCAGGAGCTAATAAGGTTCCATCGATAACAAATTCAATTTTATTTTTACATGGTCCTAGGAACTCTATACCACCGAGATAAAATGTTCCTTTTGGCACATAGATTTTACTATTTCCATTTATTCTTGAGCATGCACTTTTCCACACGGTTTTGAACGCCTAATATATGCACGTCAACAACTAGATAAGTATAATAACCATCAAATTCTTAAATTCTGTTAATTTTGTAATACCTATATCATATTAGGTTACGTGCTTTTAATTAGAGTTGTTAGCGACAAAAAAAATAATAACACTAAATAGAACCAGCTACAAAGTATTTAGTGAAACACCAAGAATAGCGACGCCCAAAAAACCAAACGACACTCAAAGAACAAAACGATATTGTTATGTGGTCTTTAACGAAAAAAAAAAAAAAGATATTGTTATGTGGGAAATATCAACAATGTATATATGTAGCCCATCAAAATGATTTGCTAAAAGATATTGGCTTATTCCTAAGGTTTTTCTATTGATTTGACTTGAGTTCAGTTCTCTATTGAAACTAAAATCTAATCAATAGATGGAAAACAACAAAATATTGATAGCACTGCATACATTGACATTATCAGTTTTGCCGTCACTTGTAGCACCATAACGTTGGACGTTGAAAACCTTCTTCCATGCGGTTGGACGACTTGCTACGGCGACGAATAAGAAAGAAAAACATAAAGCCTTAAACCCAAATACAATGCAAGCCATTTTTTTTAATTCTGTCTGTGTTATATGAAATTATTTATAAATAAAAATTTGGTATTTGTAAAGACATTTGAAGGAAATTTAGTGAAAAGTCTTGGCCAGATTTATCTCCTTATATAGAGTTAATAGATCTCAAGGAACTGTTGGAAGCAATCTATATAAAAAGAACTTGATTTTTGTAAGCAATTATTGGCTAAAACTGGTTTTCTTGTATAAATATTTAGATTGGTTGATTTTTGTTGTGGATTTTGTTTTCTATGTATTTATGAGTTTTCTCCTCCTTTATAACAGAACTGTAATTTTGGAGATCTACCAAGAACTATATAAAAAGAACTTGATTTTTGTAAGCAATTATTGGCTAAAACTGGTTTTCTTGTATAAATATTTAGATTGGTTGATTTTAATTTGTTGTGGATTTTTTTTCCTATGCATTTATGAGTTTTCTCCTCTTTTATAACATAACAATAATTTTGGAGATTTACCAATAAATATTTTCGTAAATGTTTTGTTATTCTAATGTGATCGAGTTTGGAGTTTTTTTTTATTAATATTTTTTTTTTTTTGAAGGGCTTTTCATTAAAAAGGAAAAGGAGGTTTCAGAATAATAAGTTGATATAACTACTCTACTAATAAAATCAAAAAGAAATCACAAACAGAAGATATAAAATGAAATGTTGTCAACTACCTATAGTCGTTCGTGTATACAGTATACTATTTAATTAAACTTATTAAAATTTACATTTGATTGGTAGTTAATTTTCAAAATAGCAATAATTTCATTTGATAACATGTCCGCAAATATTTTACCAATACAAATTAAAAAAATATATAAATGAACATATAAAAACTAATTTCCGTTTTAGCTTTAAAAAATACAAGCAAATGGGTCATTAAGCAAATAAATAGAGATTTAATGGCTTATTCTATGATAAGTAGTTGAATTATTATTTTTTATTTACCTATAAAAAATTATTATTAAAAGAAAATGTAAAAGTAATTATCTATAGTGAAAGTTGTATTATTTCTTTCCAATAATATTTAAAACGTGTCATAATTTTTTGATGTTTTAAAATTTATATATTATAAATAGTCATTTATAGTTTTGTCAAGTATCAGTATTTATGAATATTATATCAAATAACATTTAAAAGTTTGATGTTAAGAAAACATTTAAAGTATATTAATATTTTTACTTAAAACTATCGGAAACAAAGCTCCATCCTTCAGAACTATCAGAAATATTGTTAGTTTTTCTTTGCTTTTTAGAAGATACAAGAAACCACGACTCACTACACTCTTCGAAATCACCAAGGAGTAAAAGTAAGAAATTGCAAATGGAAGCAGAAGAGCCTACCTTTTGCTCAAAAGTAAATTATTTTTTGGGTAACTATTGTTGTGATCTTGTAACCATGTGGTTGGTCTTGAGGGTTGTGTAAATTGAAAATTTTATATGCCTCGATTTGTAGAGGAGTTCCACTTGTGCCGATTCACGTAAAATGGTCAATCGGTAAACTTTCTTTTACATTTTCTTGGGTTAAGGACTTGAGATATATTAAAAAAAAAAATCGAGTTTTTGGAAAGATATCTTTTCAGGTTGGAAGATTGTTACAACGAAAGTTTTGCCAGACGAACGAGTTCACTTTGAATGAAGGTATACGTATACGTACTTATGATAAATATTTGTTTCCATTTGAGATTAGAGTAGTGTATAGTTTTTCCAAGAAGATTCACAATTTTCAAATGTTTTATTCATAAAATATGAAATATTATAGTGTTCGGTTTTTAATAGAAACGACATAAATGTTGTGTTAAAACATTTTGAAGATGTAATTTCGTCTAAGACGTAATTGGGCTAATCATATTGAAGTAAACTCATAATATTATTGCTGTCCAAAAAAAGATGAAAAGTAGAAGAAAGTTTCTATAAGCTAAATAAATTAAACAAGTTTGAATTCAAATCAATGATCGTGGAGTTTTCCTCGGAAAAAATATATATATGTCATGTCAACGACTTGGTCATAGTCCCTAGCTCGGACATTGGTGAGAAATGTGGTTTCTGGGCAAGAAGTTTGACCAATTCACTATTGACTCTTCAAGACATCTTCTATTGGCTATTCTATAGCTTTTGCGTGTGTCGACATTTTTTTTTTCATGCTCATAATTCATGAAATCAGTCATGATATCCGGTCCGTGTCAAAGATTTAAGTAATCTGTACCAAATTAGTCAGGTAATCAAGAATATACATATATGGTTTAATAACCTGGACAAGAAAAACAAAACAAATAAATATTGGGTACTTACTACTTAGATTGGTTTTGTAGCCTTGTAGGTGTTAAAGTTATTTTATATTTACTTTAACACCTTAAAGACCAATCCAGAATATTTAAAATTTGATGTTACTAAAGTAACTAAATCAAGTTTTCTATTATTTCAAATACATAGGATACTTTTTACATATTTAATAATAAAAATAAATCTAGTAGTAATGATTAATGAACATAATCCTCCACGTATTATTATATACTGGACCCCAACATATTCTGAATTTGAACCAAATGACTACTGATAATCGCCTTAGTTACCATCCTCATATTGCTATATTTTTATAAAAACTTACATATAATTGATTGATATATACGAAACTTTGGGTTTTAATCCGTTGATAATGATTTTTAGTATTTCTAAAAGCTATAAGTCTGATCCATCCTTCGTGTTCATTATTGTACTGTACATACATATATAGTCATGTAATTTGTAGTTTAATATTAGTACGGAAGGAAGCTTCATCAAATAAAACCCACCGCCTAATTAACGAACAAGTGACAGCTCGTTAACGGTAGTTTTTTTTTTTTTTGATAAAGAACGGTAGTTAAATCTATATTTAGGGTTTTACCAAAAAGTGAAATCTTTTTTTTTTTTAAAGTGACAATTCTTATGCGTAAAGTTTCTAATAAAATAGCCACGTGGGAATACAATAAAAGCATTATTGAATAATTTAGTTTACATTATATTCTTTAAATTTGTAACGACGTTACCAGCTTCTCGTCATTGCTCACACCATCTATCAATCGTTAATAACAATTGTTTTTCAAAATTGAGAAAATTCTGAATTTGCTTCAGTTTTTATCATCTTAAATTTGAAGCAAGTATTATGTCGCTTAAAATTTGTTTGACTGAAATACAGGTAACTCCAGCTGCTCGTGTTTAGAACAAAACTAATAAAATATATATACTAGTGAGAAACCGATCAAGTACGTAAAAATCAGCTAATTCAAATGAATATCCAAGCCAACCATTCTAAACTTTGTACAGTTTGAGTTTTTTTTTAGAATGAAAATATGAATTACTGGTCGATCAAGAAAAATTATCAGCACTAACAAAAAGTTTATGAACCAAAACTAATTTATATTCTTTGACAAAAAAACTAATCTATATCAATAAATGTGGAAATGCAAGTAGATGATTTTTAAAGTATGATTTTATTCAGTAAGAAAAAATGATCGTAAGTTTTTATTCATTATGTAACTCCTAACTACATTATATATATATATGTATATATATTGATGATAATTTTTTTAAATTACCAAAGACTTAGTAAAATGTGAGTCTAAATGGAATAGGTTACTTTCATTATACAAATGTATTATCATAATTTTTTCTAAATAATATATAAAAGGATTGACCAGTAAACGATCGAGAGAACCAAAGAGACAGAAAATCATCAAAGTCAAGTCTTCCTACACGATCATGCATGATGTTATCACCATTTGTCGCTTCCTATATACTCCATCTCCATCCACCTAAAATATTAATATAAATGTACATATATGAACAAGATATTGAAATTAACCTGACATGCAAGTTAACGCTCTTATGAGAACTTAGATGTCAAAAAAAAGTAACAAATTTATTTTTGAAATTTACCAGTGAACTTAGTTACACACATAGTGAATCCTCAGCTATTGAATCACCATGAATTGCTTAAATCAAGAGAACATTATATAAATACTCAAAATAAAATATTACTTCCTCAACACTCAAAATGATTTACACACTGCCCAATTTATTTTATCGAGTTATTTAACTACCAAACATATTAAAAACTTCAAGGTACAAGTCAACGTCAACGACAATCAATCAAATTTTTTATTTTTTTTTTGGTTAGTACGACCATTAAGAGTTACATCTTCTCCGCATATATAAAGTAACCTTAACCTTAATCGTAAATCATATGCAATGAATGCACGTTACACCAAAGAAAGAAAAAAACTATTAAAATAGAAAACACAAAAGGTCCAATGAACAAAAACAACTCTAGAGCAGACCAGTGGTTACAACACTATGAACAACACCAAGTTCAAGAGATGACTCCATGCTTCAACGCCATTAATATGACGTCATCATCAGGATCTTCCCTCGGTGACGGTGGCTCGGCGGTGCATGAAGTTGCCGGACGGCGATCCAGGGCTTCGAGGAGAACCATACCAACGACTCTTCTAAACGCAAACCCTAGCAATTTTCGAGCCCTAGTTCAGAAATTTACCGGACGTTCTTCGGGTGGTGAATCCAACCGGAGAAAAGGTCCGGTGACATTGGATTTCGGGTCTCCCACTACAATCTCTAAAGAAGCTATCTTTCCGGTCTCCAGCGATCGTAGTCATTACGATCATCATGATCATGCGCTTAACCGGCACGTGAGTAACGAGCAACCTCACGTGACTTGGTCAGGTACGGAAGCAACGACGCCGTATCAGTTGGGCGAGGAAAGTAACTCGGTGTTTGAACAAGACCATGATCATTATCTTTTGAGGGAATATTCCGGGAATAGTAGTCATGATGATGGTTTGGATCATATGGATTATTACTATCATGATTTTCACCAAGAAACGGCAACGTTGGAGGAGTTTATGATGAGAGATCTTGATTTATAATATAGCTTGGTTTTTAGTCATTATATTAGTTATTATGAAGATGTCATGATGGTGTTACTTAGGGGAATAAGTATTTGGGAATATTGCTTTACAAGTCCAGTTAGCATTTTCTAATAATAATTTCTAGAATAAATTTTATTTTGTTTTCTATTAGAATAGCTAGATGATGTAAATTTTGTTTATTGATTCTCTTAATTTAATTAATTATTAGTAAACTTTAAAATTGTTCTGATAAAGTGATTAAGCAGTCACCTAAAGTTTGAAAGTTTAGAGGTCTCGGTCGGCGTTTAAAGACCATATTACACACACAAAATTACAGTTCTAATTAACGCGTATACTGAACTTTTTTGAAATAACATGTTTTTTTAATCAATGTATCTATCAGTCTTTTCTCTAACCTTTCAATCTTTCAATAGTGCGTGTCTAAGAACAATAAACAAATTTTTGTATGTGCATACGTTCCTACATAACAAAATTATTTCTAAGGTTAAAATATGATAATATGCTTTTCAGCAAAAAAAATAATAATTATAATATGCGTGTGTGAACTATAGATATGTAAATATTATTATCATAGTTAAACGTGGAAGAGTTAATAACAAAATTTAAATAAGCAAGACATAAGATAATTCAAACTAACGCTCGGCCATGTGGATATAACTGGACGGCCTTACGTTCCACCAAAAAGATTAGTCGGGTGCTTTCAGGTTTAGGATACCTCGGATGCTAATAACAAAAAAAATATAAAATAGCAAATGTTGGAGACTTAGTCATATTACTCGTATTTAAAAACGCGTTAGGTTTTCTTTAACTTGTATTGGTAAAAATTACACAGTTTTTATAAATGAATATTTACAAACTTATATATATTATAAAAGAGTTATTAGTTCCTCAGTGAGGCCGATAGAGAGAATGAATCTAAGAAAAGGCCAAAAACATCATCAGTTAAAAAATGTACGAATTCAAAAAATTAACTTAACTTAGATTTTTCAATTCAGATAGAGATATTCATTAATCTTATTTCATGGTCAAAGTTTATGACCAGTCCTTTGGATATATATCAAAAGTCAACTTTGCACCAATAATTGTCAAATTCCTTTCACATTTCACTCACATGCTTAAACTCGGGGTTCATAACTTGGTTGATTTTTTTTTTTGAATGATTATACGTATAATAGGTTCCGGATCCACATGGTTCATTCGTTCGTTTGAGTTCATTTAAGTGAATATGTCGACTATACAATTTTCTTTTTTTTTGAAAAAAAACTTATACATTATTTAATTTGTTTGAAAGATAAATTTGAAAATTTATGATGTATTTCTAAAACTGAAGAAATTGAAATCATCTTTTAAGAAAATATTGTTCTCGTAAGGAGTTTGGTAATCACCAAAAGAGTAGATTAAACATTGTATATCATACCGTCGAAAATCCATTATAATTAAATACATAAAAAAATTGGAAAATGGTTGGACTTGAAGAACGTCTAATTTTTCGTTTTGATTCATCATTCATACTTCATATATTAGCAGCTGACTCGATCAAACAAGTTGACTCATTTCTATGTTTTGTACGTATAAGCTAATGGTCCTACGAATTATTAATGGATTTATGTAATGTATTAAGTCTATGAATAGAGACATTATGTAATATACATTTGTATCATAATGAACCACATTATGATAGCAATTTTAAAAAAAAAAAAAAATATATATATATAAAGTGACTCTTAAGGATTAATTTAGGACAGCTAACTTCTGCAACAAGCAAATAAACAAATTAACAAAAGCAAAAAAAACAAGCAAAACAACGACCAAGTCAATATAATCGTAATGAAAGTTTAATTGTATCACCTAACAAAACAAAAACATTTTATTGTAATTTATAATTTATGAAAATACGGCTATAGCGTGAAAGGTGAGACGTTGTCTACTTATCTTTATATGTCAATGTATGAAAATGGCGACTGAAATCAAATTAATCAACTAGACTTGTATCCGCGCATACACGCGGGTTTTGTTTTACATAATATTTGTTAATATATATATATATATATAATTATAAGAATATGGTAATTTGTTTGATTGTTTAGTATTAGATTTTTTAAAAATAAAATCTTTAACAAATAACTTTTTTTTTAAGGATTAGAAGTAGGATAAGTAGGAAAATTATTCTACTATTCTTGAAATCATAAACATGATATGATATGAGTAAAAAACGTAGATAAAAGCCATATTTTTTTGGGTTGAATTGTTTGAAAACATATAATTACCTCTGAATTTTAATGTTCTCATATTTATGACAAATACAATTGTCATGATTCTGCAAGAACCGCTCCATACGTCATGTTTCACAATAAAATGCAGCTATAATAATATGATATATGATCTATAAAAACCGCCAAATTTTTGAATGTAGAGAACGCTACATCTTTACATTATTTTATACAACAAACTTCGAAAAAGATGTTCATGATGATGATAACCCAGAAGAAAAAGTATTAAGTTAGTACAAAAAATATTAAATTTTTTTAAAAGAATACTAAAAGATTAGAAATGTTATTTATTTATTTTTGTTAGGAATGTGGAAAGCCTTAATTTTAATGTAACTTAATAGTTATGAACATAAATACATATGAAATAAACATTAAATAGAAAAGTTAAGTTATAATTAGTGGTATTAATTAGTTTTTAACTTTTTATTTTAAAATTTATGATTAATTAATTAAATGAAAGGACAGGTGTCCTCCATTCAGATACTGATGTGGCAGCAGGATGGAGAGAGTTCACCTAAAATCATATATATGATTCTTGTTTTACGTTTTAGCTGAATTTTTTTCCCTTATGAATGGGGTTTAGGTTTATTCTTTTCTCGATATGCAATATTTATTCAGTCTATAGCAGCAAACCTAGTTTGATAAAGAAATCAGATGAGAGAGAAAGGGAAAGTCTAAGATTGACTAATGCTCTCACCAATGAACACTAAACTAAACTATATGTCGTGTATATATAAGCAACGTAACCAAGTTAGTTAACTGACCAAATAATGTTAACGAAGAAGAGTAATACACCCTCTTTAGCCAAGCTGAAATCCGTTGGAAAAAAACAGAGGTTCGAAATAATACATCTAAATATTAGAAGAATGATTAACTCCACCAATTTTTGTTAATTCTAAATATACATAATACAACCATTTACACTTGAGACCATTTTACTAATTCTATGAGTAATTACCGTAGAATAAGCAAGCCCAATTTAGGCCCAGTATAAGGCCCAACTAAATTTGTAAAACGGATAATGAAAATACAGCGACTCCGCGCCAAATAAACGACAGTAATTCACTTATCATCCCTGTCGCTGCATTTTCCCCCTTTTCTTCGATTTGTTTTTCCCTTAAACCCTTAAGGACAAAAATTAGGGTTTCTCTTCGTCTCGCAATTCTATCTTCCCCGAACCAAATTCCTTCGTGGATTCGAGAAACCGGATTCTTCCTCGTTGTTATGAGAAAATGAATTTGATTTCCAAATCACTTACAAGAATCGAATGTTCGCCATTTTCCCACCCGAGAGCATCGGAATCCCTTACCGGAAAACGGATAAGCTCTCGGCAAATTCGCTTATACACTGCGGCTGTAGCCGGGAAAACCGGTAGTGGCGGAAAGAAAGTAAGAGCCAAGGCACCGACGAAAACGCCGGCGGACGTGGTGGCGCCAGCCACGGCGAAGAAAGAGAATGGATTGGCTCGGCCAAATGAGATTGCTTACCAGAGTGAAGTGGCGAATTGGGTCAATTTGGTTGGGTTTGTTGATCAACCTGTTCAATTCGAGGCTTCTTCCGACGGAAAATTCTGGGCTGGTACTGTGATATCCCAGAGGTCCGGTTCAGATTCCTCTGCTTTCTGGTACTTCTTCTTCCTCCAATTTTAACTTATTGATAAGCTCGAAAATGAGGAAGTTTTGTAACTCTGTATGTGATTGTTGATTTTAAGAAAAAAGGTTTTGGATTTGCTTGTCAGGATTCCGATAATATTTGAAGGTGATCTTGCTAAAATCGCAGCTCGATATATAAGTAAAGACGATCGTATTCATGTTTCTGGAAAGCTTTTTATAGATTCACCTCCTCCAAATATGACTTATGCTCAATCCAATGTCCAGGTGAGCTTCAAAACAGTACTTGTTAAGATTTCATTTGATGGAAATGTTTGAAAAGAAATGAGAAGATTTGTAAATTGTGATGAGAGTGTTATGTTGATTCGTTGTCTCTTTAATATGTGTTTGTTTCCTTCTTGAATCTGTATGAAGTGTTCCACAGAATCATTGTAACGTAAGGTTGTTTGCTCACACAGGTGTTGGTCCAGAATCTCGACTTTGTGCAGCCTTATTCTCCACCTATGGTTATATCGTCATCTGAAAAGGAAGAAAGTGCCATCAAGAAGCGGCCTGGTATGTCTCGTCTAATATTTCCAGTGAACTCTAGTTCAATGTCATGGTACTAAAGTCTCTTTTTTCCTTAACTCCATGATATATGTAATTATTTCTACTGGCGGTTGTATTAAATCTGATCAAGGCTCTTAGGGAGCTAGTTTTTCGATTTCATGTAATAGGTTTCATCAAAAATTTATTTTCTTATGAACTCTCTTCCTAGTGGTTTCATCATTCTTTTGACTCTGTAGCTAGAGCTAAGAAAGATATAGTTATGGAAGAAGCTTTTGATTCTTGGAATCACCTCATTGAAAATCCTAAAGAATGGTGGGATCACCGCGAAAATAAAGCCAACGGATTGGTAAATGGCTCATGTGCTTAACAATTCATCCTCATCTGATTCTTGTTATTTTGATAAGATGTGAGCTAAATTCCTCTACTAAGTTTTTGACTTCTCGGCTTTTACCGCATAGGTTAAACCAAGACATCCTGATTTCAAAAACAAGGACACCAGTGTCTCATTGTGGCTCAATAAGGCTCCTGATTGGGTTTTGCCAAAACTGGAAGGACTCGAGTTTGATGTTCTTGTCCCTAAATCGAGAGGAGTGAAACAACTTAAAGGTAAAGTTCCCATTGTTTTCCATGTTCATATGAAAGTACACAAAGAAATAGTTATGTGGCATATATATGTTCATGTATGTTTTTGTTAACCAAAATCTGGATTGAGATGGTGTAGGAGAGGAATCATGGAAAGACTTGGTTCAGAATCCCGATAAATGGTGGGACAATAGAATTGACAAGGTAGTATATCGTTTGGTCAGCTCTTCAAATCAGTCTTTTGAAGAAATTTGACTGTTATCACAATATTGTTTTCGTTTGTGTGTAGAGAAATGCGAAAGCCCCTGACTTCAAGCACAAGGAGACAGGTGAAGCACTGTGGCTAAATGAGTCTCCTACTTGGGTATTACCAAAACTGCCACCACCAGTGAAGAAGAAACAAGAAATTAGTGTCTCGTAGTCTTTGCTAGAAACATTTTCTCCATGTAAAGAGCCCCAAGTGTTTACAAAATTAATCATTTATATCTAATTTACTCATCAGAGTTTCTTTTGATCTTTAGTCAATAGAGTGAATATACAAGCTCTCAGTGGATTTGGTAAAAAAAATCTCAAGTAAAATAGGCAGATTGGATCGTGAAAGAACGTTTTGCAAGAGTATTTAAGTTAACAGATGCAACCAACAACGTTAAACAAAGCTCAACTTAGGAGAAAAGGGAATAATTCTTGTCTTATAAAGTAGAAAGATGACTAACAAACTATTTACTCTAAAACTTAATAAAAGCCCTTTGATACTTCTCTCCTTATTCAGCTCAATTCACAGCAGCAAGCATCATGTCTCTGTCTAGTATCTTCTTCCCTGTGGAAACTGAAACAAAGGACCATCTCAGTAACAAGTATGTGGACAATGGAGTGTTTGAATGCAAGATTCATTTATAGTCAACTTACTTGGTCAGATCCCGGTTGGCCTGCTGTATTATTGTTGTTCCAGTCTGGGTTCCTCTGATCTACCTGTGGAAATGGCTGATTCGGCACTTGTCCAGCTCCAGAATATCCCTGACCATATCCAGGATTTGCAGCTCCCGGTGCAGGACCGTAGTTTCCATTTCCCTGTGGACCGTAATTCCTAGGCCCTCCTTGGCTGTAACCTCCTGGTGGCCCTTGGTTATAGTTCCCAGATCCGCCTTGACTGTATCCGCCTGGTGGCCCTTGGTATGGAGGTACTGGAGATCCCTGACCTTGATTGTAACCCCCCTGATATGGAGGTGGTGGAGGTCCAGTCCTGCCTTGGTTGTAACCTCCCTGATATGGTGGAGGAGGAGCTTGAGTTCCTTGTCCTGGAGAGCCATAGCTTTGCTGAGGACCACCGTAGCCCCCTCCACCACCTTGCAATGGCGGTTGCTGACCATACTGTGGGTTTCTTTGGAAGTTTTGTTGACCACCTCCTCCTCCTCCTTGACGATTGAACCTATCACGGGTTCTCCTGTTATGATGAATTGGTGGTGGCCTGTGTGTGATCTTTCCGTTCTCGTATTTGTCTCCTGAAAAAAACAGAATTTTTTTGTAGAGTATAAAGAGTCAATTTGTACATATCCAAAATGAGACGAATTTGGGAAAAGCTCACCTCCATACTCTTTGTTCACGGGATCAATGTAGGAATCTGGCAATATGAAGACCACTCCGGGTAGATCTGATGACATACAGAAGAAGAGAGGAGTCTATTAATTACTAGTCACAAATAGTTTCTTCTAAAGGAGAATAATCCGAGTCATTTGAGCTATATACCCTTGAACTTTTCTGATTCTTGTTCAGTCATAATTGCCTGAAAACCTTGGTAAGTGGTTGTGCTACAAGCATAGATCTTCTGCTTGGCCTCTTCCAAGCTGACTCAACGATAAAAACCAAAAATAGTCAATACAGATAACAAAAAGAAGATGCCCAAAATTGAACAAAAATCAGTGGACATATCGCCTTGGATTCTGACTAAAGCATTTGATAAAAGAAAAGCAAACAAATCTCATTTTCAACGAAAAGAGAATCTCACAAATATGAAACCGCACTAACTTTCTGCAGAGACAAATCAGTCTAATGTGTTCCATTTCTAATTCAATATCCTAAATGATCAAAGAGATAACTTTCTACTGAGACAAATCAATAAAATGTTCCATTTCTACTTCAATATCCTAAATGATCAAAGAGACAAAAACAGAGAAAGCAAACACATACAAATTGATGAAAATTTTTGGGTAAGATTTCTGGTCTGAAATCGAAACTTGAATCAATGAAATTTCAAAGAACGTAAGAAGAGAATTTAGTAACGACCTGATACCAAGCCCTCTGGCACAAGTTTGCTCGTAGGTAGCGACCATTTCCCCAGGAGACAAAGGATTATCCTTGGGGAAATCCATGGTGATGAGCCAGTGATTATAATCACATCCTTCAAACAGCACAGTGTCTTCCGTGATTTCATCGCCTTCCTTGTAAAGCTTATATTGCTTCGTCGAAAAAAGCCTCACCGGAGCTTGAGTAGCTCCCGTGAAACGCCCTAAAACGGATCTCTGTAGCACCGTCGATACAGTAGGGAATTCGGTGGGAGGCGCAACGGTAGCCGGAGAGAGGGAGATTGATCGGTTAAAAGATGAAGTTGCCGTGACTAAAGCTCGTCGGAGACGGTGAGAGAACATAGCCATTGATGCCAGAGAGAGAGAAATGTTGAAGAGTCTCTTCGGAATTTTCTGGAGAAGAGAGATGAAATTAGGGTTTTTGCGGGGTTTTACAATAGATAAATAAATTGTAATTACCTTTAACTCCCTTATTTTAAAATCATTTCAATCGTCATGTAAAGTTTCAAAATTTATCAGATACAACCCTATTTTTCATTTCAAGTATGGCAAAAAGCAAAAAAAAAAACACAGTATTGGTCCCAAAACTTTAGGCCTTAATGGGCTTTAAGCGCGAATAAAAAAAGCTTATAAACGCCGTCGTTTTGAACGTCTTAAACAACGGTTTACAAAAATATTTTCACGATTGTTTCTTCTCTATCTCTCTCTATCTCCGGCGGCCGTGAAACCATGTGGTCGGCGACGCTCTCTTTCCCTTCCTTTGTGGCTCCTACTTCTTCTTCTCTACACAGTTTCAGGAAGCCTAGATTTCCGAAGATCAAAGCTTCGCTATCTAATTACCCTCTCGCTAGCAAAATCATGGTCAGAAGTAAGTTTCTGACTTTCACTATTAGTTGGACTATCCTTTGGTTTAGATTATAATTCGCTTCTCGCTGAGATTAGGATATAGTTTTGTTAAGAAAATTCTGATTCTATTTTGATGGAGAACGGACAAATCCAAATGGATAAGCGAAGGATTTCGAGTCATGATTGTGGCTGTAAAATGTGATAGTGTCTAGAGGTTTTAGAAATCAGTTCTTGTGTTAATACTTACAATTACCGTGAAAAATAAGTTTCTTGTAACTTCAATTCGGTGATTAATCTCTAATGTTTTGTCGCTTTGAATCTGTAGATTTACCGTTTTCTACTAGTGAAGAATTTCTGCAGAGGGAATTTTCAGCTTTTGGCGAGATAGCTGAAGGTGTGTTAAACTTGATGTGTTTTGCACTTTGCTCTGTTTCTTTCTTTTGCTTAAATCCATCTTTGGAGTTAATGTTAGCTTTCACAACTCTTATCTTTCAACAGTCAAGCTTATCAAAGATGAGTCAATGAAGAGATCAAAAGGTTATGCCTTTATTCAATTCATGTCTCAAGACGACGCTTTCCTAGCACTAGAGACCATGGACCGTAGGGTAAAACCTTCTTTTCAACATTAGCTTATCAAAGTTTACATTTTTATGTATCGAAATCAACCAAATTGTTCCCATCCTGTTGCAGATGTACAATGGCAGGATGATTTATATAGACATTGCTAAACCAGGGAAGCGTGATTTCCAACAGCAACCGAGGACTTCTGGTCCACCCGAGAAGCTCCAGGTGCCAGAAGAATCAGCCAATAACGAGGTCGCTGATTGTTGGTATTAGTTGTTAGCAATCAACTTCACCAAACTGAACTTGCAATTATATATATATGATTATTTAGAGAATAATGAGTCAAATCTGTATTCCTCATTAGGAGACAAATGATCAGTATGTAGAATGTTATCTTACTGATAAACGATTACTGACACAGTTCCAGTTACAGCTCTATCAGTTTCTACAACTACCACATTGTTGGAAACATTCGTCACTGCATTCGCAGGAATCTGTCCTGATTGAGCAAAAAACGAATGCTGGTAATGGTTTATCCGGTTTGGGAAAACCAAAACAGGGGAAAAATCAGCGACCCATCTCGTCCCATTCGCTGAAACCTTTGACTTCCCTATCGTTGATTTCAACATCATCCCTTCCGCATTGTTCTGATCAATCACAACTTGATCAATCTCATGAAACTCTCCTTCCAGCTTGACGATCGGGAAATTGTTTTGAGGAGTACCAATAAACATGTTATTGACGATGTTTACCCCTGAAATCTTCCCGTGTACAGATCTCAACACGATGTTAGCATCTCCTAAGAACAGAGCGTTTGTGACATGAACGTGAACAGGATCTTCAATGACTATACCTGTGTAGTCAAGGTAACAATTGTCTATCCTAGTTAAATGCGATTTCACTAGAATGCCGATTCCACCAAACCATGTAGCTTTATTGTAGCAATGCACGCCTGTAACCATATTTGCACCACCACTCAACGAGATTCCAATCCCAGCCGAGAAAATCACTACGTCGGTTATGGCGTTATCGTTGCTCGAGATATCGATTCCTGTACCGGAAAACTCTCTTTCTTCCTTGTCTCCTCCTACCGTTGAATGTTGTCCCAAGAAAGAGTTTGAAATGTATGTCTCGTGACCTCCCTGGACTTTGATCCCATGCGTTGTGAAATGGAGGAAGTAGCAATTGGTTATACGGATTCGAGCTGAGTCAATTACCAAAATACCCCCGCCTCGGAAGCTTGAGTCGAAGAGGACATCTTGGAAGGTCACATCCTCGTAAACAATCCCGGAGCTCTGGTCTTTTTGATCAGAGAAAGAATCTTCCGGCGACATTTTCATTGGTTTCACGGAGTTTGATGGTACGAGCTCGACCAAATGCCGATCACCGGGAAACACCTCCGATGCACGGAAAGTCCCGCCTTTTAACTGAATTACACCGAAAAATGGGTAAAGATGCAAACCTTTTTTGCAAGCTTCTTAAAGCAAGAAGTCAAAAATGTATCCACGGGACTAACCACGAGATTTCCGCCGCCGGAGGAAGGGAACCTGAGAGGTTTTCCGATCTTGTAACTGCCACCTTGAAGATCAATAACAAGACCTCCTAGATCGGCGACACGTGGTAGCATCTGGAGCCCGGTTTGTAACTGAAAAGCATCGGTTAAAGCTTCAAGGATTGCGTCACTACTGTCTTGTCCACCTGTCGGGTCAGCTCCGTAATTAATCGGGTATATCACTCTCCCTACCTGCACAAACCAAACTCACACGCTCACAAATGACGCACACGTGCGTATATATATGTAGAAACTGAATAGAAGGACTGGATTTACCATTTTGGACGAGTGAGAAGAAGGAGAAGACATTGGTGGGAGACTAGGAGTGACTGCGAGTCTTTCTTGGATCTTCTCTTGGAATTCTAGAAGCTTTGTCATGTCTCTTCTCAACGAGAATGTCTCATCAAATTCATTTGAAATAGTAATGAGAAAGATTAACAAGCAAATAAAGCAATAGAGACTCATTTACTTTTTCTTGATTTTTGTCTTCTACTATAGAGAGATAGAGAGAGAGGGAGAGAGAGAGAAAATGAAGGAGAGAAACTATGAGAAGAATGATTATAAAGAAGGTGCAGGTAGATATGAGCGTAGGTGTATGTGTCTGTGTATAAGTGTGTATTAAAGGGCATTATTTATGTTGTTAGTTTTTGCTTTATTATTCCAATGTACCACTCGAATTCCGATTTATTAAACGGAAACACTTTAGGTGTTTTTGCTTTATTCATAAGGAAATGCGAAAAGACTCGAAAAGATAGATCAAAGCATAAAAGACATATCAAAGCATGTTAGTAGAAAGCTGAAGTTCACAAAGTTATAGAATTTTGACTGATAAGTGGCCGAATAACAAAATAGGTATGCGATTTTGATTTATTTATTAATCATATAATTTGTTGTCATAAGTTTATGTTTAATTATTCCGTCTTCTATCGTTCTAATAATAAAAAAAATGTACGACATTTTACTTTCTAACTTTTAAATGAGTTACTTTTCAATTTAATATTTTGATTCTGCAGATTTCATGCTCTGCGAATTTCTGCAGCATTAATGATTTTATGAGAAAAAAAAATCATTAGTATTAGACTTTGTTTACAACCCATCTTAGACTTTATTCGTCATTAGTTTGCTTTCTTTCAAAATTATTCATCACTTATAAAAATAATACTTTTGTTTCCACACACTTTATTTGTTAACAAAGCATTTAATTTTTTAGATGCAAAAAAACTTGCAGATTTATATGTCGAAGACTTGAAGTGATTATCGAAATGGATTATTGAGGGTGCGGGAACACTTTGTTAAAAGATGCAGAGTCTCGAAGTCTCCTTTCATGCTCTTTTATTCTTTAGTTGCCGACTTTATAGAAAACTAATAACATTAGGCTGCTTTATTTGATTCTAATGTAAAGAAAAATATACTAGAGCATCTGGTTATTGGTCAAAAACATAACTTCAGAAGTAAGTTTCTTAGTCACTGCATTGAATTTCATCTCAGAGAAACTAGTAAATGTCTTGACAAGAATAAAGAAACTAGTAAATGTCTGCCACCAACTCTTCAACTGTTAAATCACAATTTTCGAGTTCATTTTATCTACTAGTAGTAAAAAAAATATAATTTCTCTTGATAGGAAGAACAAAAATTACAAATATCAAAAACCACCAATTTAATTTTATAGTTATTAATACCCTTATTCCGGCAAAAACACGACGCTCAAACTCACTGTTCCGCTGTTACATAAACTTTTGCAGTAACAGGAGCGTTTGTCTCAACGACCACTCGATTGTCCGAAACGTTCCTTAACGCGTGAGCAGGAAACGCATTAGCCTCACGCGCTACGAGTGTGTACTGCACGTGCTTAATTAAATTCGGAAACAACAAAACCGGGTTAAAATCGACGGTCCAAGACGTCCCATTTCCATCGACCGATCCTTTTGCCACCGTCGATCTCGTTGCCATTCCGTTCACACTGTTCCGGTCAACAACCACCTGGTCAACGTCCCCAAACGCCTTATTGGTCTGATCCAATTGAACAATCTGGATCCCATTACCCGACCCGGAAAACATATTGTCGACAATATTAACCCCTCGAACCACACCGGCTATCGATTTCAACAAAATAAACGCATCTCCCAAGAAAAACGTCCCTGAAATTTGTAGCTGAACCGGGTCTTCCGCGACGATACCGGTATAATCCAAGTACGAATTCACAATTCGGTTCTGAGTTAAACCGGGTAATTTCAAATAAATCCCGGTTCCTCCAAAACCGGTTGCCTTGTTATAACAATGCACACCAGACAATAAGTTTGCCTGTCCTGAGATCATGACCCCAATCTCCGCGGAGAATATAACGGTGTCCGTGACGGCGTTATCGTTACCGATAAGATTCACGGCGGTGCCGGAAAAGTTTCTCTCTCCTTTGTCTCCACCGGCGGTTATGTGTTGACCAAGAAAGGAGTTTCGAATATAAGTCTCGTGTCCTTTTTGGACAAGAATCCCGTTCGTGTTTCCGAACCGTGTGATGTAACAGTTGTCTATGCTTGTCCGGAGAGAATTTATGACGGCGATTGCTCCGCCGCGGTAGTTGCAGTCGATGAGAAGATCTCTGAAAGTTATGTATTCGAATATGTATTGTAGTTTTGACGATTCGTCGTTGAGTTCGATTAAGTACTTATCGACTGGAAAATCATCTGACGCCTTTAATGTTCCTCCGCTGATCTGACGTGTGACGCAAGTCAAGAATAAATAAAAATATCAGTATCAAATTAATTTAAAAATAGGTGCAATGGAATAACGAACCATATGATAAGGAAATGTGGAATGATAGGAATTTTCAGTTATTGTTATTACTCGGTTAGTTTGTCATTTTAATAAATTACGACTCACAGAATTATATGAATGTAGAGTACATAACTTTAAAGAACAAGAACAAGTTATTTACAATGTAATTCACAAGACAAATAATATATATGGATTTTCTCATGCAATTCAATAACAAATTTGAGTTTTTCGTTTTTTTTTTTTCGTATTTTTAGGTGTTAACGACTTTTTATAACTTAGAAATGGAAGTATATATGTATAAAGTATAGAAAGTTGTAGGCTTGTAGCTTTGATGGAAACTTTAACTATTTTTTAAAACACTAAATGCTAAGGGATGCGGAAAAAGGAAGGAAATCTCTTTAATAGTTATATTTCGACAGAAACAAATCTCTTTTGTTGGGAGATATAAAAGGGTCATATTGTATGAAATTATGAGAGAAACATGCATAAAAAGAAAGGAATCATTATATTCTCGTGAAAGAAAAATAATGATCATTAATTCATTTTGGTTTGGTTCACCAAACCTACTGAAAGCATCTATACCTAAGAAGCATCTTTAATTAAGTTTACGTTTAAACTAAGGTTCTGTTGAGAATTTCATGTTTTATATATCACTTTATTTAACGTATGGATGCAGTGTCATATCACGTCACATAGATGGGCCCTGAAGAAATATATTTCTATGAACATGACTTTGTCGATATATTAATTCACACGTACGGAAGAAATCTAACTCTACCTGTTATGTTGCATATAATAAAGTTTTGGCAAAAATAGAGATTGGAAAATAAGAGAAACTTACGAGGAGATTTCCGGCGCCGGCTGAGGGAAACCGAAGAGGACGGCTGATTAAGTAGCTTCCACCTTCAAGATCGATTCTGGCTCCTCCAAGATCATTTATACCTTCCATTAAAACTCCTTGATTTGGACCTTCGAATGCCTCTTCCATAGCTTTCAATATCGCATTCGTGCTATCCACTTTCCCTGTGGGATCGGCACCATATGATATCACTTGATACACGCGTGGACCAGGTACTGCCTACACCATACATGCATCATATATATATCATGTATAATTGCATCTAACTAAACCATAAACTAAAAAGAACAAAACCTTTTGATACAACAAACTCAATCATATATATGATCATAACAAGATCGAGACGGTTATATTATATACCTGAGGAGGAGTAGGAGGAGGAGATACCAAAGCCGGTAGATTTCGGCGAACCAATGAAGCTTTAAGAGCTTGCATTTCCGCCATATGCCGGTCATGAAGGGCCTTTGAGCCTGAGTATTTACCGGCCAAGACCACTTGACTCGCCATTAGAGTCATTATCGCCAACAAAACCGGCATGGCCACTTGAGTTTTCCTAATCTCCATATGGCTTCCTCCTATAATAAATCAAAATGAGCCCAAAAAGAGAGAATGGCTGAAGCTAATGCTTTGCGAGACATTTATATATATATGTATGTTGTTAGCACATGGAAAGAGAAAGGCCTAACTAAGGTTACCAATGAAACATTATACAAACTTTTGTCTTTTCTATTGGGAGTCACACATTTTGCACTCTTTTACATTTTTTGGATCCTCTTTTTTCTCTCTATTTTTCTACCGGTTTACGCAATAATATGTTATATTTGTTCACAATCACGAAACTCTAGATCTAATATTTTTTTCTAAGCACTATATGACCTACCGTGAAACCAGCCCCCTTGGAAATATGTATATCAATACATATTTATGACATTTTTCCGTTATTCGATTTGGTTTTTTGTAGGGAGAAGAAAGAAATAAATATGCTAGTTAGCATGCGGAAAATGGACAAAGATCCACAAAAGTGTATAAAGATATAGATTCATGCATTATGAGATTAGATTTTTTATGTAAAAAGGTAAACCAAGTCATGGGGTTTTGGTTGGGGAGGTTTGAGTGGTGGATAGGTTTTTGGTAGAGTTTTTTCCTCTTTCTTTGAATATTTCTTCCAACTAAAGATATATCTATTCATTCACTCTTTCTCCTTTTTTCTGTTTTCTAATTTGAAATTTACTAATTCGCTTAAGAATGGTATACAATCACGAAGAAAATTTAATAAGTGTTAAAAGGTAATCATACATATAAATGAAATGTGTGTTTTGACTTATTATGTTGATTATTAATGCTTTTTAAGAAATAAGAACTATGGCCGATGAAACAAGATATTTTTGTGTTTGGTCATCTGCATTTCCACCTTCTTCATGAAGAAGGAAAGTTTAATATGGAAATAATTTTTTTTCCTTATTATAAGTTTATAACATTGGCAAACAATACTTTCTCCCCTATAATAAAATATCAGAAAGTTGATTGTATCTTTAAAAAAATAGTGAAAATCAGTAAACGTTACCTCTAATTGATGTTGATTGTGTGAGTTTCCCTATTGTTCAAATCCCAAATACGCTTCGGGATTCCGATGGGGTTGGATTTTAGGCCTGAGGATGTGAAACAGAGACGAACAAAAGATTAATAATGTATTTTCTGTATATATTAACACAAGCAAAAAATCGATATAAATAAGGATGGATACTGCAAATCAAATAATTCGGCAGTAGAAAACAAAGATACAAGAAAGATAGTAAAAGTTCATTAAATTTTTTTCAAAAGAACATTTACATATAGAGAATGCATGTGTAATGTATATACAACGACGGAAAACACATGTATATAAATTTACATTTAAAAAGAAAAGAAGTTTCTCTGTACGAAACTGAAAAAGGCTTCATAATAAAAAAAATTTAAAACTAAGAAGATGAAATCAAAGTATTTTATGGAATGACATGTTGGGATTATACTCACCAGAAATCTGAAAAGGGCCTTTTATTCTCATATCAAAATTGAAAATTTAGTCTAGAGTCATGTTAGGTTGTAAAACAATTAGGTCCCCAAATCCACCTATTTATAAAGGTTAATTAAAAAATAGTTAATTTGCAATCAAAACATAAGAAAGTGGATGCACATAAGTAGGTTACACGAAGTTAATTAATTGCAAACCAAAACTCAACGGTAATGACATACGGTAACGTTTCCCCATATTAAAATTTGTTCTAGCGTGTTACAACTTACGATTGTGTTAATTAGTAATGAAATAAAAAACTAATTAAGGCCGTTCTTTTCATAAATCAAAATAAAGTTCATAACTCTATCAAAAAAGCACGCGCAAGAACAAGCATTTAAAAGTGCAACTCATAATTTAATGTGCCTTGATGATAGTTTCCCAACTAATAATTTTCACCTCATTAGAAAGAACATTGTCACATATTGGTTGTGCCAGAGCAACGATACAATCATACAAGTGGCAAACAATTTAGCTCTGATCAATTCATCAGATCTACTTTAAATCTAATCTCAGATCTAAATAAGAACAAAACCGCAAAATCAAATGAACAATGCTTAATGCAATGGGACAACTTACACGAAACTTGATTCTGGCTTCTTCCTCTTCTTTAATTCACAAGAGCTTTCATTTTCAAAGCATTTTTGTTTTTGATTTTGTTGTCAACAAGTTCATCTCTTTTTAATCTGATTTTTTCTTTTATGTTTTCCTTGGTTTTGGTAGACTCCTTGTCAAATAATCTTTCTATGCCAACTATTTAAGTTTCTCTTAATTATTTTTTCTCACTAAATGAAATTATAATTAATGCATATTTAATTTTTGACTAACTCAGTAGCTTTCCAATAAATTGGTTTCTCATTGACCGAATTTTTCTTTTCTTTCCTTTTTCATTTGGTTGAGTAGTTAAGTATATAGGGGTGATATTGGTTGCAAAACTGTGAAAGCGGTAAAGACTTCACTTTTTTCTAAAGTCTTTAAAATATAAACTAGACTTGTATCCGCGCATACGCGCGGATTTTGTTTCACATAATATTTTTAAAAATATATATGTGTTGATATATATATATATATATAGTTAATTATAAGAATATGGTAATTTATTTGACTGTTTAGTATTAGTTTTTTTAAAAATAAATTCTTTATAAAACAAATAACTTTTTTTAAGGATTGGAAGTATGGTAATTAGGAAAACTATTCTACTATTCTAGAAATCATAAACATGATATGAGTAAAAAAGACGTAGATAAAAGTCATATTTTCTGGTTGAATTACTTGAAAACATATAATTACCTCAGATTTTTAATGTTCTCAAATTTATGACATGTACAATTGCCTTAATTCTGCAAAAACTACCTCATACTTTATATTTCACAATAAAATGCAGCTATAATAATATTATATTTGACCCATAAAAATCATCAAATCTTTGAATGAAGATAACGCTACATCTTTACATTTTTTCAAACAACAAACTTCGAAAAAGTGTTTATAATGAGGATAAACCAGAAGAAAAATATCAAGTTAGTATAAAAAATATTTAAAAGTTTTAGACGAATACCAAAAAGTTAGAAATGTAAAAAATTAGAAATGTTGTTTATTTATTTTTATTAAGAATTTGAAAATTCTTAATATTAATGTAACTTAATAGTTATGAACATAAATACATATGAAATAAATATTAAATATAATAGTTAAGTTAGAAGTAGTAGTATTAATTAGTTTTTAATTTTTTATTTTAAAATTTAAAATTTATTAATTAAATGAAACTAAGGACAAGTGTCCTCCATTCAGATGCTGATATGACAGCATGATGGAGATAGTTCACCTAAAATCATATATATAATTTCGCAATCACATTTTAGAAGCCCTAAAATCTTTCCACAATTTTACAGACGCAGCTTGTCAACCACAAAATCCAAAAAAAAAATAAAATAAAAAAATCCAGAAATACTACAAAACTTTGGTCACCAAGCTTGCTTTCGATTTCTCTAATGACGTTGGCAAGTTGGCCTTGATATAGAGTTTCTTTCTAAGGCGTCCATTTTCCAGCTTGTATGGTTTCTCTTTGATTCACTATCTAAACCCCACAGCCTCTTTTCCACTGTCATCTTGTTTGCTTTGAGGCACTCTCATCTTTTCAATCTTCATCTTTCTTTCTTGTTGCAACTGAATATGTAACACGATTATTATCGACCACAAGAACCCTCTTTCCTCCTTAATATTCATCTTTCATTCGGCATGCATGGAAGTTCCTTGCTCTTCCTCTGCGTTCCCTAGCTATATGCTTTCGATCGTCTTGACCCCTCAAGTCTCCCTCTCTCTGAAAGTGATGGTGCCATTATCGTCTTGTCTACCTTTCTGCTACTTGGTCTCTCATCTTCTTGGATTTTCACACTTTTTATGTTTTTGGTGATGTCTCCGCAACAAGAGAATGTCTTAGTGGCGATTCCCTTGGTAGCTCAATAGGTAACATCACTAGTGTGATCTGTGTTTGAAGCTCTGTCAATAAGTATTATAGACGACAAAATAAGTGTATCTCTTTCTCTTCGTAACTTTGATTCCGAAGATCCATTTCTATACGTTATCTAAAAAATTAGCTTAGAGTTGATTAATTGGTGTATATACGGTATGTCACGTGTATATTTTTTTTACACAGCCTTGAGATTTTCAAAAAGTATTTTGTGGCGCATGTGTCTCTAGCTAATAACCATGTTAGGTAGGATATAATTGATTGAATTTAGCGTTTCACAGGACCCCATGTGTATATTAGTCAAACAAAACTTTCTACCTCTTATTTATTTATGTCATGGATCCCATTCTACAATCGAATTACATAACATAATCAACAAGACCACAAAATTTTAGTCATGAAGCTTTCTTAACTGTAAACACAGGTTTGCCATTGAGAGGTAGAAGATTCCAGTAAGAACCGTGTTGATCAATGCAACAGCTTAGCCATTTTATCTGATATGAACCAACTGGAAAACGCGAAACATCTAGCAAGCAGCTAGAAAAACCTAGTCCTCTCTCATTAGGTTCCAACTCCACAACTACAGAAACACCATTCTTGTTCCAATCAAATCGACCTGAAACTTCCGGCTTCTTACCAGACTTTGTAATAGCATGACGAAACAGTTTGTTACTCATTTCTACCAGATCTTCATCTCTCCAGGGGGAGTAAGACTTTTGTTTTCTCTTGGTTTCTCCGTGTTGCGTCGGGGTGTGATAAGCTAGTTTAGAATAGAGGAGGCAATACAGTTTTGTTAGTCGAAGAGGGACTCTTGGTTGAAGACAAAGATCCAGTGTCAGCTGAAACCCTTGTTCCACTAACATAGTATCAGGAGTACTCTTGCTACTGTCTGAACTAAGAGCAAATAGCTCAGCACCAACACAAGGCCTGAAATGTAAAACAAGGTCTTACTAAATAAGAGTGAGTTTGATTAGAACTATTTATTACTTTGAACTATAAGAATACCTTATGTTGAAGAAATACTTTGGAATGCCAAAAGGAATCTGCATCCATTTCATAACTTCTTGTGAGAGTAGATTCCTGTAACTCTTAGTAATCTCAGACATAATGTCTTTTTCGTGCAATGAATTTGACTGATTCTGCAATCCATGAGTGTATGCAAGAACATCTCTGCAAATAGAGAGCAACATCTTCACCTTGCTACAGACTCTCATTACCTGATTCCTAGATTGCAGGTGAAAACAGTTTTGTAATTCGTTTGCCTTCACGAGTATGTTAAGTTTTTCACAGCTTTCAGGGTCCACTTTCCATAGCCGTCCAACTAAATCTTGAACAAGCCTCGAGCAAACACCGGTTTGTGAAGTGAAAGGAACCGAAGTTTCATGAAAAGAAAAATCTGGAAGGAAAAGAACAATTCCAGCAGCAAAAGCCAGAACAGAACAGCTCAGTGAAAGATTTGTGATAACACTAGAGCTGCTGTCATCTATGTCAATAAAACACATCCCCAACATATCAAATTCTTTTGCCAACTTTTGAAACTGAGCCGAGATACGAGGAAGCTGTTGCATAGAATCGCAACCCGTCAAGATCTTTTCGTCCACATGCTTCTTGTTACAGATATCTTGGTTAAGCAGCCCGAGTGATTCGACGAGATCAATCACAGTTTCCAGTACCCGAATCTTTAGAACCAAAAACCACGTTTGGAAACAGAGCACTTCACTCGATGCTATAATATTTCCCAACATTCCCAAAGATGATTGCAAATTCATATATGCTTCATGAAGAGCTACACAGTGGAAGAACTCTCCAGATGCATCTTTGGAGAGTTCTGGTAAGTAACCGCTACTTCTCAACCAATTGACTAACTTGAAACTATCCCTTGGCACGAGAAGCAGTTGGAATTTCCCTTCAGCATGAGATAAATAAGTTAATGACTTTAACCAAAAACAGTTAGTAGCAGACTGGACATTGGTCTTAAGTTGGTCAAAAATCAAAGCAGATGTAACCCATGCACCCAACCGTGCTGCGTAAATACCAGCTCTATAAGCAGGCCAGTAGTTTCTCTCCGTTAAAAGCTGAGTAGAACATTCAAGAGAAACGATTCCATAGTTAAATATATCAGCAACAAGTGATGCGCCCGAATTTCCATCTGCATCGTTATTGCTCGCTATCTCAATCAGAGGGAGTCCCCAAAGAATTGGAGAATGTAATAGCAGTGTAAATCTCATCTGTGCGTGGTAATCAAAGAAGCTGCATGAACGTACATACTCAGTGATATGCTTCACTTTTTCATAAACTTGAGACAAAACACCAAGATCATCAGCCTCGAGATTCTCCAAGAATACTATCAGGAACTTGTGTATCGATGCTAGAAGCTCTGACCTCACGACCGCCCCTCTTTTACCTTTATAACTGATAACACCAAGCAGCAGATCATGAGCTCCATCTGTTTTTCTTAAGCTATCTGTCAAGCTCACAATATACTCTAGGAATAACCTGACTTTTTCAAGAACTAGCAACCTCATTTCCGAGTTTTTTCCAACTAATAGGAGGAGAACATTGAAGAGGTCTTGAACCTCACCAAGTAGTTCAGAGTCAACCTGAAAAGGATCAGAACATAATTTTCCCAGCAATGTGACCTTGTCCATGATTAGCACAACGAGCTGGAGCGGCAGAGATGTGGAAGAAACCTCAACTGATCTTATTTCTGCTGTCCGGACTATTTGTTTCCATATATCCACCAAAATACTGATAGCTAAATAACCGCCAGAGAAGATCGGCAAATGAGACGCATTACCAACAATATCTACGAGCTGATGCAATTCAGACGCATCAGCCATACATAGTTTGTAGACAAGTATCTGCATTCGCATCAAAATTTAGTAAGCATCTTCAACTAAGACAAAAGAAATAAACTAATCTGGCTTATTTAATCACCTTTTGAAAAACTTGAAGAGCTTTAAGCTGCATATCTGGTGAGAGATCTGCTTGTTTTAGTAAGCTGGAAAATTTTGCAGTTTCGCTTTCATGGACAAGAGAGAAGCACATCCCTCTTTCAATGAGAAAGTGGAGACATCTTAATACCGCAGCTCGAATATGAGAGGTCTTATCCTCACCCAGAAATGGCACGATAACCTCTGCCTGCACCCACAATTAATAATATTAGACTTCTCTCTTTTAGTCAGGAGAAAAAAAAAAAAAGCGAAAACATGAACATACCAGTTCAGAAACAAGATGAGTTGATCTTGAAGCAAGCTTAGTCAGGGAAACCAGGAATGGAACCAAATTTTCCTCATTTGAAGACATCAGCATTAGCTTCATACAGATCTGCAATAACATAATGGTTGCCCGAAGTTTAACACAGATGGCTTCAATTTAGCATAGCAATGATATTCAATACATTAGGAGAACACATCATAAGAACAGATACTCCAGTCTACTAATGTGTGAAATTATATTACGGTTTCATTAACTCTTTCTTAACCAAAAAAAATCTTGACGGCATACAATGCATAAAAATCTTTGAGCATTAGAAGCAGATGGGATAAAAATTAGATAAAGAACCTTGAATGCTTTATTAGCAATTGCATGTGAGCATCCCATTTTTGCAAAAACCCGCACAGCAGCTAATCTGGTCTTTGGCATTAATTCCGGGAACTTGACCATGTCATTTAACATCCCCAAAACAACCAATGCAAAGTCATCTGCTACTTCACAAAAGCAAGCTGCAGCAAACAGAGATGATCTTACCTGCCAGCGAATAATATATTATTACAGTTATGTGTCTGTTAACAAAGAAAATTCATTCTAGTAATTATCAAGCTCGAGTGGCCTAAAGATTAGTAATCCATTATCAAAATTTTCCTTAGAAAATAAAACAGAGCCACTAACGCCAAGGAAGGCAAATGCAAAGGTAGTTGTAAATCCAAGATATTGTATCATAAACACTACTCATGTCACGTATCAGCTTCTTAGCCTTTTGTAACGGAAATTCCCAAGCAAGAACATAAAGAACTAAACTGATCTATGTTTATACCTCCAGATCATGCGAAGAAACCATACTGGTGAGAATCAAGAACCGTACCGGAGCAATTTCGCTAGCGAAATCTCTCCAACAACCAAACAGAACCAAAGCCAAAGCTTTTGCCTCATTATCACCCTTATCATAAACATTCTTCACTCGTTGAAGCATTTCCAAGTGGTTATGCACCCTAGCCTTTGACAAAAAACAAGTTGCGCATTCACTCTTGTTCTTCCCTTGGCTTAGCTTGAACATAGACATAAAAACCCGGACAACGGCAAGCTTAACAAGCCTATCCCCAAAGCAAAACGCGTCAACTAGCCTCAACAAGATAGTATTGGAAAAGAGCTTGTCTTCTTCAGGAATCAAACCAAACAAATTGTAAACCGCAATTGCAGGCTCTGGTTCTTTGCTCCACTGTTCAAGCTTCCTACCAGTCTCCAAGATAGCTTCGACAGCTCTAACTGAAATAATAACAAACAAAAAAAAATCAAAACTTTTTAACTTTCATACTCCTAGAGAAGAAAACATGAGAGTATATTTGCAAATAAAGTTTAAGGCAACCTTCTTAATCCTCGATATTTGTAATTTAGAGCAGGAAGAGAAAGGAATAGGGCATTTTAAGCACCTGGATTTTTAGAACGAAGGGTTTTCTCGAGCTTGATGCTCCAATCCATGGCGGAAGCTGCTGAAACCTTCTCCATGGTTAACACTTTTTGGTTGGGCGTGTTCTAGGGATATTCGAAGAAGAAACCGGAGCAGAGATGGAGACTGATTGATAGAAATTAGCCAACGAAAGATAACGAATTTGATCCCATGTGTTCTCTGCAATCAATCAGCTGAAACTAGAAACCACTTCTTTCACGAATCTACAGAACATAAATATGTCTTTTGAGGACCAAACCCAACTTCAATTATTGGCGCTATTTGGCTGCCGAGTCCGGTTCGGTTCAGGTAAACGATACGGTTTGAAAATTCGTGATTATTTTGTGTTTGAGATAGATCTTTTGGGTTTTGCTTTAGATAACATTATTTGGGCCCAACAAATTTAAGGCTATGCGGTAAGCTTAGGATGATTAATCGACCGGTGATTTATTTGAAAACTCGGGCCGATGTTAGGCCCAACTGGAGTGGGTCGCACGATGATATTGGTATGGGCCCACAACTTTCAAACTTGAAGATGAAGACCCTTATTTATAGTGCAACTTCCCCTTCTACATTATCCCAGCTATTCGATGTGGGACAAACCAAATGACCTACCTTTTAAAAAAATGTCATTCCTAATGGGTATTGATGGACTTGAGTTAAATATGGTCCTCAGCACACAAATATCTGCTCTAATTCTACCATTATGCACGTATCTATGATTCTATACGCACTTTACATTTCAATTGCTTTTTTTTTGTAACAAGGGTTACATTTTCAATTGCTTTTTTTTTTGTAACAAGGGTTACATTTCAATTGCTTTTTTTTTTGTAACAAGGGTTACATTTCAATTGCTTTTTTTGTTGTAACAAGGGTTACATTTCAATTGCTTTTTTTTTGTAACAAGGGTTACATTTCAATTGCTTCTGCATAAAGTAGTCACGATCAAACGTACACAAGTGAAGTGATTAGTAAGCTTACACAAGATGATAACGATGCAACATTTCGATATATTTTATACTAGTAAATTAAACTTGCATAGTGCATTGTAAACAAATTTTGGATATCCTGAGAAATGGATTTGTCGTATCAACAACTAACATGTACGTGGACAATTATATGGCCTTTTAGTTTATTAATTTTAACGAATGTTAATGTGCATGACTAGATATGCAATAATGAAATTAAGTCGGACAATTTATATATTTTTTATTCAAAAGTTGGATGATTTATAAGCGTATCGACTCGGATTATTAAATTAACAAAATGGATTATGTGCTGGCGTAGGTTGATAATTGTAATACAACCAAAAAGATGAAGTAACTTCATTAATCCAAAATAGTGAATAACAGGCCGGCACTTAGCACATGTAACCTGGGATATAATACAATGCCCAATATAATTTTAGATTTAATATAGTTTTTAAAAAATTTGCTTTTAAAAAAAATTATGGAAAAAACAAACAAATTTTAAGAACAACATATAATATCAAGTGTCAACATAACAGAATGTTTTTATAAAAGCTTTTTTATCATAATTAATTTTATTCTCATTGTTTTTAAGTGGTTTATAAGGTATACATTTAGTTTTTGATAGATTTTTTCATATATTTTTTATAGTTGAAGTGTTTAATGTTATATAATAATCATTGTTTATGAAAATTATCAAATTAATTATTCAGTGATTGTTTACTCACCTTTCACTCATATATATGGTAAATATTTTTATTAGTTCACCATATAAATATTTTAAAAAATTATATATTATAAGATCTATTGTAAATTAGTAACACAGGATCTCAAATTTGTTTGACGGCACTGGTGAATAAATAAATCGTAAGCCAGCTTTTTTTTTTTTGCAATAAGACAAAGAGGACATTAGGTTGAGACACGAAACTATCTAATAAGTAATCAGTTAGATAAGTCTATTTCATGAAATTACGTACATCACACATGAAACTATATCTAAGTACTCAGTTAATCACTTCAAGTTTGTGTAAGTAATTTTAAAATAAAAACTTTTGATGAAGCACACACACCGTATTACAGAGGTCACGTGCGTCGATCACGTGGGATAGTGGTCGGATGCTAGAATCTTCTTCGTTATATGGAGGATCCCGTTTTTGCTTTATAAGTAAAAGAAGTAAAATGAAAAATGCATCACGATTCACGAATCACAAGACATTTTAAAATAAATAAAAACTGTTATTAGATTTAACTATTTAAGAAAGTAGGACAAAAAATGGCATTTTGATACATCTTGAGTTCTTGACCTTTTGGAGACATCAGTCTTGGATGGGCACAGTGTAGGTATGGATGGGCACAGTGTCCGGTGGGTTGGGGAACAGTGCACAAACCCCAACGGACCCACCCGTTGCCTCTTTTCTGGACCGGTCTGGTTCGGTACGGTTCGGTTTCTGTCCTGAGCCACCCTTTTTCCCACTTGTATATATAACTTCTATTCCATTCATCACCTTACTCATTATCATCTAAACTAGCTAGCTGGACAAGCTGATCAGCAGCTTAACTTAGCTCGGTAAGCTGAACGAGTACTGATCCAGCTAGATGGAGTAACAGATAATTGATGAGCTAGGTGGGAATATGGCAGCTTTAGGTCATGGACGAATTGGAGGATGCGACCAAAAGGGTTGAGGGTTGAGTCTGCGCTTCGCGCGGATTTTATTTTATATTTTTATATGTTTTTTTTTAAAAAAATTTGTTTGATAATTGTTTTATAGTTTAATAGTTTTTTTCTATATTTATATTATACAATCCTTATTAGTGTTTGTATATAATAAAAAAATTTCTTAATTATGTTATTAATTTCTGTTAATTTTTTTTATTTCATGTACTTTTATATTTTGTCTGTCACTATTGTGTGATTTTTATTACAGTATTAAAATTATTTTTTTTGTTTCTGCTACACGTTGCGCAGTAATAATTTTTAATCATTTATTCTTACAAATTTTTGAAATTTAAACATCATATTTATCTATTTTTGTTAATTTTTTCTTCTTCTCCATTTTCATATTTTCATATTTTGATATCTTTATCTTCTGTTCTCTTTCTTTCTTTGTTTTCATATTTTTCAAAATTCTTTTTCATCAGCTTTGTGTTCTTTTTTTTTCCTTATTCCTCTTAATGGTCTTTAATTTCTGTTATTTTTCATCTTTTTAACATCTTCTATTTTTGTATTTTGATTTTTCTTCTTCCTTCTATTTTTCTTATTATTTTTCTTATTATTTTTGTTTTTTTTAATTATCGTCATTTTAAAACATTTTTTTCATTTAATAATTTATCATTTTTAAGAAAATATATATTTTTAATCCAGTTAGTATTACAATTTTTTAATTATTAATATCTAATTATCACTTATTTTTTATTTATACTATACTTTTTTTAATTTAATTTAATTTATACTAAATATATTAATAACAAATATTGATATATTTATTAAATACATATTTTAAATATACTTAAATGTTAAACTTTATGAGTTTGCTGATGTGCATAGTCTAGAGGGAGAGAAAACTCTCTCATTATATAATAGATTTTCTAGCTCATTTCTTCAAAACGTTAGCGCGCACTGTCCATTTTCATATAAAATAAAAGAAAATAGAAAAAAAAACAAAAAACAATTGCTAAAACAACAAAAATATATTTCGAATCATTTGTCCTCATCATCACATGATTCTGTACCACATGTGACCGTCTCCACAAGATTCCACTCACAATTGCCACGTCACGAATTTACATGGGCCCCATCAGATGTCCAAGTTGGACTTAGTGGGTCCCATCAGCCGCCTCCTCTCTTCGCCATGGAAGCATAAAGCAGAGAGAGAGAGAGCCCTTCCTTCATCGTCGTCTATCTCATTCATTCTCAGAGCTGAGTGGTGTTGGTTCCGTTCCGTGGCTGTCTTTGTTTATAATCGTTTTCTTCTCGACGTAAAAGCTCTTCAAGTGGCAGCCATGGCGGTTCCTCATCCTTCTCCTTCATCCTCTAGATCTCATCCTTTCCTCTCCCATGTCTATCACACTGGCTTCCATCATCATAACCATCATCATAACCATCATCATCATCAGCCTTCGCTTGTCCTCTTCTGGTGCCTCGTGATTTCTCTGTTATCTCCTCTCGCTCTCTCCTCTTCATCGTCTTCTTCTTCCTCTGCGTCGTCGTCGTCGTCTTCCCAAATCACTCTCGGTAAATCTTTCTCCCTCTTTATCTCATCAATTTAATCGTGAAATACTCACAGGTTAGCTCCCGATTATTTTCTATAATCTAAGTCGCAATCAGATAACGATTTGGATTCCGGAATATTCTCTCAGGCGTTAGATTCTCTCTAGCTTATTTGATTTCCTTTTTTTTCTGCTTTTGTTCTACATTCATTTAAAAGATTCGCCTTTTTTCTTGAATTTGTGATTCTGGGTTTATGTTTATGCGATTATTCAGCAATGTTTATGTCGATGAGCCATCGCCATCTCTTTGTTGTGTTTCTTACCAATTTCATTCCATTTGGAATAATTTCCGGGAAAGGTTTCGGTGAAACGGAAGGGACGAAGAACGATCTGCATCAGGCGATCCTAAGGGACGAATCTGTAGCAAGGTTACACGAGCTTGGACAGGTAAATAAGGTTGATGACAAGTTCTGAATTTTATATTACCATTTAGTCATTCCAGGATGATTTCTATTGCTTAGCTTTCACTTCTTTTATCTGTTTTTCGAGACTGAGCTCTTCAATCTGTATTATAATATGTCAAATCTATGTAGTTTACACCTTCTTATTTGTTTTCTCCTGTGACCAACATGATTGATTGCGTCCTTGTCTCTCTCAGAGTTGCTCTTAATTGAAATCAAATAACTTTAGAAGTCTTTTCTGGCTGTTGGAATCTAATGGAACTTTTCTTTAAGTTATTTATACGGAGGAATCCAGCTAGTGTTATCTTAAAAGTGGATCCTTCTTTATTTTACACCGAGGAAATCTTGGTTTGACTTCAGAATTTCTGGGAAGATTGCTTAAAATTCAGGAGATCGTACTTGGTTTTACCATTTTATATCTTTGAATGTCATACCGATACATATCTTAGTTTTTTCTTTTTGTTTAAATTTCTTGAATTTGCAGGTGAGTGATGCTGTTTCCCACCTAGAGAGGACTTTTATGAGTCCAGCATCCATAAGGGCAATTACTCTTATCCGTGGATGGATGGAAGATGCAGGTTTATCAACGTTAGTGTTTAATTCTACTATCTTTTGTTTGTAGAAACTTCTTTTGTAGATGAATAATTGGATTTTTGCAGATGGGTTGATTACATGGGAAATGTACACGGTCGAGTAGATCCAAAGAATGGAAGTACGCAGGCTCTTCTAATTGGTTCCCATATGGTAATTCACAATTCTGTTTGCCCATTTCTTGGTTCATGTTGTGTGATCTTGGCTGAAATGATAATGTTAACAGTTGATCTTTCTTGTTTAAAACAGGACACTGTTATTGATGCTGGGAAGTATGATGGCTCGTTAGGCATAATTTCTGCAATCTCTGCATTGAAGGTTCTGAAAATAAATGGGAAATTGGGAGAACTAAAGCGGCCTGTTGAGGTTTGTCCAGTCAATCTAATTTACTTATCACATATCATCGAACGGATTTATTCTTTGTAGTCAATGGAGAGAATATACCAAGAACTTTATGTTTTCTTACAATTACGAAATGAATGTTTCAGGTGATTGCGTTTAGTGATGAGGAAGGTGTGAGATTTCAGTCTACTTTCCTAGGCAGTGCTGCTCTGGCTGGTATTATGCCAGTTTCTCGGTTGGAGGTTGCTGATAAAAGGTTTTACTCGAAGACCTTAGTTTCTTCTCTCTTTGTAGAGTAAGTATACGTACTCACCTTTTCCATATTCATTCGCTCAGTGGTATTTCTGTGCAAGATGCTCTTAAAGAGAACTCCATAGACATAACAGAGGAAAATCTTATGCAGCTCAAGTATGACCCTGCATCTGTTTGGGGCTATGTAGAGGTAAAGCCTACTTTATCTCCTTTCGTTTCCCAAAGTTAAATTAGCACACACAGAGTGTTATTGTTTCTCAAGAGTGTTATCGTGATTACTGACTGAATACTCTCCTGCAGGTTCACATTGAGCAAGGGCCTGTGCTTGAATGGGTTGGTTATCCTCTAGGAGTAGTTAAAGGAATTGCAGGACAGACGAGACTTAAGGTAATGTGTTCATAAATAACCTTCGTCTTTGAAATCTTTGAGAAGGCTATTTGAAACCCAAATGGACAGAATTCTACAGGTTACTGTCAAAGGCTCTCAAGGACATGCTGGAACAGTTCCAATGTCATTGCGTCAGGACCCTATGACTGGTGCAGCGGAACTGATTGTACTATTGGAAAGTGTTTGCAAAAACCCTAAAGATTACTTATCTTGTGACGGTCAATGCAACGAGGACACAATAGAATCCCTTGCCAATTCACTTGTTTGTACTGTTGGAGAAATCTCTACTTGGCCAAGTGCTAGCAATGTCATCCCAGGACAGGCAAGAGACACAAACTAATCTCCTTTTTCGCCTTTTCGCTTTTTTTTTTTTTGTAACAAGGGTTACATTTCAATTGCTTCTGCATAAAGTAGTCACGATCAAACGTACACAAGTGAAGTGATTAGTAAGCTTACACAAGATGATAACGATGCAACATTTCGCTTTTTTTTTTGTGTGTGTGTGTGTGTTGCTCTTATTGATCTTTCGAAATGAACTCTAAATGATTTCATGGAGATGAATGGAAATGAATTCAGGTAACTTTCACTGTGGATTTACGTACGATAGATGATGTAGGACGCAAGGCTATTCTCCATGATTTATCAACTAGGATGTACCAGATATGTGACAAAAGATCGCTTTTGTGCTCCATTGAGAGAAAGGTAAAGATCGTTGTATCCAAAGCTGTTCGTCTTACCTTGAACTCCCTGATATTTTCTACTTACCAACTTCATCACGGGGTTATCATCATTGCAGCACGATGCAGATGCAGTAATCTCAAACCCGAATTTGAGTTTACAGCTGAAATCAGCAGCTCAGATTGCCCTTAAGAAGATGACAGGAGAGATCCAAGACGAGGTCCCCGTGCTAATGAGCGGAGCAGGACATGATGCTATGGCTATGTCTCACTTAACTAAGGTAACTCAATCATCTTTGTGTAAATGCTTTTGCTTCGTTAAACCAGTGAGTTAGACTTCTTTTGCTGTCCGAACACTTTTAGACATTGGTAGTAAAGTTTCAAGCTGCTTGATATTAGTTCAATCACATGAACTCAAAAGAGATCCACAATGTTTTAGGACTTATCAGTTGTTCAGTCATTATTGGTTTTGTCTCTTGGTTCAGACACTAACTTAAAGGGAGATTTGTTTTAACGGCAGGTGGGGATGTTGTTTGTCCGGTGCCGTGGAGGGATAAGTCATTCTCCAGCAGAACATGTGTTGGATGATGATGTTGGTGCAGCCGGTTTAGCCATCTTGGAGTTTCTACACGCTCACATGTAATTTTTTTTTGTTCTTTCAGAAAGGAAAGACAACTAAGAATGTGCAGCGTCATTTTGTTGTTATTTGCTTTTGTATACGCTCTGGGACTATGCATTTTGTATAGAGTCAAATCCGAATTAGTTTGAATGTATGGAACAATGTTAGTTTACCTTTGATGGTAATTGTTACTATTAGCCAATTATATATATATATATATATATATATATATAAATATATCCTATAGAATTAGTAATCAGCAAAGCAAGTGAAACAGCCACAAACCAACATCATGTGCACTAGACAGACTCAAAGCCGCAGCAGGAGAATGTTGGTTTGTTTCATCATTTAACACAATATATTTTGGTTCTTGTTAATGAAATAATAATGTTGAAGAAAGATTCATCACAACTTTCAAAGATGAATAATACAGAATGGCAATCGATAAGACACATACATAGGTTACTACAAAACACACCCCACCAAACTTCATTATCTCTACAACAACAAGAACAGCAAACACTCATGGTTGGAGTGTTTATATTTATTCATAAAAACGAACCATCTGCGAAACGATGATAGATAGATTTGGTGATCAGCGAATTCGTAAACGATCCAAGCCATTGGCTAAATTCCTTTCTCTAGCTTGCTTGGCAATAAAACATATACGCCTCGACCTGGCATGAGACTTGGCCTGCATCTTCTTCAAAAGATCAGGTCGACCTCTCACAAAATATTTGTGCCCAAATTCCATGCGGTGCTCTCCACTAATTTTTACAAATCCCTAACAACAACAACAACAAAAACACATTAAAGAAAAAAAAACCAATAATCAAAACACACACACACACACCACACAGAGATGATGTATATATAATCTTGCAAATCTGAAAAACTTACATATTCTTTAAGACTGGAGTAAAACTCTTTGAAATCGTCGCACATCATTGCTCCGCAATTGGAAAGAATATTGGCGAGAAATTCTGGAGCGTTCCAGATGATGAAACTTTTGTTGTTTTTGCCCCAAGAGATTATCGAATCCGTTGAAGGATCATTCACAGCTCTGTATATACCCATGTAGAAGAACTGCAAACCGACTGGGAAATCTGCGATCTTCATCGCTAAACTCTTTCAGTTCTCTCTCTCTCTCTGAAACAAAAATTATAATCCCCAGAAGAACAACGATGACACAAAGTCACAAACCCTACATTGTGTGTTGGCGACGATATACAATATATTTATACATTTAATTTCTTAAGAGGACAAAACTTATAGGGATTAAAATTATAACCTTTTCTTTGTCAACAATTTTATATCCTTATTAAATTTTCATTTTGACGTAATAGAACCCAATTTTTTTTTCTTGGTAAACATAAAACCTTAATTATTATTCTCTTTAAAAAAAATTCTCTGAATGATACAAGTTTGTTGTATCTGGTTAATCTTAAAATGCTTCTTTTTAAAATTTGCAATTTAAATTTAGATGATACAGCAACTTTTGGTCACCTAATTTTATTCTTTAACATGGGATTTATAACAACATTTTTTGGACAAAAAGATTTCTTACGTTAAATTAGATAAACTTTTTACTTCTTCTGCGTACTCAACTCAAGAAACTAAAAAATTCCTAGAAAATTACAAAGCAAAAGTTTCTTAAATGAAAATAATGAATTTTATTTTGAAAATTTACGGATAGTTTTTTGTAATCTTAAATTGTTATAACAAGTCATTTGAAATTTTGAACGCCTAGAAAATGAGGTGAACAAAATATTCCAGAAGACCAATCAGACTTAAAGATAGGCTTGGCCTATCAAGCATGCTAAATTTATCACAGACTTCTTCTCTTTCCCTAGGAGCTCAAAAATTTGAGCCTTGAAGAGACCAATCAGATTTCAAATATCTCTTCCTCTTGGTTTAAGCTGCAAAAGTAATAGTAATCAAACTATGGCAGAACAGAAAAAAGATCTCGCATCAAGCATGTCTGAAACATAACATATTGTACATAACATTCAAAAGCATAAAACAAAGGAGTTAAGTAATATATTCAACAAAGTCAGATTGCAAATACAAATGATCTATCTACCTGTTTGTCTCGAGCGTTTCTGATATTCCATACCTCAAGAAGCAAAAAAATTCCAAGCATGGAGAACTTTGTGCGATCTGCAACAAAGAATGCTCACTAATGTTCAAGTACACAGGTTCCTCCAACATTTATCAATGGCGGCATTGATCTTCTTCGTATTACAAATCTCTGGAACAATCATCGCCCAAGTGGAAGCTTTTGGTGTCAGATATTTACCCAGTATTACTTCCACAATCTTACATGCGCCTGATACTCTCTGACGTTTTAAGAGCCTCACAACAAGCTCCTCTCGAAAACTCCTCCCTTCTTCACAAGAATCTGACTTCTCGCTCAAAGTTTTCAAAAACGTGTCACAGGTAATGGCATCGGGATCACAACCTCTATCCAACATACAGTTCAAGAGATCAACTGCTCTAGAGACATCCTTCTGCATACAAAAACCATCAAGAAGTATATTATAAGTAACAACATCAGGTTGTGACTTGTGTTCCTCTTGGCATAGCATCTCATGGTAAAGTCTTATTGTGCCCTCCATTGAGCCAATATCGTATCATTGAATTATACGCTATTGTATCTGGTTTGATCCTGGTATGTTTGCTTCTATGTTTTTTTTTTATTTTAGAAAATGCGATTTTGTTTTGTTTTTATAATTTTCTTAATTATTGATTGAAAAAAAAGCAGTACAAAAAAAAATAAGTAACAACAACTTATGTAAACTTTTTGGAAAGACCATAGAGGTTGGCTTTTGGTTTTTGTTTTAAAAAACAATAAAAACTCTGAAAAACTAGTTTCCCTAAAATTTAGGAAATCCACTTCTTCAAAAACTTGATTGGCTAATAAAATATCTTTTTTGAAAAACAAAAACCAAAATCTGTTCCAAAAACTGCAAACAATCAAGGCCTAGTCACAATAAACTCAGAAGGAAAGATTTCTGATGTTTTTGTAAACAACTGCTGCATTGATTTTCCTAATTAATAATTAATTACATAAGTACTAAATCTCCTAAAAGATAGTTTTCTCACAGCACCGATTTTTCTAATTAATAATTATTTACTAAAAGTATCAATCCTTTTCATAAAGAGTTTTCCGAATGCATTGATTTTTCTAATTAATAATTAATTACTAAAAATAATCACAAGGCCAATGGCCGCCACTCTCCTATCCTGATCTGGTGGAGATGCGATGGTGGACAAATTACTTTTACTGGAATCATAAAGACGATTGATAAAACCAAAACCAGTTTAGAGATTCAAAAGGATATAAATAAGATAGAAAAAATTGTTTGTGCACAATTTTTGAAAATGATTTTGTTTTATTGAGAAACAATAGTTTACATGATCATGTAACATATATTTCTTGTGAAATATATATTTCTTTTAAATAAAAAAAGTTATCCATTTTTGTTATTATACATTAAACAAAAACAATCATAACAAGAAAAACTAAATTAATTATAATAAATTAAAGAGACATTTGTTTTTTTGTTTTTCCACTAGTTAAAAGCTGCATCAAATCTTCAAAGCTCACCATCGCCCTCACCTCCACCGCCCTCGCCATCACCGCCACCGCTCACCACATCGTCGTCCTCGCCGACGTCCTCATCCACGCCATACACCTCAAGTTCCACAACCTTCTTCTTCTTCTTTTGGTGAGATCCACCGGTCTCCGCCTCTCATTGCTGCTGCTGGACTGGGAGGACTCTGACTTGCTCTTCATCTCTGTGCTCTTCATCTCTGTGCTCTTCATCTCTGATGGAGGTGGAAGGGAGGACTGATGACACGTCACCTAAAAAAATTTGAGGGAGGGGAGATGTCGAGAATCTCAAACCCATATCCATTGCAGCGGTCATGAGCTGAATCTCAACCAGCGTAATCTTCAATCTTTTCATCCTCTTTTGTGATTCCTTAGGAGAGAACTAGCAGAATAACAATCATATTATCAAATCAAAATCATATTATCAAATCAAAATAACCCCTAAACCCAAAAAAACCAAAATGAACTAAAAAACATTTCTCTTACCAGTAAAGCTCAGACGTTTTGATGAAAAGCTTCAAGTGTTCTTTTATCAAACTCACAATTTCAGTAGAAGAACTCATTCTCTAATACAAATGGTTAACAAAAACCCTAGTAAAAAAAACGTTCATAGATCTAGAAAATTTATGTAAGAGAAAATAGAAAGTTTGTGTACGAGAAATAGAAAGTTTATGTAGGAGAAACAATGATAACTTAGACTATTTCCATCAATTAGAATTCCAAAAAGAGGTTCTTAAAATTAAAATATTATTATTTTAATATAATTTAATTATAGGATTTAAATTTTCTTTTTGTTAAAAAGATAAACCAATAAAACTAGATAGGCTCTCAAAATGGGTTTCTTAACTAAGTATTTTAAGAATCTTTTTTTAAAAAAAATTTTTTTCTCTATTTTAAATTTTAAAAACCCAAAAATGTCCATTGAAATGCTCTCACCGAAACCCTAATTCCAAGAAGATTGGGCTTTTGGGCTTTAAAATATTACTCCAGATGTTTGGGATTCGGTATATTCTATTTTTAAAAGAGAGAATTTTGGATTGGTTTTTGAATTTAAAAAAGAAAAAATATTGTGCCCTCAAACCCTACATTGAAAAGGAGAAAAAACCGCGTGGAGTTGTTTTGGTTTTCAGTTGGCATTTGGCAAGCAACTCTCTCTATTTCCTCTTTTGCTCTAATCGCATTGCTTCCAGATATTCTCTTTTCAAATTCTGCCAAATGAGGAGGTTTTAATTAAACTTGGGGAAAGCAAATTTTCGTGTCAATCTTACAGAATTTGGTTTCATTTTAATTGAATTTCGTGGTGTCTATCAATCATCTAATCGTGACTGTTAATGTAGGGTTTTGGGTCTTCCTCTTTGATGATTTTACAGGTTATGAATCTCAGTTTGTTGTTTGAATGAAGTTGTTCTTATGAATTGGCTAACATTTTAGATACGCTACGTTTCAGTTTTGACGAACTCATTAGACTTGTTAATCATCAAGTCGAGTAGTTTAGCTTGACACATGACAAGGGTATAATGCGAATCTCTTTAGGAGGGGGGTTTATAGTTCTAAGAGGTTCAAGTTGCCTCATTTGTTGCTGGAATTAGCAGGGTTTTACTTGCTTTTCTTAGCGTTTAAGTTCCCACATTTCATCCAGATGGTCGCTATGTTGAGTTGGGATACTGGTTTAGATGGAGCATTAAGGGACACGGCAGATGTTAGTTTAAGCGGGCTGTTACGCAATGACATGTTGCATAGCAAGCTAGAGGATGAAGAAGTACTACTCATAAGTTGCCACCGGAAGAGAAGATAAGTGGGTCTAGACCGATTCAGCCACTTCAGTTTCGGTATGGTAGAATATCTGGAGAGATCATGAGACGTAGGAATAGAACCATTCACAAGGCTAATAGTAACAATAATAATACATTACCATCAAAGGTAAGCTAACACTGTTCCATACATTCAAACTAATTCGGATTTGACTCTATACAAAATGCATAGTCCCAGAGCGTATACAAGAGCATATAACAACAAAATGACACTGTACATTCTTAGTCGTCTTTCCTTTCTGAAAGAAAAAAAAAAATTACATTTGAGTGTAGAAACTCCAAGATGGCTAAACCGGCTGCACCAACATCATCATCCAACACACGTTCTGCTGGAGAATGACTTATCCCTCCACGGCACCGGACAAACAACATCCCCACCTGCCGGTAAAACAAATCTCCCTTTAAGTTAGTGTCTGAACCAAGAGACAAAACCAATCATGACTAAACAACTGATAAGTCCTAAAAGATTGTGGATCTCTTTTGAGTTCATGTGATTGAACTAATATCAAGCAACTTGAAACTTTACTACCAATGTCTAAAAGTGTTCGGGCAGCAAAAGAAGTCTAACTCACTGGTTTAATAAGGACGACGAAGCAAAAGCATCTACACAAAGATGATTGAGTTACCTTAGTTAAGTGAGACATAGCCATAGCATCATGTCCTGCTCCGCTCATTAGCACGGGGACCTCGTCTTGGATATCTCCTGTCATCTTCTTAAGGGCAATCTGAGCTGCTGATTTCAGCTGTAAACTCAAATGCGGGTCTGAGATTACTGCATCTGCATCGTGCTGCAATGATGATAACCCCGGGATGAAGTTGGTAAGAAGAAAACATCAGGGAGTTCAAGGTAAGACCAACAGCTTTGGATACAACGCTCTTTACCTTTCTTTCAATGGAGCACAAAAGCGATCTTTTGTCACATATCTGGTACATCCTAGTTGATAAGTCATGGAGAATAGTCTTGCGTCCTACATCATCTATCGTACGTAAATCCACAGTAAAAGTTACCTGAATTCATTTCCATTCGTCTCCATGAAATCATTTAGAGTTCATTTCGAAAGATCAATTAAAGCAAAATAAAAGAAAGCCAAAGGGCGATAAAGGAGATTAGTTTGCTTCTCTTGCCTGCCCTGGGATGACATTGCTAGCACTTGGCCAAGTAGAGATTTCTCCAACAGTACAAACAAGTGAATTGGCAAGGGACTCTATTGTGTCCTCGTTGCACTGACCATCGCCGCAAGATAAGTAATCTTTAGGGTTTTTGCAAACACTTTCCAATAGTACAATCAGTTCCGCTGCACCAGTCATAGGGTCCTGACGCAATGACATTGGAACTGTTCCAGCATGTCCTTGAGAGCCTTTGACAGTAACCTGTAGAATTCTGTCCATTTGGGTTTCAAATAGCCTTCTCAAAGATTTCAAAGACGAAGGTTATTTATGAACACATTACCTTAAGTCTCGTCTGTCCTGCAATTCCTTTAACTACTCCTAGAGGATAACCAACCCATTCAAGCACAGGCCCTTGCTCAATGTGAACCTGCAGGAGAGTATTCAGTCAGTAATCACGATAACACTCTTGAGAAACAATAACACTCTGTGTGTGCTAATTTAACTTTGGGAAACGAAAGGAGATAAAGTAGGCTTTACCTCTACATAGCCCCAAACAGATGCAGGGTCATACTTGAGCTGCATAAGATTTTCCTCTGTTATGTCTATGGAGTTCTCTTTAAGAGCATCTTGCACAGAAATACCACTGAGCGAATGAATATGGAAAAGGTGAGTACGTATACTTACTCTACAAAGAGAGAAGAAACTAAGGTCTTCGAGTAAAACCTTTTATCAGCAACCTCCAACCGAGAAACTGGCATAATACCAGCCAGAGCAGCACTGCCTAGGAAAGTAGACTGAAATCTCACACCTTCCTCATCACTAAACGCAATCACCTGAAACATTCATTTCGTAATTGTAAGAAAACATAAAGTTCTTGGTATATTCTCTCCATTGACTACAAAGAATAAATCCGTTCGATGATATGTGATAAGTAAATTAGATTGACTGGACAAACCTCAACAGGCCGCTTTAGTTCTCCCAATTTCCCATTTATTTTCAGAACCTTCAATGCAGAGATTGCAGAAATTATGCCTAACGAGCCATCATACTTCCCAGCATCAATAACAGTGTCCTGTTTAAAACAAGCAGGATCAACTGTTAACATTATCATTTCAGCCAAGATCACACAACATGAACCAAGAAATGGGCAAACAGAATTGTGAATTACCATATGGGAACCAATTAGAAGAGCCTGCGTACTTCCATTCTTTGGATCTACTCGACCGTGTACATTTCCCATGTAATCTGCAAAAATCCAATTATTCATCTACAAAAAGAAGTTTTATAGGTACTTCTATAAACAAAAGAGAGTAGAGTTAAAACTAACGTTGATAAACCTGCATCTTCCATCCATCCACGGATAAAAGTTACTGCCCTTATGGACGCTGGATTCATAAAAGTCCTCTCTAGGTGGGCAACTGCATCACTCACCTGCAAATTCAAGAAAATTAAACAACGAAAAAACTAAAATATGATCGGTATGACATTCAAAGATATAAAATGGTTAAACCAAGTACGATCTCCAGAATTTTAAGCAATCTTCCCAGAAATTCTGAAGTCAAACCAAGATTTCCTCTGTGTAAAATAAAGAAGGATTTACTTTTAAGATAACACTAGCTGGATTCCTCTAAATAAGAAACTTAAGAAAAGTTTCATTAGATTCCAACAGCCAGAAAAGACTTCTAAAGTTATTTGATTTCAATTAAGAGCAACTCTGAGAGAGACAAGGACACAATCAATCATGTTGGTCAAAGGAGAAAACAAACATTCGAAGACATATGTCATAAGAAGGTGTAAATTACATAGATTTGACATATTATAATACAGATTGAAGAGCACAATCTCGCAAAAATAAAAAATAAGTGAAACCTAAGCAATAGAAATCATCGTGAAATGATTGAATGGTAATATAAAATTTCAGAATTTGTCATCAACTTTACATACCTGTCCAATCTCGTGTAACCTTGCTACAGATTCGTCCCTTAGGATCGCCTGATGCAGATCGTTTTTCGTCCCTTCCGTTTCACCGATTCCTTCTCCGGAAATGATTCCAATTGGTAAGAAACACAATAAAGAGATGGCGATGTGCTTTCCCATAAGCCCTAAATATAACGATGAAACTATGCTCTCTAATCATTCTGTTCTCTAGTCTAATTCGGCTCAAAAGCTTCTCTACCGATGCAAAATCACCCGAATTGGCGTAATTCTCAATCATTGAAGACAAAGTGGAATCACCCAGCTTGTAAGAACCCATCTTGGGAGCCGATTTGAACATCTTCTCCGAGATGGGAGCCTCTGATGGATTCTCCGCGTGTTGCTGCTCGGCTTCCATGGATGGCTTTGGAGAAACTGAAACGGAAGAATAGAAGCGAAGAAGATGAATAGAGAGCTTAACTGGGTTGCTCGAAAGGATTCGACTTTCGTTGAGGAAGTAGCTGAAAAAGCTGTTACGGATTGGGAATGGGCATTTGGGCATGAACTCGGAGGGTTTTGCTTAAAAACTTATTTGGGGGACTCGAGATTTTGTTGTTGTTGCGAGAGAGAGACGAATCATGCGATTCTTAATTTCTTACGCCTCTCCTGCGGCTTTGAAAGAGAGTGAATCGAATACGAGTTCGACCAATAGAGAGCTTTGTTGATAATGGAGATGCATCTAGAATATCAAAGACATCGGTCTCTACCAGAAAATATTATTATGCTTCT